ATTAATATTAATGAATTAAGTTTTTCTTAGAAAACATTAACCATTAAGATTAATGGCTAATGGAAGTCATTAATTAATGTCATTAATTAAGTTCCGTTAAAAAAAATGGTCCACCCCTAATTCTCAGTATACAACTTTTTTTGTAAAAGCACAATAATTGATTGAACTTGTCTTTACTTTCTTTGTACTTTATTTTTCACATTTTAAAACTTTTTTCTTATTAGAAAAGCATCGAAAATCTGTTTCTCTTATTAGCAGCATAACACACCAAAAAGAAAGTTTTTCAATGTTTTCTTTCCTTCTTTTTGAGAAAGGAAAGTTGAGAATCAGTTAACTTTTCTTTCTTAAAAGAACGGAAGATTTTCTCATTCCGTTCTAAAAGTAAAAGTACCATGAAAGTGTCACATGTGATAATAAGATTGCGGGAGAAAGTACTTTATGGCAACAATAAGAGATATCTTGTTAAATGTTTAATAAGCTGACAGTATTCAGAATTTCTGCTAGTCTTGATGGACAAATAAAAACTATTTATTACCTGTATGGGATACTTCAGACTTGTAAAAAGACACAGGTCTTATACATCGCGAGTTGTTGGATATCAAATTTAACAACGAAATCTTAATTTAAATCATAATATATGCTACTTCTTTTTGCCTGAAAAAATACAAGGATATTTTAATAAAACAACACACTTTACTTTTGAACTGAGTTATGATCTTTATTCGTCCGGTTTTAACAAACGACTGATTCCAGCGAGAGTTGCCATTCAGATCACATATTTTTCTACGTAGTCTGCAGACTGTGGAAAAAATAGTTTTATCAAATAGGATGTAGATGCATAATACTCACTGAAGAAACCCTCACTTATTTATGTGTGAAGTTAGATTTTCTTCAATCATGAACATCTCTCTTCAAATAGATGTTGAAAAGAGAAAATGAAATAGCACGTAAACAAATATCAAATGATGTTGCTCTTTTTTCATCAATAATTGTTTCTTTCTCGTATTTTTTAGACAGAGTAGAAAATGTCAGAAAACGAGTCACTTGTGCGCAACATCATAACCGAATCTCTAACTGAAGATTATAAAATTTTTGTACCTGAATATTACATTATTATTTGGTTGGACTTTAATAGTGGCGAACCGTTTGACACGTCGAATTTCACTTATGAGTACCTTTGGCAAAATGTTGACATACAACAAAACAGGTTTACTGATTGTGTGCTCTGCTACCATCGTATTCTGTCATTACAAGATCGACACGAGAAATTGTTTCTTGTCATTACAGATCCCAAAAAACCAATGATCCAACGAGATTTATTCTTATTATTGAGCCGACTTATGTATGAGCCTCAAGTTTCAAAAATTTATATTATAGAAACAAAATTTGATTTTACTTTCTATCGTTATTGGCTTCGATTTAAGAAACAGCAGCAAATGTTCTTTATTCCGAATGAATCATTACTTCTAGAAAAGCTAACAGAGAACAGAGTAGAAAACACCATTGTGATCTGTTTAAATACTGGTAAAAGTGAAATTATGGATCTAAGTGATTATAAATTCGCTAGAATTTTTTCCAATGCTGACGAATGTTTTAATTATATCGTATCGAATCGGCATCAGCAGATGATTTTAGTGATCAATTCACAAAATTCAAATGTATTCACTTACTCAAAAGCATTGTCATTATTGTTTTCCACTAAATACTATATATACATGCTTTCAATATTATCAAAAATCTACATATTGACAAAAACTCGATCTAAGCAAATGGATATAAAGGAAACAGATTTTTTTACTAATTTTGGTCTATTTCAAAAACAATTAGAAAACGATATCTCCCCAAATTCACCTTACCAATGTAATAATGAAGTGATTTATTCTTCAAGTTTAGAAATCTTACAAATGTCATTAAGAAGTGTGTCAACAGAACGATTCTATTATTATACAAATCTTATTGCAAAAATGCTACAGACACCCGATGCAAAGAGAGAAATGATCGAAGAGTGTAAACAATATTATCGGAATGATCCATATGAACTGGAAAAAATTGATAAGTTTGTTAATGAATATTATGAAAAACACAAGGGTAGTGCGATTTGGTGGTATACACATGATTCATTTCTTTATCGGCGATTAAATGATGCTTGTAGAACAGAGGATATTGATTTGATATATACATTTCGTAACTTCATTTCTGACTTATTACAACAATTGCAGGAAGAATATAAAAAGTTTTATGATGACATATGTGGTGTTCGAATAACAGTCTACAGAGGACAATGGATATCTAGTTATGAATTAAAGCAACTTCGAAACAATATTGGTAGTCTGTATTCAATCAATACTTTTCTTTCAACAACAGGAGATCTTAATGTAGCATTGAAATTTACCGATATTAATTGTGAATGTTCTCAATTACAAGCTGTGGTTTTTCAATACAACATAGATACATCTATCATAACAAAGCGGCCTTATGCTGATATTAGACACTTAAGTAGCAAGCCATCAGAAGAAGAAGTAATGTTTTCAATGGGAACTATTTTTGAAATTCAATCTATTGAACAAAAAGCTACAGACGATGGAAACAAAAACTGTACTTACTGGAGTATAGAAATGAAACTCGTCAATGAAGATGAAGATGAACGTATAGCACCAATATTGAAGAATTTTAAAATAAAAGTCCAACGTAGACCACCTTTAATACTCCTTGGTGATGTGGCCGCACGAAAGTCTCGGTTTTCAAATGATTTTTGTAAAGCAGAACAATATTATAGATTATATCTTGACGAAGTATTAACTATGAATGATAAAATAGACTGTACAAATCTTATGATTGCATACAGTAGCCTTGGATACATCTGTAGAAAAAAAGGAGATTATGCTGCCAGTATTGGATACTATGAAGAGATTATTAAGATTTGTTCGTCACTTCCTTGCTCGCTATCAAAGCAAGCGCAAGATTCAATAAGACTAAGTGAAATTCCACTGGCTTACCGTTCAATAGCTTATATTTATTATTATTGCACACTAGAGTATAAAAAAGCAGTTAACACTTATAAAGAATTACTCAAGTTTCTACGAAGCCAACACTCTAGCTGTAAAGTTTGTCTTACTAACACTATGCACACTATTGGCGATGTTTTCAAGGCACGAGGTCATTTGTCAGAGGCACTTGAGTTTTATAGAAAAGCATATGTGTTAAACATTAATGATACCAACTATGATCGAACTCAACTGGATGATACAGAAGAAAAGCTATCGAAAATGCAAAGTCGATATCCTGAGTTGTTATTTCTTATGTTATTATTTATTTGGTGTTTTTCGTATTCTTTTCATATTTGGCGTGTAGATGAGATAATGTTAGAAAACTTCATGCCATTATCTTTGATACATTTAGTTATATACTATACGATTCGGTACTCTACTAAGAAAGGCTATTATAGAAATCGACGTTGTCTAACACGATTTAATGAGATAATCGGAAAAATTAAAAACCAATTTAAAAGCGGTCGAATTCAACAACGAATAAAACAATTTTTACGTCATGATTGTAAGATTATTCCACCATTTATATCTTTCCCAACTCAGCAGTGGTTTTTATTCATTGATAAAAACCGTGTAAACAAACAAATATTTAGTTTTATTGCAGGAATTCTACTGTTAGCAGTTTATTTGCCGAATCTTTTCTTATTAGTTACCAGAATTTTAATGATTATGTTTATCGCAACTTGGTTATCTGATTTCAATGTTCTTCAGTGTTTTACTCTATTCATTCTTTGTAATTATTGTCACAATCAAATATTGTTATTATTGCTTGTCTTCATCGTTCTGTTGGAATTTGATTTAGAACTAGTTGCTGAAGAAAGACGACGACCACTACTAACTCGCTCTTGCTGTAAGTGTGAAATATTTCATGATCGTTCAACAGAGGTAGATATTATCAAGGAGTTACCTTAAATTAACTTATATATATATATTTGATTGTTTCCTCTTTTTTGGATTGAAATACACATTGATAAATATATATATATATATATATACAGAGAAAAGAAATGTAAATTACGATAAAACCTGATGTGGATATGGATGTACGAGAAGATCGTCGTTCACATATACAAGCAAATGCATAGCAAAGTTAAATTTTCAGTATCGAGTAAAGCTCTCAGCAGAACTTTGTATCCAATGCTTCAAACGATATCATACTTTTTCTAGTCTCACAGAAGAACAAGGTATGTGACTAACATGATCAAAGAGAATCGGATGCTTTCATAATGACAGATGCGTCTTATTAAGAATTTTATTTTTATAAAATTTAAAGTCGAAATATACAAGCGCGTTACAAGGACGATATCGAGAGCAACGTGTTGCATTGTTTTAAAAGATAATAAAGTATGTAGTTGTGAACTAAGACAAATCTATTTAACATAATTTGCTTTACAAACTAAATGAATAGAAAAAATAACTTCAAGGACAGTACTATCAATTGATAGTATTGGATGTTGGAATATAGATTTAGAATATCTATTTACTTGTTTCAATGAATGGACTGCTAAAGGAAATTACAAAAAAATGCAAATGAAAAGGTTCAATTTTTTACAAGAAAGGAAAAGCATCACAACCTTCTCATAGTGATAGTTGTAGTAGAATTTTCAAAACTTTGAAGATCAGTCAAAAGAGTACATAAACGGAGTTATTCACCTCTGACACATATTCTTTAAAAACAGTCGACATTTAAGATTTCACTTAAGCAATCGTAGAGGTAGCAATGACACCAGTTCAGATGATTTCATTTTGGTTTATCAAGGACTGACATTAAATCATCCAAGTCTTACAAAATTTGATGTTCTTGTCTTGCATATAATCTTGAAAAATCAAAAATCAATATTTGAAATTCAATATATTAATCATTGTTATTTCATCATGCAAATTTCTCGGTGAGGTAGTTGTATTTATCAATACTTCATAGACATGAATTAAAATTTTGCTTTTTTTTTAAATGAAGATTATTCTGAAAAATTTGTTTTCATTATTGCTAAATTAATGACACTTCTATTTGAAAATTCTATCTAGAATTGTTGTTGTTGAATTATGATCAAACCTTTCGGTAGAAAATATTGACTAAGAAAAAATTGAACTGATCATGTATTTGGAATTCGTTTATATTTATTCAAATAAAAATATTTAAGCAACTAAACCTAGTCTATGGATAAACAGTATATGGAAACACATTACTATAATAGTCATCATTTCCATGCTGATTTAGTGATCAATCTATCAATGAATATGTCAAGTCATACGTGACAGCATAATGACTAACTGACACATTCAATTGCTTTTCTGTGTTCTTATCAAACTAATGAACCCATCTAAAGTTTATAAATATGTGACAAGGGTCACTTAGATGATAACCTTCGAGATTTCTCTTCAAATGCAAGAGCTATTCGCTAGTCTTATTCTTAAGATCAAGATCATAGCGGATATTTCCCAACACAACACGTCATAAATATTCGTCTAGCTCTAACACAAATATGGCATCCTTCACACAATTGATTTCAGCAGCAGTTACTACCTTAATTGTCTCCAAATCATTGTATCTTATTTTGTCTACCAACAAAAATCTAATCTTTATAAGTAATAATAGAGACCAACATTTGTATTTTGATAAACAAGTAGATTAATGGTTTCATCAATAGTCACTGAAGTAAATCAATCAAAGAAGATCAAATAAAATGAGTTAACAATTTTTCTTTTTATCATAATATTTTTGAAATGTTATGTAACTTTCTACCCACGACATTTTGATGCAAAGACAAATTCTGATCGAGCCTGTTTTGTTCTTGAACAATTAAAATTCTTATTCGTTGATAAAATCCGCACATCATAAACGATAAAAATGCTGCTGAGGTCTTATGTCATACAATCAATGATCTAGATATGAATTTTGTAATTATTCATTCTTCAACAGAAAATTTATTGCATGTCATCACTGTAGACAGAAAAAAAAACAGAAAGTCCGATAAACACGTATTATTTGTACAACAATAGAGAATATAAGAAATCTGAAGTAATATTATATAACAAAAAAAAACAACTATGCAGTCACTATCATCCCATTGTGATGATTCATCATTATTCTCAGATTCCGATTTTGGATGGATTTTATCACGATCATATTTTGCTGCTTGTTCCATTATTGCCATAACATTAGGAGTACTTGGTTTTGTTGATACAGCAGCTTTCTTATCTTCTTCTTTTTTACGATGATTTAATTGAATACCTAAACAACAAGAAAAATTTCGATGAAAACAAGAGAAAAAAATATTAATATACCTGTTTTTTATTTCTTCTAATAAATCAGAATGAAGATCACGCATAAGAAATAGTCGTTGATCTTGAATGTAAGTTTCTGATGTAACAGAAACTCAATTTAATGATAATTTCAGTGTAGGCGCGCGGCTAATATTCATTGTCATTGATCGCTGTTCATGAGATGATAAAGACGATGAAAATGCGGGACTACCATATTTTACTCCATCTGAGTGTTGATAATGATGATTATTATTTGGATATTATGAAACAAGATGATGATTAGCCCGTGAATAAATTTGTTGTTGTGATAAAATATTAGCATGTGCGACAGATTCATAATCTCCACAATGAGAAATAAAATCTTGAGAACTACGATATTGTTGTTCTTCAGATGATTGTTGAATAGAACAAGCTTGAGATGATGATGTTGCATTTGAAACATAAACAGATTCTTGATGATGAAGTTCAAATTCTTTAAAAAAAAACAGACAAAATTTCATTTTTATAATCATTTTTCGTTTGTATTTATACAGATGGTCGAAAACGTTCTTGTTTGTCGGATCGATGTACATGATGATTTTGTGCAAATTGAATCATTTATTTCATTCCCACATTGAAAAAGAATGATGGATCAATATAAAATTTCATTGAATCTGGACCATTATCTCTACAAAATGAAATTATTATTTATATTTTTTATTAAAAAAACAATATCTAACCGATAAGTAATAATTAAATGAAAAGCAGGTGCTGGTCCAGCTTGTTCATAAAGTAGACGAAGTGTTGACTACTTGTGGATCAATACGAGTTGCATTTATAAATGGTTTTCGATTATTTACATCTTCAATGTCACTATAACGAAACAAAAAAAGATTTCATGCCTTTTTATCTTCGGATAATAGATATAAATTTACCTTCTTCAACATTTGAATAATTGTGATAGTTTAAGTCTTTCAATTGGACCATTTAATGATTCTGTACGCTGAAAATATACGTCCAGCATCGGTTATTAATTCATCAAATAAATCATGGGCATGAACGCCTAATGAATTTGATTGTCGAATTATATTGGCTAATGTATGATTAACTGCGTATTCAAGTTCATTGAGAAAATCATTTGATACTTTCACATGACTTTAATGAATGTGTTCAATTGTTCGTTTATTAAATGGCATTCCATCTAGTTTTTAATTATCTGACATGATATCAATATAGAAACTGTTTTCATTATCCATGTTTGTTCGTCTCTACTAAATAAGATTTAGTTATGATTTGTTTGTGAGAAACAAATCGATATGAAAAGAAGAAAAAATGTCATAGTTACTAGTACAGTTGTTTCAAGAAATTTAACGGATGTTACTATTATGAAGAAACTTTAATCGGATTCTTAGCCTTGTATAGTGTAAAAATGGGCTAAAATGATTCTCAATATATAGCGCTAGCATCTAGTTGTATTGAACAGTTCTTCTGCAATGAGCGCCATCTAAAGAAGTGTCTTTATCATTGATTGGCGTTAATTAGCAGCGGTTGTTTTCTATTGAAAGAATCACACAATGAAGAGTAGATAACGCATCGACAATTCCTCATTGAACAACTTAATCAACATTAACAGTATCATGTCGGAAGTTCACCATCATCACCATATCCATTTGCATTTTACATTACAGGTAACTCAATATGATCTTAGCTCAGCAACACATTTTATTAGGATAGAGGCAAACTTGAAGGTTGTACAGATGAAATTTGTACTTCAAATATATTCAAATAGTGAGAAAGATATCAAAATACATATTTACTCTTACCATATATTTCATTTTCTGTATAATAAGAGTGAAAATATTAAAATTTTACATTCGGTAAAAAATGACACCCTTTCTTCAGCATTAAATAGCTCTCAGTTCATAGTCTTTCGGTATGAAAGTTATTTTTTGTATTGTTTTTACCCACGTCTTCACCTCAAGTATGTCAATGATTGAAATTGTATTTTCTCATCATTGTCAAAATCCATTGATAGGAAAAAAATTCAATTGGTTGTTGGAATCAGTGGCGGATCCAGAAAATCAGTAAGGGATGGCACTCCTAGTCAAAAAACGGTTTTGAAAGCTTATTTGAAGTCGTATGACTCTTCTGCTTCGCTCTGCTGGGGAAAATCGAAAAAACTTTCGTAAGCGGGTGGCAGTCGCCTGGTAGCCGAACCGGTGGATTCGCCGCCTGTTGGAATTATATTTTGCACTAGCTGAATATAACTTCTTTAAATGATCTTGGATAAAAATTAGTTCAACTTATTTACGTCATCGGAATCTTAGGTAACGAAAATTCGAGATTGGTTTGGTGGATATTAAATATACAAATGGTATTAGAGTATTCATACAATCGTTGCATTTTTTTAGAATGCTTTTTGCAAAGCGAAGATATAGTATTATACTTTGTATAGCATGCACCTTTGGATACTACTAAGTAAGATATTCAGAAATAATGTAAGAAATATCAATACAATCGAAAGACTATACTGTATTTCATGGTATTTAAGATGTTTCGACATATTTGATCATACTATGAAGTGTAATTATTTCCCCATGTAATAAAAACCGCATGAAAATCGGCGGTTAACCGCGGTTTTACCAATCCGGTCACCGGCTCCCATTACCGCAGAACGGATAAATACCGCGGTTTACCGCAAAAAATGATCCGGTATTCGCAACATGGGTCTCATGTTTTCACTGTAAAGTATATTGAAATATATTAATGCAGCATCTTCAATTGTGTCATTAAATTCTCTGAGTTCTATGTATTTGATTTTTCATCAAAATCGATTCTTTAAAAAACATAAACATTTCGACTTATGAATTGATTTTTACAGGATATGTACATATAACGTTGGGGAAGTTAGCACAAGATTCGAGTTTTTCCAGCCCGGTTTTGCCTATATGGTTGTGCTGAATTTCATTTACGTTGTGTTGGATGCAGGATTTTGCGCTGAATCGAATGGTGTAATTTTTAAAGGGGGTTGCCAATCAAAATCTGGCACTTTACCTGGAAATACTGCTTTTNTGTGTTGAATTCAGAACGAAATTCTGCATCGAATGATGCTAAACTTGTATGGGGTCATCGACCAAAGTTCTTCGACTTGGGTGGGGCTGGAATATAGATTTGGAGGGATGACTTGGGTGAGACCAGAAATTTTTTGATCGATGACCCCATACACGTTTAGCATCATTCGATGCAGAATTTCATTCTGAATTCAACACAACTATTTCCAGAACCAACACAGCTAAAGCAGCGAATCCGGGCTGGAATTACTTCTACAAGATTTTCAGAAAAAGCAGTATTTCCAGGTAAAGTGCCAGATTTTGATTGGCAACCCCCTTTAAAAATTACACCATTCGATTCAGCGCAAAATCCTGCATCCAACACAACGCAAATGAAATTCAGCACAACCATATAGGCGAAACCGGGCTGGAAAAACTCGAATCTTGTGCTAACTTCCCTAACGTTACATATTTGAACTTAGTCCTCGATTTCCTCTAGTCTTTCTTGCAGTGGCTAGATTGTTGACCATGTTTCCTTGTATGCATAATTCATGAAACCCATTTACTACACTAGTTGACTACTTCGTCCACTTAGGCATCATAGAAACTCTAAAATATCTATAATGGAAACCCGTAGAGAATATCAACAATAATATTTGTTTTTCGAAATTATCGAATTTCTGAACCGAATATTTTATTAACGAAGCAATAAATAGAAAGCTTGTGACTACCAGCTTATAACCTATAAAGTTTACTACAAAAACTTTCAAATTGTTTTTCAATCTGACACTTCATGTAGTCTTTGTAGTTCTATTGATAGTCGTCCCAGTGATCAGGGGTGTGTAAGGTTACGGTATAAACATAAGATTCGATGGACTTCATTGCCAAGTTTTGCATCGCTACCGAGAACTGTAACATACTTCAGAATATTTCATAGTACTTTGGAGTACTTCCAAATATTATAGTAAACTATACAATGCTGCACAGAACACATGTTTTTTTTTATTGCGAAAAAGAAAATAGAAGTCGATCATTGTACTTGTAAATCTTTTTCTAATAAAAACACAGGCAATTTTTTAAAATATGTTTTGAAGTATTGTGAGGATGTACATTAGAAAACTTTGTTTTCTAAATAGATCCTGTCAGGTATTGTTTTTAGTTCTAATTGCACTATAATTCGAAGAAAGCAGTCATTCATCATGTATCTTATAACTGAAACAATTATTTGAATCGTTGATTGCAAAAATATACTCAATGAAAAGTTAAACTTTATAGCCAACCGTTATTTCTTCACTGCATTTGTTTAATTTGATTTTCTAAAAAATAATTAGATAAATAAACTAGATCGAAATTATTCTTCAAAAATTGCATCATTTTTCTGATTTTAATCATTGAAAATTTCGATAGATAATATATGAATACAAAACTAAAAATTGCATTATCTTTTTGAGTTATTTTTTAACAATGATTATTTAAAGAAAACTCTACACTTCTATTGATTAACGCATTAAGTTCGAATAAGTATGAAAGGGATCGCCACGTACCAATATACCACTATTTTATTCAAATAAGCGTATCAGATTAGTCACTTTAATAGAAACAAAGGACAATTCTTTTCATTCTAAGAAACGATCATTTGTTACATATGCATATGTATATGATAAAGTTTTGTCGTTCTTACATTGAAATGCATTTGAAAAATGGAGACACTTTCACAATATGTCATCACCATCATTGTTATTCATGCACATTCTTGCTGAATATGCTTTACTGATAAAAAAAATTCCTTCTAATTCTAGATGCCTTGCAGTTGGTGCTGTACATGTTGTTCAACTGAAGTTAGTCAAGGTGATAATAATGTTAACGGAAATGGTAAAATTGTCAACGAAAATGGTAATAATGTCAACGGAAATGGTAATGATATCAACGGAAATGGTAATGGTGTTATGGGAACAAGAACAAACGTAATCGTTCAGCAACCAACAGTAACTAATACAAACTCTAAAACTTCGTATAATCTCATATTATGTCTTCTAGGCAATAACAACAGAAGACTTTCATCAACAAAAATCTTCATCAACTGATACAAAAGTTAGTTTTGATGAATATGAATTAGACAAAAATTCCACTCTTTTTTAGGTTGGTTGTTCACCAAAATCATCACCACGCATCTCTTCACCAATGTTGTTCGATCTTGATTTATTTGGCTTTGTATTTCGTCGATGAGCAACCATTTAATAATTAACGATAGTATTAATGACTGTTTTATTTTTTTGTCGCCATTAATATTTTTTTTTTTATTCAATTTTTTCTCTCATTTGTTTGTGTAATTAATTATTGTCAAAAAGTATGTCAATAAATTTAATAAAAAAAGGAATGTATTTGTACCATATGCTTTTGTTTTTAAAACGGCAATCAAGTATGTTTTACTTGACATGAGAGTTTTCGTTGATATTAGAATGCAGAAAATACTGAAAAGAAATATAGAAGGTTTCTTTGCATTGTTAAAGCTTTAATAAAAGTTGGAGACATTTTCATTTGAATAATCGTTTGTCCAGAATATCAAATCAAATAGATTTAATAAACTAATATGCAAATCCTATTCGTTTTATCAATAAGAGACAAAATGAAAAATTCTTTTCCAATGCCATTTTTTGCTCTTGAATCATTTCATGATTAATCTTGAATAATCGTGTGTGAGAAAAAGTCTTTCAATATTTCCAATAAAGTATATAAATATAGAATTCCTTTTCGCGCTTTATTAATAAGAAAAAAAGCAAAGAATTTAGTTGGTTGTCGATACAGTGTTTTGCTCGTATAAATCATATAATAAGTATTCAAGATCATAGAAAAAGAACTTTCTTGATAGAACTTTCGAGTCTCATTAAGTAGTCATGGTCACAACGTTAAGAAAACCATCACAAAAGTTTATATTTATTCGAAAACAAAATATTCTTGTATAATAAAACAACACTTTATTTTTAGTCGAATTTAATGAATTATTACATTTTCCCATGCTCCACGATTCAGAAAAAGTGTACAAAAAATTTAAATTGATTGTGCAAGAAAAGAAGTAGGATAATTACTGTAATAGAATTACTTCATATATGAAACTTGAGGATGAGGGTGGTTGCGAGTGTGGATCTCTCATGAATCATAAAACCAGTATCCACGATCGCATTTTAAAATGGAAAATGACTTACAAAGAAGTGAAAAGGATATTGTAAGAGTGCCTTTATGAATGGAACGTAGTTTTATGATCTTGGCATTTGATCTGGGGTGTGGGTGTGTGGGTGTGGATGTGGATGGGTTTGGGTGCGGTCACTCAATGTTTCAAGCATAGCTCACATCCGCACCCGCACCAACATCCATGGCCACGCTACACACTCCCACTCACACCCGCCGACACTCTCAAGATAGTTAGTGGAAAATTGGAAAAATAGTAGATGTCAGTGTTATTACAGGTTCTCATTCATAGTAAAAGTCATAGATCTGAAACCTTGTAGTTATTTCGTACTAGGTAGGTACAATAATCTGCCAAAGTTTCAAAGGGTTTGCTTGTATTATATGCGAGAACGATGCATTTTAAAATTTCTTCATAAGTTCGGTGACACCCTTTATATATACGAACGAAAAAATCATTCATCAAAATAATACTTCCATCTTGTTATACAGAACATAAAAATGAAATTTACTGTTGCTATTACATGTTTGTTACTGATTTATAGTTGTTTATATCGTCATTTTGCGGATGGTAATTCAGAATATGAGCAAGTAGCACAGAGATATCTTGCTAAAACTGGCTTAAAAATTCCAGCAAACGGTGAAGGTGGTGATAAATGAGTAACATTATGTACAGTCAAATCTCGCGTTGCTAGTACCAGTAGGAGAACAACGCATCATGTAAAACAGTGTACAGTCACAGTAGGTGGTGAAATATTAGAAACGCGTGTTGTTGAAACAGAAAAAAATTGGAGATGTGGATGGCGCACTCAAACATATGCATCAAATATGTTATTGAATTATAAGGAAGCAATAAAGAATCAATATCATTCAGCAATTAATGCTGTTACAAAAGCTAAAGAACCAGAAGCAGTCATTAATTTATTGGAAGAAAAACAAAATTAGCATATATTTAATTTGGAAGTAGGAACCAATAAGGATCCAGGCATGTCGGAAGCCACTGCTAGAGGTCTATCGTGGTGAAGAGGTGGTGGTAGTTGTGCTGTCAAATTAGAAGCTCGAGTGCTACGTTTGGCTTATTGGCGCAAAAAGAAGAACAGTCAAGAGAGAAAAAACTGAGCTCTGATTTCTTTTTGATTAAACTGGTTTTGTTTTGATAAAAAGCTGATTTTGTGGAACTCACATACATATTTTCGAAGAAAATGGTGAGTGTAAGTTTTAAGGCGACGTTTTTTGCGTGGGGCGGGGGGGGGGGGGGGGGGGGGGCGGGTGGGGGNTTATATTAGGACCGAAATGAGAATCAAGTAATAGGGACCGAATTGATAAAGGACCCAAGTGAGAGACCATCGAATGGGACCGAAAAGGAAAAGGACCGATTCGGACCGAATAGGGGGTAAACCGCTTCATCGTCTTGTATTACTGTTGCTGAGATATAGTTAGTTTTGGATCAGTTCTTTCATATGAATCGGGATCACAATGAGCTTATCTCTTCATTGAATTATCAGAAAGTTTTTGATCTACTCTCTGAGTTGGATACATTTTTCATCGATCTCTATGATGGCATTAAGCTTTTGCAAAGAGTACTTAGAAATAGTACACCGAAATTTTCTCTGATTAATTTTATTTAGATGTTTAAGTACCATTTGAAATTGAACAAGTTGAAAAATACGATTTAATACTTCGATTAAATAAAAATAATATCATAAATCTTCTGGAACTTCGCATTTGTCGATAGTTTTTCTCTGAGAAACGAAATATGGACTCGAAAGTTACTAATAGTTTTGTCTTAAGCATTATTTTTGGAGACAGGAAAAACACTATAGTTTTATATTAGTGGGTCTCGACTTAAAAATGTACTGACTACTGCTTCATTGAAGCATTAGATTATGTTAGATTGCATTCTGGGTCATTCCGATAAAATAGTTAACGTACGCAAGTATCAAAAACTTATTTTTCAAAGGAGATAAGTAATATTTTTTGAAAGAAAATGCGAAATCTTAATCGACTCAAGATTAGCTGTGATTAAGTAAAATATTTAAGCAAGAATTGAGAATGAATACACTGCAGTCGAACACTCATGATTATAATTGCAGAAAAATGAGACTTCTTAAATATTTAAAGTCAAAAGTAAACCAATTTTAATCAAACGTTTCTTTCCTTACACATGACATTGCTTTTAAAGAATTATTCTTTTCTTTTTTAATGAAAAGAATACCAATAAGATAAGAATCACCATAACGGCAAACAATTAAAATGCGCATTTCTCTTTTGTTTGCAGAATTATACCAGTCGTACGATATATTTTTTTCTGTAGATAAAAATTGATATTCCATAATTTCCCAGGTGGATCAACTTGTGTCGTACACGACCGTTTGATCATAATTTACGGCCGTTTGGTATGCACCGTATTACGGTCGTTTTGCATCGTGCCATAAACGATTGTATACGGTCGGTTACTGAAATATCCGACCACGTTACGACCGTTAGTAACCGTTTACGACACGGCGATATACGGCCGTGATACGGTGCAGGCCAAAACGTCAAATTACGGCGATTTACGGTCGGAAACGTTATAAAACGGTAGTATACGTTAACGTATACGGCCGTTTACGGTCGTATTAGGTCGTCGTAATGCTCGACCTGGGTTCGGTATTGAATTTATTATCTCTATTTTAGTTATTCTTTCGCTTTGCTTATATGGCATCATGTGATTTAAGCTGGAGAGTACTTTATCATATGGATGAAATTCAATTAATTATATAAAAACAGAAACGATCAATGTCGATATCAATACTTTAGTTATCTGGAGAGAATAGAAACTAATGTAGACAAGTTTGACGAAGTGAAGTAAGAACAAAAGCAACACAAATCATATATATAGTTTGTAAGCAAAATAAATTTGTAACAAATGTTTTTTTAAATAAACAAATGCCAAAACATTTTCATTAAATTCCTTTATCCAACCATGTGGTTAAAAATAACTCCACTTGGTAGTACTAGAGTTAATATCCTCTGACCTATAATGATAAACACTTCAAATTAATAGGCATTTCCATGAGAGCATTGGCCGCAATCGTAGATTCGTTACTAACGTAAGTCCATAAGATATTGTTACACCCAATTGTATTTAGTAATTGACATAAAGATGAACATCAGTCGATCCTTGGTTATCAAGACACAAATTTTATCTGTTTCAGCTGCTGTACATCTGTTGCTATCAAAACTAGTTCTAAATTCCGCCTAGCCTTTCCTTTCTAGTTTCTTCATTGCCTTGTTGATAAATGAAAATACTTTGTCTTTTTTAAATGTTTTAATCGATTAGCATTGTATAAAATTCTCCAGCCGTTTTTTAAGCTTGTCAATGGTAATTTTGGTTTTCGGCCTGATGGTATCACCAGTAAAATATTCGCTGCTTCAAGATAACAAGTTTTAATTCAGCTTTGCGCCACTTGTCCTGTAGAAAATTCTTGAGGATTATTTTCTATTGTTTGAGCTCTAACATTACGAAGATTCTCAATAGATTCATAACAGAGATGCTAGTCTAGCCTGCGGCCTAACAGGCCCCTGCCGGGTAAGCAGGCCAGAGCGATTTTTTAAATTTTGGCCTGGGTATGACCTAACAATAACTTAAGTATTCAGGTGTAAGAATGAGACGATTTCACAACTCAATGATGATTTCTTTTCATATTTTCTGTTGATCATCAATTCAAATCAATACTTTTATAAGGTCTGTTGACCGTTTTTACCATTCCTAACTCTTCATTGCTCGGATATTCAAAATCTTTAAATATGCTTTTGGATTTCTTCCTTTGATAAAATGCAACTACTGTAATTTCTAGCTCTCTGTATGCTAAAACTATTCAAAATGCTTCTTACTGATTCAATATTATACTAAGAAAGATGATGGTATTCAGTTAAAGGGTTTCATGATTTCAAGAGTTAGCCTAAATTAGAATGGAATTTAAATTTTCGCTTAATGAAAATGATGGAGAATCAGTTTCTGTCCACTTGTAAAATTATCGCGTGAATAAATGTTATTATACTATGAGATTAGTAAAGAGTTTTAAGCAAATTTTGAGAAATTTTCATTCGTGCGTATTTGAGATTGAAGGTACATTACATATTCCTGAGTACGTACTTAAGTAAACCATAGTTTCGATATCCATGCAGTGATACCTATATTTCAAAATAAAATTAAAATATATTCACATAAATTCTTGAATTTCAATATCTCCTTGGTTAACTACTTGTTCGAAAGTGTTTCATTTCATAACTCAGAAGCATATTTCCGTGTCAAAGGTTTCCATAAAGCTGATCTTAAAACTAATTTATGACTGCTCTGAGTTGAGAATTGACATACTACATTCTATTGCTCTCATGAGAACAAATCGGATGACCGATTGAAACATATACAGTAAATTAATGCTAATTTGTAAATTTCGTAATTATAAAAAGTTTGGAACATTATTTCGCCTGCTTTGGCCTGCAGGCCAGACCAGGTCAGGCTGAGAAAAAGTGGCCTGTTGGCAGCTTTGATCCATAAATGTCTCTATGGTATAATATTTTTTGAATAACGCAATAGCCACAACCATTTTGTTTAATCTTAGAATCATTTTCTTTTCCATCGTTAGACATGCGCTCAAAGTGTTCTATGTTAGCATTTCCCTTAGTGTCTTTTTCTTCTTTTACGTGTAGTACAATGTTACTACGTCTTGTCTTATCTTCTTTTGTTATTTGATAATTAGGACCGTCCACTATTTTTAGATCTAATCTGTATTCATTAGCCAATGCAATCATGTCAGACAGGTTTGCTGGCATATTCACTCATAACGCTGTCACCATAAGCTTCTATGTTCTTGTCTATTATTTGATGATTAGTTTTGTCTTTTCGTTAAATTATTGAATTATTTCACCTAAACTATATGCTATAGTGTAATTTCTGGCATTATACTGAATTTTTCTAGCAATGATATTACATGTGTTTTTTTCTTTTTGTTGGTTTTCTTGATTTTGACTATCTGAATTTTGTTGTTCATCGTGAATCAAATCATATTGTATTTTTTCTGAAATAGACTGTTAATTCACTCATACCATAATTACTTCGCGGTTAAAGTAGCTGTGATTGTGTTATTCTCAATACTTAATCTGTAATTGCGCCTGATACTAATTTCATTATTTCACTAAAATCATTGATATCTAATTTAGACATAGTTGTATGTAATGATATGTAAAAATTTACAATATTGTTCTTATGGATATCAAACCCAGGAAAACGAATTGCTTTTAATTGAGTCAAAAACTTTTGATGCACTAATTCGTTATTTAGTTGCACTATGCCTTGTCTTCTAAAAAGACTTATAATTTTCTGTGTATCGTCTTTATTGACTTCACAATAACAATGAACAATATTTTATATTCGGTAAAAGCTCTTGGTTCATTTCCGAGAGTTTTGTTAGAAGTTGGTCATACACATCTTCAACAATAAATGTGAGTTCAGACATTCTCTTCATAATACCAACTGTTATAGAGGGCAGACTTGTTTGATCTTGCTTTTTCTCTGCACTTGATACTCTTGATAAAATACCAGTGCATAGTGGTCTACCAATGGAGTCCCACTGTTTACCCTAGAAACTATTTTCACAATTAAATGTATCACTTACTATTTTATTACGCTTTCCTTTAAATTCTTGATTTTTATTTATTTTTTCTAATGCATACATTTTACATATTAATACGAGTAAGTTTGAATCAAAAAACTTATTCAAAATTTTGTCTTGTTTTGAGTCGGAAATTTGTGGTTTCGATCGTTTCAATACAAAATGGGAGCTTACATCTACTAATTTAATCAAGCCTTTTCTTAATACCTTTTCATTAGTAAGTACTGCAATTTGCTTCATAGTTAGGCTTGTTATTATTTTTTTTCTAGCTTTAACTAATTCGAGACCCGCTGTGTTCCCACCTGGTACTGGTTTTGTAGTAGTTTGTTCAATTTCTTGTTCTCTCATGGCTGTCGCAAAAGTCTTAACTCCTTTACCTGCACCCTTAATTGCAGAAACTCCCATTGAAGTTGCTGAGATAATCAAACTGACTACTTTCCATAATCTGATCAACTAAAATGTCTTGTGCTTTTGGCTGGAAAGGTAATGAGGGTGTGGGGGTGTGCGGGTTCGCCGGTACGTGAACATGCACGATACCTACAGTCGCAGCCACACCCACACCCTTAAATGCAAAGATCGCTACATAGAGAATGAAAATGAAATGGGTAAGAAAATAGATTCCTTTAAAATTTGTTTTGATCACTCTACTTTTTTTTAGGTAATTGTGTTCATCACGATGAATTTATATATGATAATTCAGTACCTGGTCTTTCCATTCATACTCCAAGTGAAGTAGCATTAATGTTAAACAAACTCGAATGTGATGCCACCAACTATCCAGAAAGACGCGAAGAATTTGAGCGCCACAAGAATAAATTCAAATGGATATGCTGTGACACGACAGTAACAGCAGGTTCTGGAGTAGGAGGATGTAAAAAAAAGGAAAACATGGTTTCAATGAGAATACCTCAAATGGGCAACATCGAGATAGGCGCCATCTTGATCAAACAATGATCAAACGATGGGAAAATAATGTCGATGTAATCAAGAATATAATGAAAGATGACTATTTTTATTGGAGAACCGCAGTTAAGCAATGGCAGTTTTCTAAATATTTTCTAGTTTAGAAATAGAGCGTACAAATTTGCATCCATCTCTCTCACAGACTGCTACAGATAGCTTCAAAGGTCATTATAGACTATGGTAGATGGTCTCTATCAAGCAGACTCCTCATGTTTCACATTGTAATTCTACATTGTGCAACTTTAAATTTAAACAGTTATTCGATGGAAAAAATGCTCAAATCTCATTAAGAAAAATAAAGAGATAAAAAAATGTAATTATAAATGCCAATTAGGTAATTACTTGGTGAACGATGTGGTCATTCATTCTATAATATTTAATTCTAGTTTTGTGTGCATACTTGAAATTTAAAATAATAAATGACTCCAAAACACTTTCTATGTTTGAATTTAATATGTTTTTCGATGAATAAATACAATTTACATCTTCATAAGCTTATTTTATTTTTCTTATACGTACACGTTAGTATTTATTACTATTAAGAATAAGAGGTATTTTATAATAACAGATGAAAAACCACCAATATGAATAAAACTAAAGAGGGCTACATAAGCAAACTGTTTATCCAATGGAAGATCAAATATGGAATATGTTGCTACCTGAATTTTACTATGAAAAGCATTGGATTATCTCTATAAATCAGTTATGTAGATGACTCTAGAATATCTTGTCACTATTGTGTGACTCATCTAGTGTCTGACAGGTTAATACCCGATAGATGATTGGCTTAGACGCTTTGACAAGACTACCCCGTATATAACTTTGCGTATCGTGGAAAATGGCAAGAATACAACGTGGGTAGAATGCGAAGAAATTGTAATATTTGCTTGCTTACTAATCTTCTTCAACGATTTTTGTTTCATTACTCTACTGATTATATCATAACGGTAGTAGTTCTTTTTCTACTTACAAGTAAATGAATTGATAAACTGACGCATAATGTGTCAGATGGCCATTCTTTTTCATATATATGCAACAGTAGAAAGGATTTGAATTCTGTTTACTACTAGCTACATAGTAATACAATTTACGTATTGCTACCTTCATTCTTAGTCAACGGTTAGATATACCTTATATATATATTTAACGGTGATAAACACAATCTAGTAAAGTAGTTCTATTTGTAGTTGATATCAATTATAACTGCAAATAACAAACAAATTTAATGAATTCATATGAACCAACAATCTTCTCGTCAGAACAACAAAATACGACAATGAATACAGAGGCAATTAAAATCACTACTGGATTCATCAAAATCAATCCCACTACGGAGCTCTATTACGAGCTGCGTTCACCACAAAGTTCACAAGCAACATCCAAAGTCATTATGATAATGGGCGCATTTGCTACATTGAAACATTTCGATGAACAAGCTCAATTTATTGTCAACTATTTTGCTCATTATTCAACACCCATAGAGATTTTAACATATGATCATCGTGGAATAGGAAAGTCACTGACTACTTCAAGAGTTCGGCAAACCACACGAATGCTTGCCAATGATGTCCTTTGTCTGATAGAAAAAGTGTGGACCACAAATGAATCCATCCATGTCTATGGTGCCAGTCTGGGTGGAATGGTAGCACAAGAATTAGCTCTACTTTTAATCAAATCAAAACGTTTGAAATCACTGTATCTCGGCGTAACATCGCGCGGTAGCTACATTCGACCAATGGCAATGCTTGGTCATAGCGTTTGGTCGTTGCTAATGCCTTTTCTAATCAAAAAAGATCATGAAAGAATGATTCGTGACGTTCTTCTTCCTGCTTCATTCTCAACTGCTGCTCTGAAAGTTAGTGGGGAACGATATGCAACATTGTGGATTAATGACTATAATCAATGGTGGGCCTTTGATAATCAAAATGCGTGTGCTTCACAGTGTTCTGCAGCTGCTTCACACTATTTATCTAATGATGAAATACGCTTGATATGCTCAGTAGGTATTCCCATTACCGTTCAAATATCATTGAAAGATAAACTGATATCACCTAAGAAACAACTGGAACTTGCAAAATTACTAAATGCAAAGACTGCTATATTTGACCACGGCCACATGGGGGATGATGATGTACAAAAAGAATTATTTCGTGCATTTATTCAACATCTTGAAAACGCTAATTGATTGATGTTCATATTCTGTTGACTATATGCTTCCTATTTCTGTTAATGACAGTAGTTATTGGTTAAATATTATCAAAAATAAAGTATAGAACGATGATTGATTAAGTAGTGCTGATAACTTTGTGCATCGATGGTCCCATTGAAAGGAACACTGAGATACTAATGAAATTTCTTCAAATATCAATTGTTGAGAAGTTCAATGATTATTTCTACAATGGAAGAATAGTATATTTTATTAGAATTCTGCTTGAAACACATTGATTCATTAATATCTGATTTGTCAGTGTGGGTATGGGTGAGGCGAGAGTGAGTATTTTAGTTTTCTCATAAACAGACTCAAACTGTAAAGTCTGAAGTGATTTATTTTCCATGCATAATTCGCAAACTTTTCGATCAGAGTAAAAGGAATGCGAAATGTACTCTTTTTTTTCCTGTAGACTATTTCAATTAATTTTACTAACAAAGCACACTAACGGCTTCCGCGAAGCAAAAATGTTTCAGTTCAGCTTGTTTAGTGTATACGGTAGCAATCTGCTATTAGGTTTTGTTTACTAAGTGATTATGCCCATCGCTTTCAAACGCTTTAAATTTGACAACAATTATGATTTTTTTAGTAGACTCAAGAGAAAAAAGTAGAAAATATACTGGCAGCACAAATATATTTTCATCAAATCAACTACCTATAAGTATTCTCTACTTTTCTGCAAGCAGCGGCATCAGAGTAGTTAAAAAGAATTTTGAAGCTGACCTGAAAATAAATTGAAACTATCGATGCCGTATACACTGTAAAACAGAAAGAGTAGAACAATAAACCTTTCAAAGGTCTATTATCTAACTATTATTTTTTACAATGTTATGATAACGTTAATAATGTTTATTAGTCTGTTGCTGCACTTACAACAGTTTTACTTTTTCAAGCTACTACCTTTGAAATGCTTATCATTTATCTTTTCTATATGTAACAACAATAAAAGCAACACAATAAACGCTTTTTTAAATTCTAGGTTCAGATTTTTGTTTCTGGGCAGAGCACAGTATTTGCGGTGAATATTGTAACATGAATGAACATAGTTTGAAGCCTGTTTTTCGCTGTATCGAGGATTGTGAGACTCAAGAATGGGACCATCCTTTGCGAGGTCAAGTGAAGTGGTGGGAGCTTATCAACGGGGATATAACATCAACAACAGGTATTACAATGGGTATTGCAGAGGTGCCGGTAGGATCGTTACCTCCGAAGCGTGGCCACACTCACGATGCAGAAGAAGTGTATGTGATTCATTTCGTTTTTTTCAAAAAATTCATTCAATCTTTTTTGTTCAACACAGATATTACTTCTTAAGTGGGATAGGAAGAGTTTATGTTGATGGCGTCGAAACTGATGTCAAATCAGGTACATCAGTATGGGTTCCCGCAAACGCTGAACACTTTTGTCACAATACGGGCACCGAACCATTGAAACTCTTGTTTGTATTTGCACGTGATAAATTCAGTGATGTGCACTATTGTTTTCCTGGAGAAATCGAATCCAAATCATAAGTTTATTTACTTTAGAACTACTAATTTATTTTAAGATAAATAAAAGTTTAATTTTGCTATATAAGACTTCTTAGGCTGCAACATCTATTCATTAGTCATCGCATGATATGACTGTGGTTGAAGCTAGACCTATTTCCACTATTGCAATCAATGAGTATTGTCGCAAGCAATACAAATCGGACGTTGGATTTTATGTGACGCTGTTTCAACATACAAAACTACTTAAAACGAAATAGAGAAGTTGAGCAAAGATTCACTTGTTTGTAGATTATTTTAATTTTAATTTTAATATGATTTGCTGATGTCAATGTCAGAGCAAGAAATTCTCAAACAAAGTTATATCAAATTGCTTAGAATTAAGAGTTTTGAAAAATTCTGAACATTTCACTAACGATAAAGATCTCTATTGGTGAGAATATGTCAGGGTCGACTTCACATACCAGTTTAGAGTTTGGACTGTGCCGTTTGTCCATATTTTCTCTCCACGCTCGCCTATCTATCCAAATTTAAAATCACGTTAAAATAGTCGAATTAGTCACAGGCAAAATGTAGTTTTAATTCGAATTATAATTCGAATGCAGATTAATTCAATCTGTTTCATTAAAGGTGAATAGTTTTTGACTTTGATCTAGCGCAGATGCTGCTTATTTATTCATAATTTTCATTAAATATTCGAGTCTCAAATTAGACAGCTACTCGTTATTTTATTATTCAATACGAAATAATCCGCGTATAAAATAACTTTCGCTATTCAAGAGTTACTGTCTTGATTTAATTCTCTTCTAATGGTAGGGTGCGTGCCGAGTATATAAGTAGTGCTCTATTTTGATAAAAATTGTGTAGCTACTTCATAAAATGTTTATCGCCTTTTTTGCTATTCGCTCTGCACTTCCAATGCAGCGCCGATAATTACCCAGCGCTTGGCATCATATTTAGTCCAAAATGCTCTGCCAACGGCTGGCATTGTATTCTTTTCAATGGGACCAGTCCTGTTGGATGACCAGACAATTATCTGTGCAATAACAAGCAGTTATGCAGCTAATATAGGTAGAAAGTGTACGCATTTAGCAGAACCCGGCGATTCGGCCTGGGCAGACAATTCCCTGTGCTTGTCAAATAAGTCGAGTGTTGAGTTGGTATGATCATATTTCGGCAAAGTGAACGACATGTCTTGCGTTTTATGTGCGGAATCAGTCGATAATCTCGTTTATCAAAATAATTATTTGTGTTGAAAAGAATATAAATGTTAAATTTTTTTTTCATGTAGCATCATATTCATTGCTTTCACATTAAAAAAATGAAATAAATGTAAAAAGTATTACATTCTTTGAAAATGAAAGTATGGTCGGATGAATTCAATAAAAATGATATCGGTGTCAATAAAAGAAATCGATCTGTTGATTTCAACTTATACGGTACTTAATTCGAGTTCGCAAATGACTAAAAATTCCACAGTTGAATATCTATTCGAAACAAACATGAGAAAATAAAAGTTAATTCATTCTAGAATTTCATTGAGTATTTTTCTACTATTCTTTTAATTACACAATTTTATTCCTACTATCATAATGATAATTATGATAATTGCAAGAGTCCTCAGTGAAATCAAGACTACAATAATAAAACTATTTAAAACACATTTGACATCAAACGGAGTCTTATAGAATATATTTTATCGTTTAAAAAACAATACTTCTTCAGTAAAGTTCGACTCAAGAAGAGCGCTAAAAGCATCTTCACAACTTATTGTTTTCATTTCATTCGATAGCGTGCTGTTGTTTGTTCTGTTTCATCGATTTTTTCCTTCGTGACACATATGGATCAATTAAAAGGTACATTCTGTCTTGGCCCCGTCAGTACCAAAATCTGGATTTGAATATTTATTTTGTCGGAATCGAAATTGTTAATAATTTGCTGAACTGATCTCGATACATATTCTGGACAAGAAGTAACTCTATAGATTTTCATGTTGTTGATTGTATACTGAATAGGAATTAGAAAATCAATGTCCTACTTCTATGACTGTGATGGAAATATAAAGATTCAAAATTGCATTTTTTTTATGTCAGGAGTATCTGGGAGATTTCCAATAGAAAAATAACCATTCTTTTGCGGATCCTAAATTTCTATATCATTCAAGAGATTCTTGAACAGATACTTGCGAAATATCACTCATTTAAATGTATCGTAACTGTACACGAATCGAATTAAAGACAACTTCAAATGTGATAAAAAGATGATTTTGAATTTTTCAACTTTTAATCTGCTCATATACAGCTTTCAAGAAATCGAAGGGATCAGTAAAAAAAAGAGCTAATATTCTAGAAGTGGCATCAGACTTGAAAATGATTATAATACTGTAACCAATGATGGAAGGAGAACTAAAAAGAAATTAAGAATTGAAAAATATAGCCGAGGCTCCTAGATCTGAAGTGGAATGAAAAAAAGTTGGTTTCACAGTACTCTAATAAAAAATTCCTTTCAATGAAACATACATATAGTTTACTTCTTAAAGGAAAACAGCATGATTAAATACTTTAAAATTAATTTGGTTTGAGAATAATACAAACGCTAGATGTCATTAAAGCCAACACTAACTTTTATGAATCAAAATAATTGAATATCATCACTAATCTATATCAGTAATTTATTGCGTATTTGATATTACCTTGATAGATTGTGCATATTTGATCATACAAAGTATTACACAAGAGGTATTGGTATATTTCTGTTAGTGACTGCATTGACCAATGGCATCGATATCATCTACGGTTAGAATATATTGAGACAAAGAACGATAAACTTGGTTCAATTGTGATCTCTTCGTTTATTCATACACATATATGATCCATTTAAATTTGTGAGAATATAACTTTTTTTTTACTGATATTGATATTATGCACAAAATCACTTCTCTTTTGTTGACATTCTTCGCAACGTTTATTAGTCATTTGATGCAGAAGGTCTCATTTTTTAAATTAAAACTCTTCATGCTTTCCTCTCAATCATTTCAGTTCAATTTCGATTGTCCTACAAATCTTTGGATTTCATTTCAAAAATAAGTATATTTATTGACTAAAAATTTGATTGAAGTAAGAAAAATAACGAGAGTAATGTATCTAACAATTACGAAAAAATTTTCAATATATTATCAAACTGTTAGTGTACCATTATTATAATTTAAAAAAAAACATTGAAATAATAATTAGTTCAGCTATCTGCTCTTTTACACGCGGGAGACTATGAGGGCATAACAAAAATATTAATTTCTGACTATTGCTTGTCGTTGAAATAATATACAAACTACATAGCTAGATTCTCGAAGAGAGACTCATACTAGAATTTCATTTGTTCGTTTTAACCGAAATTTTCATTCATTTATTTTTCCTTTTCTTTTCCAACAATTAAGTTAAAAGAAAACACTACTATAATAGAACACATTAAGACCACAGTTCAGATAAATAAATTGTATCAACATTTTAAGGGGAGTTTAGATGTGGTTTTTTCACTTATAAATATAGTTTGACTATTAAAATCTCAGGTTCTTGGTTTATTAGTGAGCAAATCATTTTAAAAAATTGGCAATTTTGATCCTAGCAAGAAGAAAAACCTATTTAATTCATTTGTTTTTCGTTGGATCAATCAACGAGAATGCAATTTGTTGTAGACTGGTACGAGGGACTAGTCAACAAACAAATCAATACAATGATTTAAACTTCGTCGATCGATTCAAACATATCTAAAATCATCTTTCAATATTTGGGAATAAAAGTCTAATCTCTATAAACTGTATTTGAAACTACAACATTGATATTGAAAATGATATCATAACAGAAAAATATAAATCATCGTCGATTACTTTAGCTATTCCTCTATATTTCTAATATAAACTTCACTATAAATGATGATTCATTTTGGAATGAAAAAAAAAGTAATATGATGAATAAAAATGAACAGTACTGTTGCATATAAATATGCCATGACAAAATAATTCACTTCAGTAAAAAGCGAAGACAGTATGTCTATTCATTCAATGATGTTATTTCAATGAGATGCAAAGATAACCAGATTTAACTATGATTATAATTCCCTTGTAATTGATTTCCTAATTATTATGCCAAGCATATTTTACATACTAGATAAACTATTCATATTTGGTATTCTTTATTTTGACATTCTAGTATATTCTTTTCATAACTGTCCTACGAAATAAAGAACCATTTAAGTACAAGAAAAAAGCAGAACAGAAACATACATATATACAGGGAATCGACGGCTATTTGTAATCGGTTATGTACGCATCGTTAAATGTCGTCAGAATAGAGATGATGCGAGAAAAAAATATATACAAGTTAGTAAAAAAAATTGTCTATAATATACATATATATATATGTTATATACTAATTTATCCAAACCTTTACTTTTAGTTACTAATCATTCAATATGACAATGCGATCATTTATCTTATTATGTTTTTTGTTCTGTCTTATTCATCCTAATCCTATTGATGAAAATCTCAAGTAAGATATTTTATTTTCCTCGAATTTATTATTTAAGAATTTATTGAGTTTAGATCGTATAAAAATTTTCGGCACCGAAATGTTAACATTATGAATGGAAAATCAGCTGATATTTTGTTTAAAGAATTTTATTTAAATGAAAAGCAACAAAACGACATCAATGCTCGAATGAAACGTTCGAAAGTTTCAGTGGAACTACGACCCGTTGAAGGACCCATTAATATTGAACAATTACCAGCAATGTTAGCAGCAAGAAATGTTAAACGTTATCCATATTCTCAGCACGATGATCCTGCCATCATGTAAATAAGTTTATGAGAGAAGAAATGTATAAAATTTAAAATATTGATCTTTTCTTTTTTATTGATATTTTAGTGGTCGATAATATATTATCTATTTAATGAAGATCTGGTTAAAAAAAAACGTTTATATCGAAACATATTCTGGAAATATCTTATAATAATTATTCTTTTGTCTCATTTAAGTTCTATCATCTTCCTTGTTGTTGTATTCAAGAATTCTTTATTTGATTATGAAAAAGATACTATATGTATTTTGAATTTTTTTGAAAGCTAATGCTCATAAATGTTGCCTGTGCAGGATTGTTTCGTTTAATAAATAATATTTGACCAAGATGAACTATTCTAATTGTTTCTTTGAATTATATAGGAAGAAAAACTTAATAAAATGAAACTACTTAACCGTGTCCATATGTTTTACTTGCGATAAATGCAGACGGCAGGACACTACCATAGTGACAAAATAGAATCAGACACAGAAGACATGTAATAAGTTGGACAATGCTGCTCTAGCTATAAAATAACAATTTATGAAATGAAAAAAATCTAAACTGTTAATCTGACTCAATAAGTATAAACTTTAAATTATCTAACCAGTGAGTATTTTATCAAAAAGTTCTCTTGTGAATTAGTTTGCCTGAATAAATTTCAAATGCATGCGTACTTACTAGTGTATTATTTAATGGTTCAGTTACAGTTTTTGCCTACCTATTCATTTTTTCTAATGGAAAAACTTACAAAAAAAAGATCTGACAAATTCCTTATTTCTATGGAAATTTTATCTTCATAAGTGTCATGAAAACTTCCTATCATACCCCTTGAGACTGTCCTTATCTTGGTAGATATACATATGTTATATTGAGACTAACGAAAGGTGAGAATAATTTTCCTCTTAATTGATGTTGATTATAGTCATTTTTCAAGAAAATGTCATTTTCCTTTTCAAAATCGATTGCCAAGGTTAAACTTAGCATAAATAATGTGCATGGTGCATTCAGTTTATTGTGAACCTATTAAAACTTCTACTATTCTCTAGCCTGATAAATAACGAGGAAAAAAAACAATTTTTCTCTTTTGTATTTAAAAATTTCATAAAATCTCTGATCCTTTAATACTTGTTCGATTTATTTAGAATTTCATGGTAAATGTAACAAAAGAAAAAGTATGAATTCATTTTTGAGAACGAATTATGTTTCCTTCTGATAGAAAGTCATATTGTAATTAAGTTTATGACATGCATTTTTTTTATCAAATTATGTTATTCGAACCCATTCTAACTGAAATTTGGATAGTAATTAATTTTTATTCTTCATAAAACTCGGAAATGTTTAAGGTTTCGAAATCTGAAGGTTAAATTTTCTATGAAAAATATTCATGTCGTACGTTGCTGCACAATTCGACTGCGGTAACACTGAGCCCGGAGAACAATAAACAGAACTCGAACTTTCATAGAGATGCAGTAAACTGAAAAAATAGAATATCCTAAAGTCTATGATTGTATCTTATGAATAATAAACGATGAAAAATTAAATATATCTATCTAATTAGATTAAAAAAAAGACTTGCTGATAATCTTCTTGTTAAGAAGCATAAAACGACGTGTATGTCTCTCTTTCTCATTGATATATTTCATAGATTAAGAAGAAAAACTTCTTAAATGTACTCTTTCAGTATCGTCAAAGTTTACTCCAGGTATAAAAATCGCATTATCTTTTATTTCGTTTTGTGAACATCATTTGTTTTTCTTGCTTCAAATTGACATATTGTGGCAAAAAGACGACAGAGCGAGCTGGTAGACGTTTCATCGAATAGAGAATGATTTGTTCGCATACTCTAGATAATACATACAGAACTGTACGTATAGATCCTAGAAGATGAAAACCTTTGTAGTAGGTTTGTTGAAGGACTTTATATTCGGGAAACTGAAACTGCGATTTTCTAAATTGAATTCTCATAGAAAATCACTATGAGAAGTCTATTTAGATTCCCAGGAATAGAGTGCAATTTTCGAGAACAAAATCTAGGAGAATATTTTCGGAAGTCACTCTATTGTATTTATTTTTAACAAAATTGAATATTACTATAGGAAAGATTTTCTAAATGCAGCTCGTTTATTAATACATATTGATTCGCGCGCGGAGGAAAATGAAGAACGGTTGCGCTCGTTGATGACTGGTTGAAGAAGGAAACAAACGAGAGTAAAGCATTTTGACAGATGATCTTTTTTGTTTTTCGTTATTATCGACCGCTCATTTTCTTAGTAGATGTATATCACTGTTCCGATAGTTAAAAATTAATTCTTTAGTTTTTTATGATTAGTACTATTAATATTATTCACTTTTATTCTTAGAAAATAAATGTCATGAATGAAACAACAGACGACAATAAACTCGAACCTCAACCACCAATAACGCATGTTGTGGAAGATTCTATTGCATCTCGCACGAAAGAAATAACAAAACGGCCAAAACGTGAACGAAGTCCAAGTAAAGAATAATGTTAATACTAGTAGTACGATTGTTATCATGATGTTTTTTTTAGCTGTTCAAATTCTCCCACCAGCTCCTAAAATAAAAAAAGTCAAAGAGGTCGCACCCAAATTACCAGACAAAACAAAATGGACTATGGAAGAGCAAAAGCAATTTTTTAGTGCACTTCGTATTGTATGATGAATATATATGTAGTATTGAAAAATCTATTTTGTCATTTCATTTTTTGATTATGATTAGTATGGGAAAAATTTCGAAGCACTAGGTCAATTTTTTAACACTCGACGTCGTCTAGTAAATCCTGAGGCACAACAACGTACCTTTGGTCAGATACGTTGTTTTTATTATCGATCATTTCGTACAGTTTCAAAACTATGTACATTCACTGAAGGTTTGCAATCTTTTTTTTCCATAAAAACAAAAGTTATTTACTTCTGTTTTCTCAGAAGAAAAATCTAACGTTGATTCACTTGAATTACGTTCTGTTCTTGCTTATTTATGTTTGAAACCGAAAGTTAAATGTAAGTAATTTCAAAAAAAATGTTTTCGCGTAAAAAATATGATGTTTCCAAAAATAGGTTTTGATAAAAAACCAACAATATCTGTTTTACATCACTTGATTCGTAATGGCAATGCATTTTTACGTGTAAAAGGACAACGAGAACACGTATCCATTATTGGTAAAGCATTAAAACCACCAAAAACGACAAATACAATTGGTATAAAAACGATCATCTTTTCAAAAGAAAAAAACAGCAGAAAACTATTTCGAAATATTTAGGTTCATCAAAACAAACTGATCGTACCTTATCAAAACATGTAAAAATTCTTCTAAGTCCACTATCAGCGAATGCATACATGCGTGTTGGATTATCATGTCGATATCCTCATGTTGAAATCTTATTATCACGTTCAACAACAATCTATGAATTAATAGATAAATTAACTCAATATTGGCAACTAAATAATCATGCTCAATCGGTAAAGTCTATTAATTATAAAAAATAATTCATATATATATATATATATATTGTATTTTATTTTAGTTGTTCAAAGATGATTTGTCAATAGAACAACTTATTTTATATCCTCATGGATCCCATTTAGCATCAACTGATCAATTAGTCGTAACAAATGAATCAGCTTCAATATTAGAACTTTCTTCAAGAAAACAACCTCGTTCACGATCTGATTCTGAACAATCAGTAGAACCATACACGGATTTATCATTAAATTTAATTCGTAAGCGCAATCATTTATCGGAAAGTGAAGCGAATAATGAATCAATAGGAATTAATAATCCGTCTGTATCGCCACCAGCAGCAGCAGCAGCAGCAACAACAACAACGACGACCGCATCAAGTACAAATAAATCAAATTTAGCACGAACAGCTATCTTATTAGCAGCAAAACGAGCAGCTTGTAATAACAATACGAATAATTATGATGCATCAACTTTTACACTAGTGGACTGTACGGAAGATGAAGCAGATAGTAATGCAGGTGTATTTAGACAACGTTTTGATGCTATTGATCTTACAGATGAGGTAAATATATTGGTACCTTCAAAGATTTTCTTAACAAACTTTGAATAGACGAACTAAAATCTTCATGATTCATAATCAAGAACTGCAGACTAATTCTGAATAAATTCAAAATTATTTTCTAATAACTTTTCTCCGGCCAACGATGAGTCTATTCATAGTAGCTAACTTGGTAGTAGAATATTGAAAAAGAAAGAAAGACATTAATCAAATACTCCTCAATGTTACTTTAACATATATCATTGAAATTTTCTTCAATACGAATTCTAAACGAGAATACACTTTTATTCATTCAAAATTATAGTAAACCAATAATTTAATAATCTTTCTTTTTCAGTTTGCTTCTGAAGATGAGATTGAAGTCGATCCTAATCTATCTGCTCCAACAGCCACAACATTACCAACAACTACAGCAAATAATCCAACAATGACATTAGCTGATCTCTCTCAAGGTATAACTCGAACAAATCCACTATGGTCTACATTAACTATTGGAGAATTACAAAAGCTACTTCAACGTCCTAAAGAAATTCGTCTTATCTATGATTTTAATAATTTAACTCGTACAAATACTAATGAGTCATCATCAACATCATTTCTTCATTATGTTATTCAAATAGCAAATCAATGTTTAACATCTATTGCTGAACGTCAATCACAAGCTGAAATGAAAATAGCTAAAAAACAAACTGCAAAAAAGCAACAATCACTACGATCAAAATGTTATTGTTCGTGTTGTTCATCTCATCATCAACATTCATTTACTGTGAAAGATCAAAAACGCACATTAACAAAAACTGCTAATTCACCAAATGCAGAAATATGTGCCCTATTACAAATGCCACAAACAATACCAATGCAAGATTTTTCAAATGAAGACATGTTAACAGTACAAACATCATTAAACAACAATACGAATTCAATATCAGATGGAGATTTGCATAACAAGTGAGTAAACATTGAATACGAATAAGTATTAAATATCTTGATTCATCTATCATAGACAATCATCATTATCACAATGTGATGAACAAGTTGATATTTTTGATAATCTTTCTTGGCCACCAACTACAGTAACAATGCCTATGGAACAATCTCAAGTTTCTTCAATTCCACCACCACCACCACCATCCCTGCCACCACAAACCCAACCAATTACAACATCAACGAATACAACCACTGAACTTCCACCATTATTAACATTATTACTTCCAATGATGAATGGAGTCGAGCCAACACCACCTCCATCAATTCCTCAACCTAAACAACCTGCTATTGTCTTTAGTAGTAATAATGGTATTATCGATGATCCATTAATTCAATCATTAGCTGCAGAACAAGCTGCATCAGCACATAACTATGATCTTTTATCTTATCGGCATAAACGAGTACGCATTTTCTTTGTTTTTGAAATTTTATTCTCAACAACTATACGATAGGTTCGACGTCCACTACGGTATGGTGATCAATCAACTCGTCCTTCAAACATTCAACTTTTACTTGGTAGATAGAATAATTTTTTGAAATTCAATTTTGAATATTTTATTGATAATCTTCTAGATGCAAATATAAATGCTCAACAAAATGCAGCAGCAAATCAACGCTTAATGTTTAATGCAAATAACAATACTAATTTTCTAACATCAATAGATAATCCATTTCGTAGTGACGGTGAAAATCCTAGTAAAAAACGTTTAGTCTATCTAATTGTGACATTCTATTTCTTTTTCGTTTAGATGATCTTCTAAACGATAATACCAACATGAGCACTATTTCACTGAGCAGTATGAACAATTAGTTGGCATTAATTTTCCTGGATTAATTATTTTTTTGTTTTGTTTTATTTTATAGCGACAATTATCAATGCAGCATTACAAAGCAATACTTCACGAATGCGTCTCGACTGGCCAGATAATGTACAGTCATTGTTATTTTTTGTTTGCATCATCGATTTTATGATTATTTTTCTAGATGTCTGATCTGTCATTTGGTAGTTTTCCAGACTTACTTGACTCGAATATGTCATCTGGTGAATTGACGAACTTTGAACAGTCGACAATCAATGAACAAAATAAATGTGCAGTAAGTTTTATCATAATCATACTGTGATCGGTTGATATTATTATTATGTTTTGATCTAGTCTGAAAGTTCAATATCAGAAGCACTGTTTGCCATTAATAATACGACAAATTTACTACTTCAAAATTGACTTCAAACTTTAATTTTTCTTAAAATTTATACTCCTAGTCAAATATGCAAATAGGGACCACAAATACACATACGTATATAAACACGAAGACTTTTCAATACCTTTGTTTTGTTTTCTTGCAATGAACTTTAAATGTTGATACTCACAGTTGGTCGATTCTTTACTATGTTGCTCTATCTTTTTCTTTTCATACAATATGTTTTTTTCTTTCTCTCTGCTATTATTATGTACGGTCAATTTTCTTTTTGTCTTTTTTTTGAAGTTAGTATGCTATTTTTCCTTTTGTCTGAAGAAACGACTAGGAACAAAGATGAAAACAACAAAATTTATGTCTGAATTCAATTACATGAACATCACTGCAGATTATGCAGAATGCATTTCTTTTAGATCAACATCTAATGAAAATAAAAAACAAACGAAAGAATAAAAACTACTACGAATAGCTTTTTGACAGATTTCTATGTGTATTTTTGCTACTCTGGATACGATACAATGCTTTAGTAACAACTTGAAATAATCTTTGTTTGAAAAAAATTTGACTTTTTATTTCTATACTGTAATTACATTTGTTTGAAGAACTTGTATAGAGTCGCTTGCATATCTGAGACACGCGTCCATCAAACAATTTTTCTTTGACTCAGTGAGTTTTCAAAAGATTGTATCTAAAAAACTTTATCGACTTCAAGACAATTCATATAAAAACTCGATGCCTTCGAAGAATTTGTAGTTTCACATGGATCTCTGAGAAATAGTAATACTCAAACTTGAATAGTTCTACTACAAAAATAACAATAGGTACTCAGGTTGTTTTAAATTTTTCACTAAAATACTATGAGGTATCTATAGAGTATACATCATTGAAGCCCGAAGGAGACATTAGTTATGTGTCTCTCGTTTAGGCTTTTAGGCTATTTTAGAAAGAGTTATTGTTATCGAGATGTACTGTTATTGGTATGATTGAATTCGAGTAAGATGGCTATTCGACTATGAAATCGTCGAATGGATCGAAGTAGAGTTATTCATCTTGACTGTAATAACAGTTTAACACATTATTAATATGATTTTTAGCAGATTTTTACAGTTCTGATGTTAACTTATTTGTAAAAGATTATAATTAGACTGATAGTTGACTATTATTTCAACAATGATGCATTTCTAGGGATTATATATGGTTCAACATCTACAATAGAAAGCTTTTCTTATAGAAACCAGCTAATGTTACTGCTAGAAGCAGGCAAGAATCGCTATTCTAAAGCTTCATCTAGACAGAAAGTCATAAGCAAAGCTGTGAGTGTCTATTTTTTTATTGAGCTACGATTATTTGGAAATGTTTTTCGACGAATAACAGGCTTTCGTGAAACTGAGCAAAAAGTAAACAATGAAAAGATGTTTTAGTCGTTCGATTTTGTTTATCATCCAAGACTTAGCATGATCTTCGCAAACATTTTCGATTCGATATTTAATTACTCTAACTGTATGATTCAGCACAAATTAACAAATTACTGATGCTATGATTTTTACATGAACCTATGTGACGAAGTTCTACTATGTCATTGTAAAAAAATCGAATGATCATGTATTTTCATGAGTCATTAAAGTAATAAAGAAAACGACTACTAAGTTCTAGTGGTCATTTTCCACCAGTCAGATTTTCTTTGTCTAGAATAGAACTTTCAGATATCAACGGTAATGATGACTTCCTGAATATAGAAACTTTAAAATTGTCAAAGTTAGAAAAATTTTGCTTATTTTTGAGCCTTCTAATTTTTACCTGTTCATATATACACATTCTCCCATCTACTCTCATTTAACAATCATCATGAAGTATTGAATCATTTTCTCGATTAAAATATGATCTTAGAAAATCATTGACCAACCTGACGTAATATTGAAAACGAACATTAGCGAAATAAACAGCAATGCACACATCAAAATGTCATTAAATTGCTTCTACATGTTCAACTTTTTCATTTCAATCTTATTCATAGAATTTCTTCATTCGAATCAAGACAAAAATTTTTGTGAACATTCTATTTTTTTGTTTAGTTTGTCTCATCAAATTTTTGGGGTGCTAGCTATGTCAATAGCAAGATCTTTTCATGTGCATATAATTACTATCACTTCATTAAGTCACATCGAATTGCTATGTTTTTCTTGCTGTCATGCTTGATAAAAACTTGTATTAATCAACAAAAACAAACGTCGACGATCTTTACGTTATCTTGTATATTGTGGCAGTCTATTCTCTTGTGTGACGTCAATCAACGAGATATAGCTATTTCTTCAGATCATATTAGCGCGGCATCACACTCTTTTATGTATCCTGTTAATTGTCTCAAATCTATGGAACAACACTAAAAAAAAATGTAATCGTGCCTATTCATTCTTTTACCTTTTGACTATGAAATGATATAGCTACACATTTTCATTTCAGTAGGAGGCAGAAAACTTGAGAACAGAACAAGTCGAATAATCTTCGTAGCTGAATTTCAAAAAATTATAAAAGAAAAATAAATTCCCATTGATATTCTATGCGAAAATTATTGCTCATGTTACATATTATTTCGTTCAATAGAACGAGAACAAAATTGAGCATGACCAAAAAGAATATGCGGATCATTGAGCAAAACATTATTGGTATGAATATTTACTCACGGTTCCACCAATCTTAATGTGAGTGGTGATTTTTTCTGTCTGCAACGAAAATAAATTTACCTGGTCATTAATAAAAATAAGACAAAAATTAGGAGTATGAATAGTCATCGATAATGTGAGTAAGAACATTTAGTCACTGTTCATTCTTCATTAATGATTGAATCGATAAATTGACAACAGCTACTTATTTATGAGAAGTGAACGAATAATTCAATCAAGATTTTCTCAAACTGATGATTTGAAAATCGACTTCTTTTACGATTATTGCTTGATGTAACTCCTCTCCCTGAACGTGTTTTGCTCTTTTCCACTTATGTTGTGACTCAACTAGCTATTTACAGAATGAAAAAAAGTCTCTAGATGATTATGTTATTTTAAATCGTTACTTCTCATTCTCATGCTTTTTTTTGAATCCTATTCATTTTTATCCTATGGCATTGTTTTCTGTTTGCTGCTAAGATCCAGTAAGATGCCCATTGGCGGAATGTCTCTATTCATCATGTAAAAGGAAAATAAAAAGAACAAGATTAGATTCATGACGTCATTTAATTGATAAGTACTTCATATTGCTCGACAATATTTAATCACTGTAACCGGAAGATTTTTGACACGAAAAAAAAACACTCATAATAAAGAACTAAACATCATTACATTACGAGTGTTGAGTTCAAAATTTCCATATAATATACGGCTATGAAATTCTTAATCGAAAAATGAACGCATATTTTTCACATTATTGAACTATCAAATAGTTCAAAATCAATGTATATAACTTTTACGATAAGAATACGCAGAAAATATGCACGACTGAAGAAGTAGAAATTCAATTTTGATATTAGTAAAACAAATCGATTTCTGCCAATTTGATCAATTCAATAAACTCGACATTTCATTGGTTCATCGGTTAATGAAGAGAAATTAAAATAAATAGGTAGACCAATTTTTTTCTTCTTTCTTTCCGTTTTCTCCAATGATTGGTTCAATATCCCTATATATAGACATATATGTTTCTATTTTCAACACTTCATCTAAAATCATTCAATACTACTTTCCATATTGATCGACAAATATCAACTTTTCAAAACATGAAATTCTGGTGTGCAGCTGCAAAAAGTGCCAAACAACAGGTAAGTGATTGTGATAATCTTTGTGGCTACGATTGTTCGCGTTGAGAAAGTTTCTCATGTTCTTTAGAACTTCATCAAAGTCCTAAGCAATTTTCTAGAGGGCCAATATGTTAATATTGAATAACAATTTTAGAAGAAAAATGTCAACCCATCTAAGATCTATAGCTATAGAGAAACAATCCACTATTTAATCTTCCTAGTCATAGAATTCTTTATTAAATCGACATGATATATATATATATTGACCCCTTCGCAATTTTCTTCGTTGACAAATTTATTCATTTTTTTTCCTGCACAGACTTACTGAACAATTTGTAAGCATTTATTTACTATTTATTTTAGAAATCTCTTGATAAGAAAGCGATGAAATCGGATGATTCATTATCATCATCTGCTTCTTATGCGACGATATCGTCGATTTCAATGCAAAAATCTGATAGTGGTTTTTCGGACTCGGCATCGTCGATACACGCTTCATGTTTTGAACAAATTCTTGTTGTTGAACGAACCTATCATGAAAATATAAAAGAATATATCAGTAAATATTCTCGGCCATTAAGACGTTATTTGAATCCGACTGAAATCGTTGATCTTTTTCAAAATATTGAAAAAGTAAATTTTTAAACATTAGAAAAATAATGAAATACATTTTTGAAATCAATGTTTATTTTTCAGATCTCTGCAATATCTCAAACAATTGTTCGCCAATGTGATAGATTCATTGATAAAGGTATTGATAATACTACTCGTATGCCCATATCAACCATTTATCAACCATGTGTAAGATAATTTTAAATGCTAAATCAATAATTTTGAAATGTTTTTCAAAACATTTCAGTTCGATATTATGATGGACTCATATATTACTTATATATCTCGAAGTGTAAAAATTCAAGATATAATCAAACAATATTGCCATAAAATTGGATATTTGCTTCAAGTAAATATTTCAACACTGAAATTATTTCGGAAACCATAATGTTTTGTTATCGTTTGTAGATACCAATCGAAGTAGTAATTCGGGAATTAACAGAATTTGTCCTGTTACCTATTCGACATATCTGTATATTAAATGATTTATTTCAATTGTTTCTTATTGACTCTTCAGATTCGATGAATAGCATAGATTCGAATATAATTCAAAGTAAGATTATTAAGACAACATTCGATCTTTTATAGCAGATTTATTTCAGATATAAGATTTTTATCAAAACAAGCATACGTTATTCTCCAATTATTATGTCATGGTCAAATATCTGTATCACAATCATCACAATGCATAAAACGTGAATCTGATCTATCATCAATTGTTGTTCTTCAATGTGTTAATAAAGAACCATGGGAACCGGTAAGAGGAAATCTTTATTGTATCTTACTTCTCATCGTCGAAATGTTTTTGTTTAAGAAACAAATGGAATTATTTGAGTCAAAATTATTATTTACAAAGACGAAACAAACTTCAAGTATCTGCTTATCAAATGTTGTTCATGTAGAAGAAGACTGTTCGAATGAAGAATTATGTTTAATTGTTGCATCTACAATGTCAACAGTCTCACGATATTCATCAATTAAACTGATACGTATTTATATACGTTTTGAAAATCAAAATGATTATATTATGTGGTTGAATTATTTGAAAAATGCTGTTAAAAAAGCAAAAGATCAAAATTGGTCAATGAAAAATGAAGTTGTAATATAATGATAAATGTTGTTCTCGTTGCGCGTTTGATTTATAATTAATTTTTAATAAATAAAAAAACAATGAAAATGGAAATAAACATAGTTTTTCTCCGAATAACAATTAGCTGTCTTCGATCGTTTCTTGCGGCATACAAGTCAGAATAGTCATACGTTTGAAATAAGGGAGTGCTATACGTTTAGTTGTTTTCCCAGTATTCCTGACTACGGATTCTGGAAAGTCTAACGATGGTTTGGATCGTTTGCTTAAGTTCTATTATAAAAATTACTACTATTTTTCTGCTCCTCAGCAGATTCTACCGAAAACTACTCAATTAACAATAGAGAGAGAATTAAATGATAATTCTTTTATATCAGACTCAAAAATGTGAGTTGCCGGTTGTGAAGCATGAGTTTTACATACTAGAACCCGAACTAATGTCGCAAAAGCGATGTTCTACTACTTTATAGAATCGTTGATAAATTGCAAGAGAGTCAGCTATGAACGCAATTTGCTCGTTCAGATGTCTCACCAAAAGAAATGTATCGTTTTGTATAATTAAAACCTGTATACTTTTCTAAGAGATTCACAACATACAAGACTAATAGCAACAATAAAGGAATGTTTTTACAGAGTTTACCATCATTCAATAGCTCATTACAAAAACAGTACAATAACATTAAAGAGTTTATCTTTTGCCTGTTAAATGAATTGGGATTTACATAGTTCTTGTCAACAATGTTGGTATTGTTATCATTTTCGATGATATTTTAAAAACAGTGAACCTATTTAAGCATTTATAATGAATTGTAAATAATTTAGATCAAAGATTCGTTGAGGAAACTTATTAAAAACGATCTAATTATGGCATTGCTTTTACTTATTTCCGAAAACATTGTTGACTTTTTTTTGGCAAGCACTTTCATTATAAGAAAAGCAAACAAAGCAATTATACTGTTTTAACTGAAAATGTTTCCGATTGTAACAACAATCATTGTAAAGAGATGTCATATTCAGTGAAGGACATATATTAGGGTTGCTTTTTGAAACATATAATGATGTAGTCTATATGATAATGCGTGTGATTTTCTCCATAAATATTTATAGACCGCTAATTATTACCAAAAAAAACATACTATACACAAAAATAATGGGAGAACTCGCTGTATCAGATGGATAAACGTGTAATATGTTACATAGTCAATATTATTATAGCATTTCATGTTTATGAGAAAACACGCTTGATTGAGAGCAGTGTTGTCAAAATCTCTGTGCTATAAATGACGCGAGTGCATATGTTGACTATACACTAGTGTCATCTATTCAACTCGTAAATAAACTAATTCTTGAATAAATATTCATATATTCAAAATATTATTATATATAATGAGTTTTAATTTTTTTAATATTCATAAAGAAATTAATGTGGCCTTGATACGAGTTCTCCAATAGTAATCGATCTAAATTGTTTACAATTTGTATTATTTCTTCTCATACACCATGTATCTCTTGTTTCAAACAAATTTTGTTGTCTTGCCATGAATAAATCAATTTTTTTTCTGTTGTAATAATTTCAGATCATCACTCGAAAAACAAAGATGACATCTGGTTACTCAGTACTCCAAATGAAAGAAGATGATGTGCTTAAAATCCTTGCAGCACAGCTTCATATTGGTTCAAAAGATGTTGACTATCAAATGGACGCATACGTATGGAAGAAGAAGCCAAGAAATGAAGCAGCATCTGTAATTAACATTCGTAAATTCTGGGAAAAACTTGTACTTGCTGCTCGAGCTATTGTTGCCGTTGAAAATTCAGCTGATGTTTGTGCTATTTCATGTCAACCTCAAGGTAAAAAATGATCTTTCATTCCTAGAAAAAAGTATTCTTTAATATTCTAATCAATTAGGTCAACGTGCTGTGTTGAAATTCGCCAAATACACAGGCGCTACAGCTATTGGTAAGAGAAAACATGTACTCTTTTTCTCTTTCTCTTTCTCTCTCTCTCTCTCTCTCTCTCTATACATATGTATAAGTAAATGAAGTAATTCTTTATTTTGCTTGTTTTAAATAGCTGGCCGTTTCACACCTGGTTCATTTACCAATCAAATTCAGGCTGCATTCAAAGAACCACGTCTCATCATTGTTACTAATCCACATGTTGATCATCAAGCTATCAGTGAAGCTTCATTTGTCAATATCCCTGTTATTGCTTTTTGCGATCCATCAACATCACTTCGATACATCGATATTGCTATTCCATGTAACAATAAGGTGGAATATTATTGTCATTAAATTGATTACTTCAAAAATAGTATTTTTCGTTTTGAATAGGCTACCAAATCAATCGGTCTCATGTGGTGGTTTTTAACACGTGAAGTACTTCGATTACGTGGAGAAATTAATCGTCAAGCACCATGGGAAGTTATGGTTGATTTATTTTTCTATCGTGATCCGGAAGAAGTAAAAATTTAAACTGAAATATTGTTTCGTTCGTAAAAATAAAATTTTCCATTTTTAAGACTGAAAAAGAAGAGCAAGTTGGCGTTACACAAGATCGTGACACACAACATGCAGCAGATTCAAATTACTATGATGACGGCCCATCAATGATGCCTTCAGCAGAAAATTTTGCAGGTAATCAAGATAACTGGGGTGCATCTGCTGCTGACAATTGGACTGGTGCAACCACTGGAGGTGCTGCTGCTGTTGCGACAAACGACTGGGCTACTGGAACTCCTGCCGTCACCGCTGGTTCAAGTGCCTGGTGATTTGGTCAAATTATTGTTTTTTCTAAGCATCATCAAGCCTGATAGAAGAATAAAAATTATATTACTACAAGTAAACAACAGCATCAACAATAGTAGTAGTAATACACTGTTATATCGTTGGGCTCAAATTTAATAAAAAAAAAGAAACACAGAAATAATTGAAATATATACATCATGTTTCTCTTTTGTTCGGTTTCATTCAATTAGTTAGTTAGTATTGTCTATTAGTGAACTTTCAAAGTAGCATGCGCACATTTAGTAATTCCCAGAACGATAGACCTAGATTTGTTTCCACTGGTATTAACATGAGGGAAAATTCAAATAGCGACATGTGTGAAGGACTCGTTTTTAACAGATGATTTTCAATAGACCAATCATTACTAATTTATGGAGTATCAAAGCCACAATTATTCATATGCTAGAAATTACAGATGAAATTTCGTTTGGATTCCGTAGAACAATATACCAGGCAACTATTTATCATTTCTTTTTCTAGTAAGGGGCTGTTGTGAAGAGCTAAGGGGATTTTTTGTCGAGGAGAATGTTTTGCTCGATTGTTTGTAGTAGTTTCTATGAGCAAACGTTTTTAGGGAAAAAGCAATCTTTTTTTCTACGGAAATTCTTGTTAGAAAGGAAACGTTCTATTTAGATCACTCTTTCGATTCTTGTTAGCGTTTACGGAAGTGGAAAAATCTTGAAAACAAACTTGGTTGGATCTTTTTTGGGAGTCACTATTTATGAGAGGTCGCATATTTGAACTTGATGAGTCATGTCGACATGAAAGAAATAATGTAAGACAAAAAAAAAAGGAAAGAAAGAGAACAATTACGACGAAATAAAGGGCAAGTGTTAGAAGAGGAGAATGTCTACAAAAGAAGCAAACACGAATGAGTCTTTCTGTTCTCTTATTTTCTCCTTCTATAGCGACTAAGTCTATATACATACATGTGTTGCCACGAGAAGCAATATCTGAAATTGAAATGAGTGTCAATATATCAATTCAGAAGACATCGTCTATTACTGCAAATATTAATCGTCTAAAACAATCGAACCAAAAAGAAAAATAGTTTTTCTCTCTTATTTAAATTATCATTTTAGATTATTAATTTATTATTCCACTAACAATGCTTATCACAGAATTTCGAATTATTTTACCAATGACAGTTGAAGAATATCAAGTTGCACAATTATATGCAACGGCTGAAGTATCGAAACAAAATACCGGTGGTGGTGAAGGTGTAGAAATTCTGGCTAATGAGCCATTCGAAAAGCCAATGGCTGAAGCATTTCTGGGCAGATATAATACTGGTCAATATACGAAAAAAATTTATCATCTAGGCTCACGTGTGCCAAGTTGGGTTCGTTATATTTTCTCGGATTCAAGTTTATCATTGCACGAAGAAGCATGGAATGCTTATCCATACTGTAAAACAGTTCTTAAAAATCCTTATATGAAAGAAAATATGATTATTGATATATCAACTTTACATGTACCTGATCGGGGTGAATCTGAAAATGTACATCAATTAGCCGGTGAGGAACTTAAACATCGTAAAATTGTTTATATCAATATTGCTGAGAAAGTAAGTCGAGCTGATTATAAAGCTGAAGAGGATCCGGAAAAATTTCATTCAATTAAAACTGACCGTGGACCATTATTATCAACTCAACAATGGTTTAAAACTTGTGAACCACATATGTAAGCTTACATTTAATATTTGCACGACATATATATATATATATATATATATATAAACTATGTTGGAATTTTTTTCGTTTTAGGTGTTGCTATAAATTAGTTCGTGAAAAATTTAAATGGTTTGGTCTTCAGACAAAAGTGGAAAATTTAATTATGACTCAAGAAGAACGCTTATTTCGTAATTTTCATCGACAACTATTTTGTTGGACAGATAAATGGTATGGTTTAACAATGCATGACATTCGAGCACTTGAAGCGAAAGCAGTTGAGGAACTGAATAAAGAACGAGTGGAGGGTGAAAGAAAAGGTTTTACAACTGAGGAATAAAAATTAATGGAAATATAGTTAGATCTTCTCGATATTTTTTTTTGTTCGTTCTCCATTTCTTTCTTTTTCTCATGTTCAATGTTTATAGGACATGAATAATTATTGGAATTCTCTTTAAGAATTAATAAACATCCACGCATTAATTTGTTTTCTTTAGGTATTTTAAACCATTTATTTTGTGTTTATGTATGGCTTTTTCTCTTTCTTTCTTTGTTTCTTTCTATTAAACTAGAAGAACATTTTGCGTTTGTTTTATTCCATTTTCTCCGCGTGTGCGTGTGCAAAAATAGCTACGAGCAATATCAGCAGAATAAATATGTGGAATAAAATGAGAATATTTTGTCTAAAAAAAAAATATGCATACAAAAGTGTTGTTTTTTGATTGTTTATATAATGCAAGAATTTGAATAATAAAAGTGGCTATTTTGTGATAATTTGATCTATAAGGTATGTTGCCAATGATGAATAAACTGAGCTTTAAAGATCTGTTCTTTCTTGAAAAACAAACCAAGCTTACTAGAGTAATGTTATCGTTAAAAGATAAGGCTTTACTTTAACTGTCATTACGCTTTTTGTTCGTTGATAGAAACAAACACAATATGCTGTGTAGTCGCCAAAGAAGAAAATGCTCTTGTGTAGGTGTTTTATTGTTCTATAAAGTACTTCCGTTTGTCTATCTTAGTCACATGATAGTTTAAAATTAATATTTTGTTGGCATTCATTCTGAAGACATCTTAATTTTAACCAAAATAGATTTCAAGTATTATATGAAAGATTGATTGTTCTTTCTTTTAGAAATCTTTTCGAGTATAGCTAATAGCCAATTCTCGAATTCCATTGGTCTCTGAACTATGTAAAGAGAGAAAATTTCTAAATATACGCACGCTTTCGATTCAACAGTTTGTGTATCTTGTAGATCTTAGCGTACGATCATAAGAAGAGTTTGTGTTGTTGGTTTGTTTTTGATGAAGAAACTAGTGAAACTGATAGATATCTGTTGAATGATTTAATGCAGAAGAAGATCTTGCAAAGACTCTTTGAAGTGGAAAATGATTCATCATCGAATTATGATCGATCGAATTTTTGATATATTTGTAATTATGTCTCTATTAATCATCGAACCCATTAGGTTCATGTCTGCAAATCTGGCCTATAGATACATATAGTGACTCTTCGAAATTGAAAAGAAATTTTCTTAGTAAAAAAGATTGAGTTTTCTCAATAGATGTTTAGTTGAGTCATGTAACAAAAATTGATCGAAAAACTATCTTTTCGAGTGGCATTCTCGAGTTATTCTAAGATTCAATATTTCTAATTATGGTATAATGATGCATCAGAACAGCATGATTTTATTTTTCAAAACCTGTTTCAAAATGTATTAAAAACTGTGTTAACCAGTGATAGCGTAGAAATCCAATATCTATAAAGATAAATCCTTTTAAATTTTTTAACTAACCTTACTGAGAATTCCGTATGATTCTAATAAAAGTTCAAATTGCATATCTCACCAGAGATATTTTCTTCCTAAGAGAATCGTATATCTCGGTGAATTTCGACTATGGAATCTTACATATGTTGTAAGACAATATTTTTTGAATTTTATTTCGAAACTTTAATTGAGTTAAAAGTTGAATCCGGTTAGTTTTTGCATAAATTTAAGGATATTTTAAACTGAATCAATTCAACGAATGAAACTTTGAAAAACTATATGTTACAGTTCGTTTCTATAGAAAAAAAAAATATATACCTCAGAATTTCTGAAACTTCATATACCAACTAATACAATGTGACTTATTTCTGTAGTTAAAATTTTTACAATCTAAATTTACAAATCAAATCTTTCTACCAATCAACGGTCATGTGGTCATAAATCGCTAGAAACCATGATGCCTGATATATAAGATAAAACTTCTAATAGGTTTTATGGCAAAAAATATTTTTGTGCGACTTGAAAAAGGCACCAAGTTCTGATTCTCATATAAAGGGATAGACAATCATGCAACTATTAATTCCTTAATATTACAAGATTTATGCATGCTAAATAGATTTTTCTTATTATGGATCTATATTCTCTGGAATTGCTTTTTTTCTTAGATTAAGCTAACTAATGTTGAACCAAAATTTTTTTTTCGTCTACTAAATTGGAAGTAAAACAGTTTTATAAAAAAATTAATGATCGATAAAGAACTGCTAGGAGACTTTCGTATGAATACACAGTATATTTTAATTTATCTAAAACTATTAATCAGGATTCATAATCAGCTTTTATCACAGCTGAATCCGTGATTACGATTTTAAAAGTTGAAAAAGTCTTCCCATATCATAGAAGTTTGTTGTTTCACCGAGATAATAATAATTATACAACAAATGTAGTCCCTCTTTAACATCACTACCAAAGATAGGCCAGCTATGATCATAAAAATTTCTGATTTCTTATCAATGAATGTTTATTTTGATTGTAACTCACAGTATATGAATTGACGTGGATGAATAATACGAATAAAACAAATTCCTACATTTCCTAGATAAAACAAGCCATATTATAATTGACTATAGAGAAATGAATCGCTTTAGAATCACAGTTTCTGTTTTGTGAATTACCACATAACACCACGAATATGCGAAAAACAACGTAATAAATTACTATATTACATGTTTTTTGAAGTAGAATTTTTAGACAAATCATCTTAGTGCGATGTGTTTGTATTTCAATGATGATGGACACTTTATACGAGTATCATGCGGGTAGAAACAAAAAAAGAGTTGCAATAAAAAGAGTGAACAAAGAAAATAATCTATTTTTGTTTATTTTGTAAATGCATTATTGAAATATAGCTGAACTATTGTTGTTTTCGGATGGAGTTGAAACTTTGCTAGCAATAAAGCTCATACCCTCAAAATAATTAAAATCTAAAGAGAAAAAAACGTATTTCCTTGATGTATTGAAAACTCAAATAGTTTTTATCTATTCAACCATATTGTCAAAATCACCTCACTTTACATGGCACTTTTGAGAAAAACAAGAAAATCGCACATTTTGGGTGCGAATGAGAATTGTAACTAAGATATTAAAACGTGCTTTTTTTCCAATGGATTATGATCAAAACAGTTCGACAGTATCGAATTCGAGGATCGATGAATTTGACTAAAAGACAATTTTTTTATTAGATTGTAACCTGTACCGACTGGGCCACTATGATTATAGTTTTCCCCTTATTCCGCTCTACTTTTCGTAAAATATATAATGGAAGGAATTTATTTGGTATCGTACTTAAATTTTTTCTGGCGTAGATCGTTTCTATTGAATAGTTAAACCCTTCTTATTGAAATTAAAACTACGAATGTATGTTTCTCAATCCAAATTTCAATTCAAAAGCTTATATATGTATAGCACTCAAGAGTGTATAGAATGGCGTTATTCTACAAAATATAATTACTGGCTTTTGGTTGTAATTACAAGGCTCGTATTGTTCAATTTTAATCAAATAAAAAAGAATATGGTCTGTCTATTCTGCAAAGTATTTATTTCTTTTGTTTTTCATTATTAACATTTTCATCGAAGAAAATGTTTTAAAAACACCGAAAGTCATCGATTGTCGCTCGTAATCAAGCATTCAACATAACAAATTAGTTGTTTTTTTTTCGATGAAGGAGAACATTTTTATCACATATATGAAAACTATCAGAGGTACATAAAATCTAGATGGTAAATGAAATATAATGATACGAGCTTGTCTAAAATTTATGCTTCTTGATATTGGATTCCTTGAGTTTTCACAATGATTTTTCATTTGTCTCTTTCAATGAACAAAATTTGAAAAATAATGATGGTTTTATTTTATTCAATGGGTAGATTGATTGTTCGACGCTATTTTTTCTCGTCTAATCTTACTCTATTAACAACAGCAAACGCTAATATTAGTTTTATATCATTAAAATTATTCATATTAATGGATTATTGATTATTAAAATCAATTAGAAAAACTAATAAAGATAAGAAAACAAAAACAATTAGGAATGAAGTCTAAACAAATGGATGCACTTAAAACAAGCAAATTGATTGCATTTAGAAAAGACATTGCATTACATAAACAAGAAAACACTAGATTACAAAACTTTCTTTCAATGGAAATATTTATGTGTCAATGAACCCTATAGAAACAAGAATACTCATAAATGTTAATATGAAAAAGATAACAGTCAAATCATCAAATATCAACATTTATAGTTCGTTCCGGAAGCTTGACAAACGATAATAAGCATCATGAGTAAGACATCAAAACATAGATTCAACATATTCTATCAGACATGAATGAGTTCCGATGTTTAATACTAGAGTAGTATGATGATGAAAATAAAAGCACTTTTCTATTCGCTAGAGATTGAGTAACAAGTACAACCAATAATTATTTTTTTTGAAAATTCACTCATCTACATATTGTTTGTATTCTATGAAGGGAAATTACTCATCGATTTCATGTTTAGAATGAACATTGAGTCAGCAAAGTTACACTATCACCAGGTGATTTTTCTATTTGCTTTTGATTTTATTTATAAGTTTTCAAAAAAGTCTATACAAGACACTTAATAGTACGATAATAATTAGATCATTGATCAATCAAACTTATAGTAAGAATACACTTGAGAAAAACACTTGTCATTGCCATTTATATTATCCAATTGATTTACTTAATGTTCACCATCATTATCTTTTTCAGCTATTAATATTAAATGGTTTGAAGAAGAATAGAAGAAAATGATTCATTCGATAGACTCTGTCTGTTCACTATTCTACTTTAACTAATTGATTCTCAACGTTTTTTTTTCTATTTTTTAAAGCATGATAAGCGTATGCATCGAAAGCTGCTAGAGAAAATGATAGCTATACGCAGAAAGTATAAACATAGGAGAGACAAAGAGAACAGAACGATATCTCATTCTATTTGAAAAGACAAATGAAACACAAAATAAGAAAGATTAATTATTGCTGTCACTATTATCTTATTTATTCATTGAATGCACCAGTCATAAAGGTAATTGTTCATAAATATAACAATAGATGTAAGATGAAGAATTTGTTTTTTTTCTATTCAACATGTGCATGAAGTAATAAAATACAGTGTTAACAAAAAAAAGAAAAAAAAAGGCTAAAACGTAGGATTATATAGCTCTTTGTATGCTGCCTCTTACTCTTAGGCGATTTCTTTCCGTTCGTCCCTTATCACATTTCCTTAGTGTGCGGTTGATTGCATATGTTTAATGCTGCGCACGTTCCGTTGACGCCGCTGCTAGGATTGTCATCACCGTCTTTTATTTTATTTTAGTCATATCCGTGTAGTCAGTTGCAATAAAAGTGCTTTGTCTTTCTTTAGCTAGGAGATAGAGAGAGAATTTTCGTTATGATGAATGTGATGTCTTATTGGCAACCTTCTCTTTTTTTTCTCTTTCATTTATTCCCCGTAACCATTAGAATCAGATTACATGAAGTGCAATCAGTCAGAATAAAAAGAATCGTCTTTGCATGTACTTAAATGCATATAATGAATTGATTAAACAAATGAGAGGTAATAAGATTACTCAATGTTGTCTCGTCCACTCGGCTAATACTTAATTAGTATTAACTATCTACTTCCTAATCTATTTCATGCATAGTATACATCTGATTGCTATTGAGTGGCCATAACAAAAAGAGAAGAATTCAAATCTATGGGGACTTCTTAAATAAAACATGACATATACCAGTAACTTTTATAGTGAGTAACTTTTAATGAATTGTATTGCTATTCATTACGATAGCATGTTTTCGTCCCATGGGTCGCGATTGCATGGCCAACAGAGAAAAATCAGACTATTATTTATAAAGATGATTTCTTTTTCTCTTGCTTAATTCGATTAAGTCTATAATTGTTGTTATTTATTTTTGCTCTATTATTTATACTATCTTGGCTCTCTCTCTCTCTCTCTCTCGCTCTAATCGATTTGTTTGATTTTTGGTTCACTGAAATAACCACAGGATTTTTTACATTTGCTATTTAAGTGCTGTGAAGACTAAGCTAATGTGCATTAGTAGGAAGAACATAGATATACAAAAGATGCTTTATTCTTTCTTACATAAATGTGCCCATAGAAATGACCATTTATTATTATGTTAGAGAATAGTGCCGAGAGTGAAAACTATGAATAGTTTATTTTTTTTACTCATTACATAAATGGTTCATTAGAGTTGAAAGAGTTAATAACAAATAAATAATTAGTTTATATTTCGATGTGGTCATTGTTGTGCTAGAGAAAAACATAACTTTAGATATTTCAATACTTAGCTAATTAGTATTGATAACCAGGAATAATGTTTTTTTTTGGTTTTTTCTAACAAATAATCAAAGATAAATTCTACTTATTTTGTGAATTGTATGAAACTATTTTGCTTACATCGAACGTGAAAATCAATTCAAACTACGGTCTAGTTGAATTTCGAATTGAGACAGTGCTAATAGCTATAAACTACAGCGTCGCTAAGTCTTTTTCATACATTTCTTAGCACTTTGGTTAACTTCAGTAGTTTTATTTAACAAGAGATGAGAACATGCTGTGATTACAATTGTTAGATTCTAAATTATCTAAATACATATTTAAGGTTTTTTTTTTAAAGACTTTCTTTAATTCTGTATTAGTTCAGAATAAACTGAATTCAGTTATGTTTGTTATCAAAAGAAAACAATAACCATTTAAGAAAAATACATCATGAGAATACTATAACAACCGTCTCCAAAAAAAAACATTCTGATCAAATAATAACTTGTAGTTATCTCTAGTTATATGAAACTATCAATGTTGATCGATGTTCTAAGAAGTGTTTTCTTTATTATTCAATATTTCTAAACTTTGTTGTCCCGTTGAACGATGATCACATCGTGTATTTGTAAACGTGTAATAGTATTTTTCATGGATTCATTGCACTTGTATAAACCATTTACGCAATGAATGAATAAAAAAGAAATGCATTCAAATTTCACATCTACTGGCATTTTAATAATTACAATTTTTGATTGCAACTAATGAAAAAAAGAAAGAAAATCGTATCATCGATGTAATTTATACAATTTTTTATTTGTTGTATACTGTTGAGCAGTTGAGAATAGAGCATACCTATTTTCTAATATCAGCAGGTAAAAAAAGCAAATATTTAACAAAGTAAGCTGCGAAATCGACTAAAGATTATGTAAGATCTATTCATAGAACCATTGAAACTAGGCAAGAAGAGGAAATAAAGCGGAAGTTATAAAACAAATTGTACTTCAACCATTTCTAACTACTTGTTCGATGAGTGAAAAGTATTACAAATGGTCTTTCTTTTTATCTTCTTTTTCTTTACGAGCATATAATAGGACTAAGAACTATGAAGGACACCTGAATTAAGAACAAGTATGTAAGGATATATATGAATATACAAATGAATGCTAAGAATAGAATAAAGAATATCTGTAAGATTATTTCTAAGATATTCATTGATCGATAAGTTATGCTATTTTAGAAAGAAAACACAAGAAATCAATTACGGCAAATTAACTTCGAAACCGATTCTTAGATTAAGCAAATGAGTGAGCGATAGAAACTGAACGAATGCTAACAGAAGAGAAAAAGAACGACAGTAGCTATGTCTAGAGATGAGAGTCATATTGTCTCCGAGGAAAAAAGCACTCATCCTAATCAAACTGCCCTCTGCCTTTTCTATTGCTACAGAATTAGCGTACGAGCATGCGTTCTCTTTTCATACATAATGAAAGAAAAGAAAAAGATGCGATATAAAGATATTAGTAGTTCATGACAAAACAATTTTTTTGCTTTTCTTTTCATTTATCTAGCGATCGCTAATATCTTCATCATCATGATCATGTGGTGTTGATCTCTCAGTATACACAACAGGTCATTTATATCCTACTGTTGAATGAACGTATCATTACTATCAAAACTATGTTAGGCTCTTATCGGTTACTTCTACTCGTCAAACTAATCCTGTTTGAATTACTTGGACTAAGTAAGCTTTGTTTGTTTTATTCTAGAAATTTTCTTTTAAACTAAAAAAATGCTTATTTTTATTTTCTAATTTAGAATGTATTGAAGATGATTCATTTCGTCGTTATCGTCGATTACGTTCTCCTACTTATAGTCACACCCATAATTCATCTGTCAATCCATTGTTTTACTTAATGTCTGCCTCGATCAGTGACCATTTTGCTGTTATTAATTGTTCAACGCCCGAACATGTTCCTCATCATAAACTCGATTGGTATTTTCAAACAAGCACATCTTCAAAACCACCCCGTGTTATTTGGCAACGTGGTCGTTCAAATATTCATCGTTATATAGCTTATTCTCCCGATCAATTACGACATTTTTTACAAATCAAACCTATTCTTTACAATGATAGCGGAACATACACGTGTCTAGATCAAACTACTGGTTTCTTTGCTGGAGTAGATCTGATTGTTCGTAAGTTTATTTTCTTTTTCTTTGTTTTATATTGAAATCAATGAATAGCTTTCTTTTTTAAAATATTTTTTTCTTATAGATGACAGTCATAACTGTGCTGAAAGTATTATAATCGATTTACATATGTCATCATTTATTTGTTTGATCTTATTCTTATTAGTTCTCTTAAGATATACGGCTAGTGAGAGTCAAGTACCATGAAATTTTTCAATTTCATATTTTTTACACGTGTTCCGTCCACGAATATTTTTGTTTTATGCGAATAAGCATCCACAATTTATCTTTTGATAGACATCTGTGGGAATGAATTTTGCGATTTTTGTTTTCTTTTTAAATATAATTATATATATATATACATAAGATTAATTTATGCAGATTTGAAATCTCGATTCATGTGTGTAATATCATCAATGAACAAGGTTAAAATCAAAAGAATAAAAATAAAAATATAATGTAAATCATAAAACAAACAATCATGGAATAGGATATCGACAAATAAGATGTTAGATAGTCAATATCAATAGATGAACAATAAAGTTTAATGGGACAATTTGTTCGTTGAAAACGAAGACTTGTTTAGAAAAATAAAATCAATTTTGTTTTTCTTGACTAGTTCAATCGATCATTCGTATTTTATAAACCTGGAGGTTTAGCTATATTCGTATCATAATTTCGTATTAATTGATCTTGTGGAACAACACCATTCTCTTCTTGTGAAAAAGCAAATCCATCTAAAAACAACAGAACACAATTTAATATTAATATTAAACCTTTTATTTCATTATATTACGATAACGTCTATCATCCACTCCAACTGTTCTTGATGTTCTTGTTCGAACAAAAACGTTTTTCAATATAGCTAATCGTTCAGAAACACGTGATACAGACGATGGTTGTCTTCCCGTCACTAAGGCGGATGGATCGTGATGAGCAATTTCTTTTTCTTGTACGTCTTGCATTAATGTTTTGAAATAAGTTCGTTGAATACTAAACAAAAGTAATAATATATATTTTACCAAAAAAACTATTTTGTTTTCTTAATGCATCAAGGCTTACCAATTATAAACAAAATCAGCTAGTAATGTTGTTATTGGAATTAATATTAAACCAAACCAAAAGTATGAACTTGAAAAAACATATTGAGCCTTGGAAGAAATACAATCAATTATGAATTTATGGAATTTTATCGATTCAGGAAACATAATACTGTCATATTTGTTTAACTTACCATACCACGCATTTCTGCAGCAACTGGAAATGTTGGCCAAACATAACTGTATATAGAAAAAAATATAAACCATGAAGCTATACTTCCCCAAATAGCAATATGCATTAGCTAGTAAAAAAGGTATCCTATGAAGAAAAAAAAGAAATAATATTCTTTATTTAACTTACCAATGTCCATGAATCACTTTCGAGTCCAGCTTTAAGACAAACGACAATGACGACATACTAGAAATCAAAATAGTCATCAGCTTGTGATCTCTCAATACGCACAAGTAGACAAGCAGCAGCAAGTGAAACATACTGTATAGATCATATTGCCGAGTAGTAGAGAAGTACCCACTTGTCCGTTGCGAAATGCAACGTCTATAGATAGATAGAGAGAAAAACAACAACAATAAATGCAAGGAACAGTAACATGCAGCTATTTTTAATTGGTCATGTGTTAGAAGAAATTCAAATATGCATTTTACAGGTTAGAAAAGTGGATTTTTTTTATACGTCTACGGTGAGATTAATATTAGTAATAACAAAAATAACCAGCTAAATTTACAGTATAAATGCAGTTGCCAAAAAATAAATGATCTCCGAGAACCATTCCATCAGAATGTGCAACATCTAAATAGCATGAGTTTTTATTCTCTCGTGTCTGTTTTTGTAAGTCAAGATTTTTAGTCGGAAAATAAAACAACACGGTGAACATACCATGTCGAAGCATAGCATATGACATAAAGTACAAAATAACTGAGTGATAAACAGCATTGAGACACCAAGTCCAGAAAATCTATCAATTACAACAGGTTCTTGTTTCAAAAAGATGAATATTTCAACTAACTTTAATATTGAAATCTGATCGATTTTGTGACATTCTATAAATAGCTGGAGAATCCATCATGGTCTGTGCGCTACAACAACGATCTAATAGTCCAAGTGCTAGTGGCGGTGCTGCAGTAAATAATACATTATAGATAGCAATCGTCCATCTTTCAAATAGAATTTGACCAGAAAATCCACTATGCAATGCAAACCAAAGCTAATAAACAATAAAAAGTTTCATTATTATTGTCAGTTTTTTCTCTAGAATGCAGACTAACCTCCATAACATATAGGCAAATATTTTTATAAAATGAATACAATAGTACTTTGCACAAACGACGATAACTCCATACACCATGAACAAATAACAGTTTAGTTAAAAATCGAAATTGACCTATAGTATAATCGGATGCACATGCTGCTTGAACACCTTCATGACCCATTATTCCAACACCTACATGTGCCATCTAAAATCAAACAAATCTTTTAGATTTTTTTCTAACTTAGAATACAGAAGGTGAACAATGTAACGAGCACGATGATTGATTTATCGTTGAAAACTCTTTATTTTAACTTTATTTAAATGTTTCAGGCCAACAACTAACTATGGAATGACAAAGTGTACGTTCATATTTTTAACCTCGCACATAAACCTATAGAAAATTGTAGTTCATTCAAAACGTAATTTACAGACGACGAAAACATGGACTCTACATGTTCCTTGTTAAAAAGACGCTGTTTAGCTATACAGTGTACTTTTAACGTGTTTCATTGTTAGATCTATCTGAACTCGTGATTGATGATCATCTTTGTCTGACTACGATAGGATGCTTGTCTTTTCGATTATTTCTAATAGGTATTTAGCATAAATTCTATACACATTTGTCAACTCTACTTGTTACACCATCGGGACTACTCTAATGAATTCTATACTTCATTTTTCTTACCTGTATCATACCGACATCGTTAGCACCATCGCCAATAGCTAATGTAATTGCATCAGTTGATTTTTTAACAAGTTCAACAACTTCTGCTTTCTGTTTTGGACTAACTCTATTATTGAATATATTGTATCGGTTTCTTTTTTTTTAATCGTATTCTATTGAATTGACTTATCTTACCGACAACAAATGACAGTCTTGCAAGACATAGCTAAATCGAGAAAATCTTGACGACATGAAGCATGCAACGCATATTTAAGTGTATGTCCGTCGATAACTAATGAAGCAAGATTCTCTTTACATAATGAATCACCAAAATTTTGACAATGTTGACGTAATTGTCTTTGTGTATCCTATTTATTAATAGCGGTGAAATTCAAAGTGAAAGAAAAATAAAAAATGAAAACTTACATCACGATTTTTTTCGTCTAATGTCAAGTTTAACATTTGATCGGATAAAATTTTACATGAATAGCCAATATTCACTGCAGTCTCCTTTTTGTCTCCTGTTAATACCCATATCTAAAGCATATTATTAGATAAGATACAATAAGACAATTTTATTTACTTTAATGCCAGCTCTCTGTAGCATAATTAGACTTTGAGGAACTTGCTAAAATTTTAAGATTAGTATATAAATTGATGAAGCTTTCAAAATAAAGTTTACATCTTGTAATTTATCTTCAATTCCAGTTGCACCTAATAGAATTAAATCTCGTTCGATTTTTTCTGCTATTTGAGCAACTAATTCATTTCGATTATTGATTGCTGTTGATGCTTCTCGATATTTTACCAACCATTCCTATGAAAATTAAAAAAATACCAACAACAACAATTTAAGAATAATTCAATTTCATTGAGTTTTACATTGTATTCTTCATCAGATAAAATTCGATAACCAAGACATAATGTTCGAAGACCATCGTTAGCAAAGCTTTCTAAATGATTGGAAGTTAATTGCATATTTTGATCATTTGGCACAAGGCGTTCCATAATAACATTGTCCTAGAAGAAATGAGAACTGCTGTAAAAAGGCATGGTCAAAATGATTATACTGACAGCGCCTTTACAATACAATTTAATTTCATTTCGAGGTGTTCGAATAATCACACTCATTCGTTTACGATCACTTTCAATACAAAAATGAACAATGTTTTTTAAATGAATTATATATCAACATTTACCTGGTGAATTCCAAAACATTTAAAATTTGATATTCTTCTTTTTCACCAAACTGCGAAATTTTAAAGAAAAAACTAGATTAAACTACATACAAGAAGTTTTGTTTTTAGTTTACAAAATTAATAGTGACAGTATCTGGTGTACGACTGAAAAATACAACATCGAGTTGCTTCATTGCTGTAACTAGTGCATATTCATCTATAACAAAAACATAAATAACAGCTAAAATGTTAATTTGATTCGATTGAAGGCCTACCTGGTGACGATGCTTGATAGGCTACTTCAGTTGGTAACTCAGTATACACTTTATTTTCTGGTACAACTGTATGACAAGTGGCAAGTAAAGTTAGAAATTCACGAATTTCATTGCATGTACTCTAAAAGGCAATATTTTTATTCTAGACGCAATATTCATCATAGCTGAAAACCCCATTATGCATCTCTTTTCATCGTTATTATTTCTATAGTCTCTATCAACAGTCTTTATTTCGTTAGTACGAATGATCTAACTATGTATATCAAGACAGTGATCATTTAACATCATGTGTACACTTGAGACTATGCTGTAGTATTATATTCGTAGCTATATGAATTAATATTAAAAATGAGAGCATATATCAACAAAATACCAATACACATGCAAAGATAATCATACATATTTTTGGACTCAAAACTAGATATAGTTACTATTAAGTGATTTCATCTATGAAAAGTATTGATCTTAATTAATGTTGATACTATAGTAAAATATTCTATGTTTTAAAGTAAATTATGTCATAAATCAAAAAGATGTCTATTCAAGAATCATTTCAGATTATTTTCAATAGTTTGAATCATTATCAAGATTTTAATGCATTAAATACTAAATGAAAGTCTACTACTGAGGTGTTCGCAATTCTACTTAAAAAGAATATTTTTGAAGATTCAGCTATGTATTTGACAATAATTACAAAATGATGTTGCAGTAAAAACTTACATGTTCGTGTAAATTTTTAAGTAATTCATAACCATTAAATTCAGATATATTTCCTGATCTAAAAAATAACAATAAATGTGAAAGATTAAAACCGCAAAAAAAAATCAAATCATATGTTTGTCCATACCCATACATAATACCACCAATAGAGCATTGCTTGAAAATCATTTCATTTTTTGTTAATGTACCAGTTTTATCCGAAAAAATATATTTAACCTATTGGAAATCAATACAAAAGATCAATATTTTAAACGATATTTCGCTTTACTTGACCAAGTTCTTCATTTAGATTAGATGTTCTTGCATTAGCTGGTGTATCTGTCTCTGGATCGTACATATCTCTATCCTGAAAAATAAAAGGAAAAGTTCTATTATAATCTGTTTCTGTTAATCAACATACCCAATTAATAAAATAAGCTTGGATAAATTTGACTAAATCAACTGTTATTTGTAATGAAATTGGAATCAAATTATTAAATAAAATAAAAAATGTTAAAAATGTATAACCAATACTCTGCCATCCTACAAAATTTTCAGAAAAAAACATACATATATCATTAAAAGTTCTTCATCCTTTTTAATTACTTTTTCCATCTTCAATAAGATTTAAACCAAGATACCAATGCTTTTCTTTATTTTTGTCACTCCAAATTTCTCCAGCAATCGTACTGAATACGCATAGGATAATCAATAAAAGAAGTAGAAGCAAAATCTATTAAGTACAAATAATCATTTTTCCTAATAGTTATCTTCTTGCATTCATAGTTACCTGTTTATTTGTCACTTGTTCAACATTGGTTCTTTTAAGTGGAACAGATGATGAATTCTAAAATTGATCAATTGACAAAAGAAATACAAATTACTGGTTTTTCTTTTTATTATTTGAACTGACCAACATTAACTTCGTATCATGCCCACTATAGATAACAACTCCATAGATCCATGTGGTATTTTGTAATCGCGAGCCGCGTAAAAGTACTTGATCAGCACCTAATGGAATAGGATAAGCAGCACTATTAATTTGTAATGTTCCAGCAAATTCATATAAATTTCTATTTGGTAATTCACACTCAATTGTTCCTTGTAAATTTTTTAATTCTATCCTGGATTTTATATGAGCAGTTTGTGGTAAACCCTATTCGATACGAAGACTAATATTATTTTGTTTTTTAAATAAAATACAATCAACGAACCTGTCGAACTTTAAGATTTGTTTCACCATCTAAATTCGATGTTTGAATATAACATATAGAGTTCGGTTCACTTGAAAATCATTAAAATTAATTTTAATAAAAATAAAAATTTATCATACAAACCCAGAAGAAATTAAAACAAGATCAGCTGGAAAGTATTCTTTATCATTAACTTTGACAATATCGCCGACTTTAACTTTTTTCCAAGCTGTTAACAACAAACTTCCTTCTCGGTAAACTAAATCATTGAATTCGATAATATTATAAGTTAAAAAACAAAAGAAATATATTTTACTTAGGACTTTTCTACGATTGACTGCATCGTCTTGTATATGACGTTTCTATAGTATAGTTTGATCAAAAATAAACTTAGTTAAATCAATAAAACGTACCACATCCTCAATGATTTCTTTAAGCGCAGCACAACAAAGAATAAATGATAGTGGAACTGCTGTTGTATATCTACCTGTTGGGGATACGCCTGGAATTTGCTAGAATAAATAAAATATTAGTAGATAAATTTTCGCAAAAATATATATTTTCTATCTACTTGAAATATAACAATACAAAGAAAAAAGATGTTTGAATATTTTCGAAATTGTTCAAAGAGAAATTTAGGCAAAAATGTTAATAGAGAATATTTGCTTGTGCTGATATTATTTGATGTAAATTTAGCAGATTGTGGTCCAGTATTAATTGTTATTATTCGTTTTTCATCATTGGTAGTGAATCTTGCATTTCTATCACCTCTAAAAGAGACACCTATTTGACGAGATAAACGGGTTATTGCCGAATACTCTGCCATTCTGTATGTGTTGAATATGAAATGATAAACTAGAATTTTGATTTAAAATTAATGATTCATAAAAATAAAGTTAATGAGAACCAACCCAGTGACTAAAATCTAAAACTGGAGGTATTAATGAGTGTATTTTATTGCTCTTAAGTTTGCAGATGCACTCTCAATCTCGAAAGAACAAGAAAGGAACCATTAAGCAAAATAAGTTAACAGTATTTGAGATGTCGCATTACATCGGCGGTAGTAATACTGATCTTACTGTTTCAACAAACAAAGCTAGATTTTATTCAGAGAATAAGAATACACTCTTAATTTCAGCTGTTGAGATAGTTTATTTGATCAACAATTGGTTAGAAAAAAATATAGGCTTTTAGTTACAATAGAAAAGAAATTCGATATAAGAAAATATCAATTTCAAGATGTTTGTAAGCTCTAAATTATGGATGCTGTACAAGTTAATATTTGATTTGAGTATTTTAAAATGAAAGGATATTGGTAGAATAGTGTGCTTTTTTCACTTCACACTAACTCACAAACAATAACATTTACTGTAATCATTGAATTTGCACTAAATTACTTTAGTTTCTTTTGTTTTGTAATTAGAAATATTTTCTTCGCCGTCATTTTTCTTTCTGTAGGCGTAAAATCAACGATTCATCGTTTCCTAAAACAATGGATATTTCAGGTTTTCATTCATGAACTTTTAGTGCTCGAGTAAATAGACAATTTATTTTCCAAATATATATTTGAGAATGATTGTAGATAAGTGTTTTCAATAGTTACTTTTACTAACCAATGATTGTTCAAGCTTCAATAATCCTATATCTATATCAAACGAAGAATAATGTCAATACTCATTTTATTCTCAATTTACGAGTGCAAAAACTCAAGAAATCAAATGTTACCTTTCATGCATAGGTGTGTCATGAGTGCAGTGAGCATCTGGCAAGCTTTTTTAAAAAGCTGTTTAGACGAGAAACAAAAATTCACTAATATCCTAATTTCTTTTATTCGTCTATTAGTTTTACACATTTTAAAAATTTTACACTCTTTCGAAAGATCTTGAGAATTGCATATTAATGTATATCGGAAATTAATTTCGCTAGAATATAACTCAATATTGTTTTCTTGCTACTTACATAGTTCTAATTCTTGATCTTATTTCTTTTTCTTCTAGTGACCAAACAATGATAATATTGAGCTCAGCGGAAGTCGAATATCAACCGCAGAACCCTATCAATTGACTTTCGACTATAACAACATCTACTCCTCTTTTGTGTTCATATGCTTGTCACCAAATTTCGGGATGTCTTACATTCGATTATGATTTGATTTCTGGCCGATATCGTCTGTTTGCAGGCGATCCTACGATAGCGTCAATGATTTCATCATTACCGTTGAGACCTCTGTCTGTTATTGGTAGCATTCAATATTCGTTTGATTTGTACTCGTCCACACATAATCAACCGTGTTCCGCTTGTCAGTATAGTCGTTATGTAGAATGTTCAAATGTATGTCACTGCCCATCAAATACATATTGGAATGCAGGACATATGTATAAATTAATTATTGGAAAATCAAACATGTACTCAATCGAATACATGTCGATCAGATCTTAATTTAACATGCGCTCGAGGTCAGGGTGGCCAGATCAAAAATTGAAAAATCAGAAAATATATTTTCAAAATCAGAAAACAATCAGAAAATATCTCTGAAAAATCAGAAATTAATCAGAAAATGGCAGTTTTTTGCTAATTAGTACATCTTTTGCTAAAATACTAGCATCCAAAAGTCTGCTGCGTTTCTGTTCATTGACCGGAACTTTATTTTCAAAGATATTTCAATAAAACGAAAGACAATACAGTGAATATATCGTTTAGCTAATACGAAAACATCAATAAACGATACTTAATGCTGAGCTTCTTTTTTAATTTAAAACTCGTTCACAAAAACGAGCAAAACTAAACCAAATACATTCTGCGTAGATTAAGAAGTCCAACGAGAAAAAAAAACATTAAATCCCATCATCTCGGTATTGTTATTCATATTTCGTATCTTTTGGAATTTGCTCTAGGAGGTTTGCTTAAGATAACATATGCTAATAAAAACCGTCTCAAGAGTAATTACCATTCATTTTTATTTTAAGTTAAGCATTACCTGGTTTTTTATTATCGGATTACGATAATCGGACTATAAATGCTTTATATGACCGAAGATCAATTCGACCCCAGAATTAGAACGAGGAATCTAAAAGATGATTAATAGAGAAAATTGATGAAACAATATTGATTTATTATAGTAATGGGTTATAATCGTACCTACTCTCAGTGGCAAAGCAACGATCTCAATATGTTCCAAATTCAGAAAAAAATCAGAAGATCAGAAAAAAATCAGAAACATGTTCAAAATTCAGAAATTTTCCCTAGTTTTCAGAAGATCTGGCCACCCTGCTCGAGGTTGTTATAATCGTTCGTATTCACAATGCATATCAATGATTAATAGTATTTTTTTTAAATATTGTTCAAGATTCAATACGAGACAGTGGAGTTTCTTCCATCGGGCATCCGTATTTCTCTAGTTTCGAGATGAAATACTGAACACATGACTAGTAACTCTAGTTTTCTATTATTTAATTTTTTTTTCATATATTGAACATATGCATAATTTTTAGAATCACCTTGCCATTCAATTGGAGATACATTTTATTCAAATATTATTACGTAGATACAGCTCAATATGTTATGGCTAAGATAGTTTTCGACAGACTAGCATATTTATGATAAACAAACGATTTCGGATAATCTCAATCTAGAAATACTAGCTGTATTTTTTGCTTTTTTCTGAATAATTTTTCTGTTTTAAATTTGAATCTGAAGCATAGGCCACGATTGAAAATATAGTGAATCAAAAGAAAACAAATGATGCCGAAAAATATATGAGTCATTTTCTTTCACGGTGCTTTCTAGATTTTGGGTTAAAATATAGCTAGATCTTCACTCTTGACAAGTTCTTATGATAGTTATGGATATCATCATTCTTTTAAAATTATTTTGATCAATTGTAATATTGATTATTAAAGAAATGGATTAAATTACTTTTAATTGCATTATCTAGAAAATCTTCAATTCTATATGTAGTGCATTCAGTGAAAGTAATCTTTTTTTTCTAAAGCATGTAGAAATTTTTTCTAAAATTCATGAAACTTGAGTTTGGGTATAGTTATGTGATATATTCAAGGCGATCTCAGCAAAGCAAAGTTTTAAGAAGAACAAAACGTAGCAGTACTAGGAGTAATTCCTCAAAAAACAAACACTATTTGACTTATAAATAGATCAATCAGATCAATGTTCTTCTCTGACCTATTGGAATGGATCAGAGACCGTCACAGGACAGTTCTGCCCTGTCCTGCCCTGTGCTGATGGCAGGGCAGGGCAAATTTTTTTGCCCTGCGCCCTGATAATTTTTCCTATAAACTGATATACAGCAGATTTTTCAGTCGATTATGCTGACATGGTGATGGATTGTAATGTATGTCATTATGCGCCAGTCACTGTGAAATTTGTTGCTATGTCTAGTTCGGACAATACCAGTTTACTCATTTATTTTCATATAATTCAATTATAAAAATAAAATACTGCTTCAAAGAGAAATGCAAAACATGGTAGAATCATTTAATATTGTGTAAGAGAATGAGCTAATTTAAGAATTATGTGTATGATGAGCTTTTTTTCTAAATGATTTCAGGCATGAGCTTAGTGTTCCAGAGGAAATTTCACTTAAAGATTCAACATGTTCTAATGGTAAATTTCTTCGCATGTTTTAGTTTTGTATGCTTAGTTCTCTCTGTTTTAAATTATTTTCACTTGATATGAACTCGCCCGGTTCTACAAAATTAGAAAATCTCTTGTTTCATGATAAATCTTACCACCCCATAATACATAATGAATCTCTTGCTACTGGTACATTTTGAAGAGTCTTTATTTATCCAGCACGATGAGTTGAGGAGAATAAATGTGAAAGATTTATTCGATTTCTCACTCCCGGGTCGAACAATCCGGTTTGGAAACGGCCGGTTCCGGGTACTTCCGTTGATTTTGTGGAAGCAGTATTCCGGTTGGAAATTTTTAGCATTTTTTCTGGTGATTTCCAATCAATTCCTGCCAGAAAGCACCGGAACTTGGCAGGAATTCTCCGGAAAAGTCCGGCCGTATTTTTGACCGGAATACTGCTTACATGTTCCAGCGTTTTCGCGTGTTTTCCTGCAGGATATGGTGACTTTCCCGCATATTCCCTGGAGTATCCTACGGGATCCAGTGGCCGGAATGTTCGACCTGGGCTTATTCAAATTATATACATATTCAATTCGCCAAATCACGATAAGCGCATTATTTTTGCAGTGAACTGATTTTTCTGATAATCTTAATTGCTGTTTGCTACTCATATTTAATTATGTTTTAAGCGCATATCTATATTTTCTCGAATATAGATAAATAAAATATGAGTACTTTACTTTTCAGCGGTTACAACATTTTCATTTAGTCTTTACCTTTTTCAATACTTCAGTTCAATTTATAATCATGCTCTGTCCTGTCTCAGGGCAGGGCAAAAAAAGTTGCCCTGTGACGATCTCTGGAATGGATCTATGCATGTAAATAAACTACCACAAGATCAAACATGTTCACAATTAGATGTATGCCGGGATGATTTAAACTTAACTTGTGGAACAGATTGTTATGGACCGCACGTATCACAGTAGTTGGTAATTCTGGCGGGTGTGGGGGTACAACAGCTACTGCACTTCATTCTCCTTCGAGTATAGCACTCGACCCAAATGATAAGAATCTCTCTGTATCAGACACTCCGTAATCATCGTATTCAAAAATGTATCCTTGATTAAATTTTCAATTTGTTTTGCTTCTCAAATGATTCTATGCCTATTTCTCTTCTTGCTTTCTCGTATTAAATACTTTTATAATATATATTCGCGGTAAGACAAAGGTAACCTGAAAATTAATTTTGATTATGCTTATATTCAATGATCATAAATTTTAAGAAGAGCAAATCACAAACAATATTATCCATGTGTAAATATGATCGTAAGTTCATTCGAAATTCGATCTAAACTTATTCTATTTGTATATTCAATTGTAGTCTAATTGTAAAGTTAGGTATGATTGTTTCGAATTTCTTACATTTTTTCACGAACTTATTAAATTGATTTAAATTTGCTTAGGATTGGTGATTGATAAATTATTTAACAGATGCCTTTCACTGACTTGAAAGAATTTAGAAAACCTTGATAAAAAAAATAGTCGATTGAGCGACCAAAAAATCAGATTAAACCCAAGTAAGGTTGAGTCATTCTAATTTATATTGATAAAAATATCATTTTTCTTCTTGTTGAATATCTTGCTCAGTTCAACATGCGCACATGACAGTATTAATAGCATATCTATATACAAATAGAATACCCATCAATATAAAATAGGATTTCCTGTAATGAGAATGTAAGTGCCTCAGCTGATCTCACATCTCGGTGAAGAAAAACGACAGTGATATATATGATTCAGCGTTTTTACTGAAACAACGATGAATACATTTTTCATTCGTAACTGAATCTGTCTCTGTTCTCCACTGACTAAATGTATCGGATTCCGAGTTTGCTAAATAGCATGTAGACTGTTTTTTTCTACATAAAGCAACATAGCATACAATTTACGTTCGAACTTCATCTTGCTTTGATATCTATGCTCTCTGCTGTCTCACAAATATGTCGGTGCGTACTTTATGACTGCGAAAAATTGATTGTAATTCTTACACTCACCATCTTTCTAACTAGAAGTAATCGTATGTAAAAAGCTTTTAATAGAGAAATTCTGAATACTTGGTCTCCATTGAATGCTTTAGATTTAGACACTATCGAAAAGTATAATAACTATAGAATGACGAACATCATTGCAAAAATCTCCCTTTCTTTGCATTCATGTTTGTTGTAAATTTATGCCACGCTTTAATACCTCTTTCGGTGTACTCGTAGAAGCGTGCAGTACAAATGTTTCCTAAATAAGTAATAACAGTAAAAACAAAATCACTTTTCTCAACGATATATTACTTTTTACCGAAAGTGAAAAGAAAAGCTTCAATATGAATACTAAGAGATCGTTTGGTGCTGTAATTTGACCATATAGATACATAGCCCGAACCCATGAAAGAAGATTGGCACCAGCTCGTGAGACATTTCTCATAATATTTAGCTGCATCTCATGACACATCATATATAGGATTCTGCACGAGTAACTTGCTCGGCGGTTATTTTTTCTTTGTCAAATGTTACTAAAATTTCAATGAAATTATTACTCTTGATATATTTTTGTTCTTCCTTCCAAATGAATTTATCACTTGGAGTTTCACGCTGCAAAAAAGATAGTAACCGCTTGCATTAATGTGGCTATAGCTTTGGACGGATTAGCACAACTAGTCAGTCTGCTTAAACGTTTTTGCTTATCGACTTGTTGAAGAGCACGCTGAGCTTCTAAAAATGAAAATAAACATATTTGTCGTTTTGTCTGAAGAATATGGAAGAATTAATTTACAAACCTTCTAGTGCACAAATTACATCGTTGTTGGAAACTGTTGCCATTTTGTCCTAAAATGGAAAAGAATTTCCAATATTTTTAGAAGAAAAGTGATATGTTCAGAATTTTTTTCATTCTCCTGCCATAATTAACATGAGAAGATGAAAATGCTAGCAAGGTTAATTTCATATACTTAATAATTATAAAGTTTAAAGATAAGCATGTTGCAAATCTATACTTACCCAGGTCAATCGTTCGGGTTACAGGATACTCTAGAAACCAGCCGGAAAGATGCAGAAAAAATCACCGTATCCCACAGGAAAACACGGAAAGTCACTGGAATTTGGAAGCAGTATGCAGGCCGGAAAATGTTTGAATTTTTCCCATTGATTTACTGTCGTTTCCTGTCGGAAAGCACTGGAAGTTGACTGGAATCCATCGGAAAAATAATTCGAGAATTTCCGGTCAGAGTACTGATTCCGCCATCCAGCGATTTCCACTGTTTTCCGATCGTTTCCTGCCATACCGCCACGATCTGGGTATAAATAGCTTCTACAATAGTAAATTTCTAAAAACAACCAAAGAACTCAGCGGTGTACTAAAGGAAAGTATGCACAGAAATGAAACTTGCTATACACTTACAGTATGTTTTAGTAAAAAAGGAAAGACAAACAATACACTACTAACATTCTGATAGTCTCAAGAACAAAACGTATTCTCTTTTGTAGACTGACTCAGTTTGGTTTATAGTACAATTCTGCTGCATATTATGCTACGTATAAGTCAATTTCAAGGATAGACTATTTGAGAAAAAAATAAGCACTGTCAACCAATTACCAATATAACTATTCGAATTCCTAATAGCCGCTAGTGACTAGAGGAACTTGACAATCTATTCTTGAACCTAAATCATACAAATAGCTGCTTGCTTGAATACTTTTTTTAAACGCTCATAAATGAACTATTGGCTTGTATTCAGTTAATAAAATAAAACATATTCGCAATGGAGGGATGATAAAATCGAATTCAACTTATCTATAGTAAACAAATTTATAGAACACACCGTTTATAAGTTGTCATAGGTTGCTTCCATCTTGTTTTTTCGCATTACTGTTACTTATTGACACATCGTAACTGTAATTCAATTGCTCAGTGCATTTTTTTCTCATAGAAAAGAACTGTGAATCATCCCATCTGCCGTTATTAATAACAACGAATAAATCTTTATTGTTGATGTTAGCTTTTTCTTATTTCTGTACATGTTTTGATGAATTCATCATGCTTTTTTCACCTTGCTTGCCAGCAGCACGCCATTCGGTCAAGCACGGCTTGCATCTTGTAGTTTAGCGAATGCGGCCATCAGTTGATGATAATTATCATAAGCAAAAGTTGAAAATGTGAATCGAAAATTCTTTTGAAGTGCTCATTTGATAGATCGAATACAGGTTTGGAAAACGAACCTGAAATCTTCAACTTCAGTTTATCTATCAAAATAATAATAATAATAATAATAATAAATAAAATGATTGATGAGTTTCAGTTTTTTGATAATTTCAATACATGTACTCTATAAGAAAAGCGTGGAGTGCGATTCTCAGTCATTATAACTTTTCAACATATTTATTGATTACAAACTAGACTCTATCGTGCATAGTCCATCAAACAACTAAGCTCGAATATATAGATTACACCCACACCCTTTTCAAAAAGTGTGCCTCGAGTTTTGTTCTCTTCTTGCATAAATAATATGACTCTCAGGTGAAACATAGAAAAGAAAAAAGAGAAAGAACGAGAAACTGTTGCTACACAAATATTTTTGTTGAAAATTACTGATAATGCAGTCGGAAAAAACCAACGTGAAGTAATGCATCCGTCAAACATATATATAAGAAAGTTTAAAAAAAGGTTTTGTTGTTACCTTTGACACTAAATTTTCTTCAGAATAGATAACTGTTGATACGCGCGTATATTTTATAATGGACTCCTTGAGAAATGCTTTAGATGCCATATCTAGTAAATGATACCAAGTTATTGATTTTATTTTTGAATATTAATGTAACAATTCATTGAAGGTAATGCCAAAGACAATGAAAATCAATATTGTACAATTCGTTGGTTGGACGATAACAGCTTTGAAGTTATCCCTCAAAAATATATTCAAGCTTCACCCCGTTCTATTCAAGTTTCTCAATCCTACATGATCACTATCAAAGGCAAGCAACGGCAAGGGACTGTGCTTTGCAAAGGTAATATGCTTTTAATACGGGTTTCAATTGAATTGAAATTTTTTCTCTTTAGGAAACAAAAGAGAATGTCAGATGCTTCAGTACAATGATTCTCCTAAAACTTTGACTCCGCGAAGCTCAGAAACAAATGAAAGTAGGAAGCTGAACAATTCGCAATATATAAACATTGATACTTTCTATATCAGGATCAGACAGAACCATTGGCAATGATTCTGAAAGTCAACCAGGTAGAAACATTTTGTTTGAATAACGAAGGTGAAATTTAATTAAAGTGGATGGAATGGATTGTTTTAGATTCAGAAGAAAATAAAAACTCCGGTACTATTCAAAGGGAAGTTTTAGTAAAAATCCTTCAATTACTCATTCATAATATAAAAGATATCCAAGAGGAAAACAGCGAAGAAGTACACAATATTATATGTGACGCATGTGGAAGTTCTCCAGTAACAGGCGACCGTTATAAATGTTTGCAGTGTGAAGATTTCGAAATTTGTGCGAGTTGCTTTGAACGTCGTGTAGAGCCGAAACAACACAAGAGTGGACATTTATTGGTTCATTTACGTCTACCGGATGAACTTTTTGGTCGAACAGTGAGTAACGACGATTTGACCATCGAGCATTTAAAGCAGTTTTATGCCAAAGAAGTACATAAAGCGGTCACTTGTGATGGATGCACTCGAACGGATTTCGTCGGATTGCGTTTCAAATGTGACACGTGTCCAGACTATGATTTGTGCTACCGATGTGCCACAAAAAGTGTCCTCACAAGTGATCACAAATTGACACATCCACTGATTCTGAGCTCTCATCGAGTGATTGCACAGATACCTGCAAATGATATTGAACTCGGTGAAAAATTGGGAAGTGGCGCTTTCGGTAAGTGTAGTCTATTTATCGATCGGCCGAAAACATTAATGGTTTATCTTAGGATCGGTTCACAAAGCCCGATGGACATCGAAGAATCTTCAAGTAGCTTGTAAAGTCATCATAGTGCCTGACTCAGATGAAATCAGTGAATTGGAGAAGAGCTTTTTCAAAGAATTAGCTGCCTACATGGAACTGTCGGGTGGCTACATTCTTAAAACCTATGGATATGCATTGGCTCGGCAGAACAACAAAAAGGTATATATGATCATTATGGAATACATGGCACGTGGTAGTTTAGCAAGCGTACTCAAAGATAAAGATAAAATATCTCTACGTCGAAAAGTCTGCATGGCTAGACAGATCGCTAGTGGAATGCGAAAAATTCATGAACATCACATGATCCACCGGGATATTCGACCAGATAATATTCTGGTTAATAAAAATTATAATTGTAAAATCGGTGATATGGGCATTGCTCGTGTTGTCGACCCATTCAATCAACATACGCAGATCGGATGTCAGCCTTTCATGCCACCTGAATTTCGGGCTGGTACATACAATCAAAAGCTGGATATTTTCACGTTTGGTCTGACCATGAATGAGTTATTTACCGAAACACGACACTCCTTTCGTGTATTGGCCAAGGAAAAAATCGTCTTTCAACAAGAGAGTCCGATCTTTCAAGATCTCATCGTTCGATGTACTGCGGACGATCCAAAATATCGACCAGCTGCCATTGAAATCGAAAAGACACTTGAGTTATATTTTCGTACGTTTAATGAAATGATCTTGAAGAAAAATCATGGCTATATTCTTTTGTCCACAGAGAAGAAGAATGAAGTCTTCATTAAATTCTACGAGAAAATTCATAGAGCAGCAACGGAGTTCATTCGAAAAAAATTTCCATCAGAATTTTTGGAAGGATCAACATCCGTGCAAGGTGTGAAAGTAAAAACGGACTCTGATAATGCGCAACAAATTGATTGTCGTCTTCAGTAGATATGCAAAAACTTCAAACTGGTTTGCTTATCTACATTTGGTCAATGGACTTTTGTGATTCAATACTGAAATTTGATACGATCGCATTTATATAGTTGTTTTCATGGAATGCTTTTCGAATTTTGGATAACAAATTTTGACTGCTTTTCGAGTGGCAAAATGTACTATTTAAATCATTCGATAACTATCATTGATATAGAGTCACCCATAAATTATTTATTTATCTAATTTGAAACACTAGATATTTCTAAGCGACGGCTAAAGATTCTTATGACATTCTAAATTGTCGTAGCTCTTGAAAGAAATGAAACGAAATTTAAAAAACGATTATATAACATTGAATCGGCATGAAATATGAAGTAATCTTTCTCGTATTCACAATTTGTTCAAGCTTTCATGACGTTTATTTGATGCAAACTACAATAGATCAATTTCATCAGCCTATATCCTTCAGTGTAATTGATGTAAAATATTTTTAAATGCAAAATAGCCTTATCTATATATGATGCATATTTTAAAAAATATCAAAATAATTCCTCTGATATTCAGCAGTGAAAAAACGACTCGACAGTAATAACGGCACAGGAAAATTATTTAAGATACTCGAGGGAAGTAAATTTTTATGATAAAGGAACATTGATAACACTTTCGTCGATTTCTTATGGTTGCTTGTGTCTTATTTATCATATCATGTTGAGGTGAGAAGTATGGAGACTATGAATTCTCGTCAGCTAAATAGCCTTTTTACTTGTAGCAATAGACTATACTTTCATTCTATATGCTATGACAAAGATATTTAGTCTATGAACATATTATGAAGAAAAGATGCCCTAGAAAAAAAATCATATACTTATAGATATATTCAAGTTTTAAGATAAAATTAACAATACATTTGGGCGACCGCTACTGTCATGCAGACCGAAGACGAATATGAAGGTAAATATGCCGTTAGTAAAAAGGTATCTAAATTATTTTTTATGTTTCTTTCATTTTGTATAGCCAAGCACAGTCGAAAACAACAAGATGTTCACCGAGTACTCCGCCATTCAAAGAAAGATCGACGTATGTTTACAGGCACTTATACCCAGGTTGACTAATCCGACGACGAAATCTATCAGATCCTACTAACCGAGGAAATTAAATTGAATTCTAGGTTTCGGAATTATTGATGGATCCGACGGGAGAATTTTAAAAAATTATCAAAATTCTATTTAGTACAAAAAACTTTTTAGAGGGTGACTACAGCAGAAGTTTTTGGCGTATCGGATCCCTCAGTAGGACACGACCGCATATGTATCAGATTCCGATCCTATGAGCCCGAATCTCTTTCCGAAACCCGGAATCCGTCGGTTCTTGTGGGTTGTCATATAAGATCCGATTGAATCCAGTTGTAGGAATGAACGACCTGAGTAATCAAGAAAATTTTTTTTGATATTCTCTTTTTTTAGGATAACGCAATGTGACGAGTGAGAGAAACGCCATTGATATTTACATATTGTTTTTGTATCATTTTAATTTTGTACATTATAGGTACAAGAAACCAACGTTTTTATGAATCCACCCAAGATTGTCATTTAGGTATTGGTGTTCATTGCCAAGAACTCTCAATGAATCGTCAAGAATCGTCAGAGGAAGAGGATTTAAATCAGCGTACGCTACTTAACACAGCATCCAGCAAATATGATGGCAAACGTTTCACATATGCTACATGCGTCATACCAAAAACAATGAATGCTTACAAACATAATAATCATTTGGCTAAATCAATAACGCCAAGCGAACTATTACATGTTACACCACACAAAATGATTCAGTTAGAATTTAGCATCTTAAAAAAATTCTGCTTCATATCGATTTTTGCTGAATTTCGTCTAGATGTAATCTTGCTCAACCTAAGGTCGATATGAATATGTATAGTGATCTGCTACGGTAAGTCTGATCTCTTTTTTAAATATACCGTACGTATCATTGATGATAGAGCTTTCAATTATCCATCTATGGAGAACTTCAAGAAAATGATGAAGATATTAGAGACACTTCCATACAATCGTCATAGTGAAACAAATCAACTATTTGATACTGCAATGCATCATTTCCGTAAGAACAGCTAATCGAAAAACCGAATTAGTTCCGTATCGATGAATATTGTACTTTTTTTCACCACCAAAAAGGAGAATATTCGGCAGATTCGAATCAATATCGTCGTCTGCTCGAAATTCGACAAAAAATTTTGGAACGTTCATCGTATGGATTGCTGTTAATCTACAATGGTCGAGTATGCTTTATTTCTATATCATAAATTGACATAAATGTACAAGGCCTTTTCTGCATAGTTATTCGTCTTGCGAAGTACTAGTAAACATCGCTGTTTACCTATTATCAAAAGTCATCCAATCATTAAAGATGATGGTCAACTAGAAAGTCCACGTGAAACAGCTGTACGTGTAGCATATAAAGCGATTGAATATTGGGAAGTGAATACCGGTGAATGGCGTGCGTACAATATTGAAGAACACTCTGAACATATTCGAAAAAGTGTTTACATGGAATGCACTGTTGAGCATGAAATAAATCGTCAGAAGTGTTATCGACTGATCGGCCTCTTCGTCATTCGGCTGTCAACAGAAATTCAGTTCCGGGCTCTTCATTTAACAAAATTGCAAGTGAGTAATCACAGTAATACTGTTTGAAATGTAAAGAAGAAAAGTGTTTTTGATCCATTAGGTTAATGGCGAATGGATTCCACTTGATGCCGACATTGATCAAAAGGAGTATTACCAACTGTATCCTTTCATTGAGTAAGTCTACTCGTCTAAACAGTATAATTTAGTTTTCTTTCTCTTCGAAGGTATCTTCGTAATCATATTGGTGTATTGTTGGATTAAATCAGAAATCAATTTTGGGTCCGTGAACTGAGAAAGATCTTTAATTTTTTGTTATTAATCACCAAAGTTCCATCAAAAACAATTCCTTATGATTGATATTTGTAATTTTATTTCTTTTATTCCTATATTTTACCAGAAACATTGATTAAATAAGATAAGACAAAATGAACCTTTTAGCAGATCTGACGGGGAAACTACTGACTTAACTCAACTGAAAATCAAAATAAAATCACCGAAATTCATTTTAAGTCACAAACTCACAACTCATCGTTTCTTTCTTGCTAACAGTGCTTCAATATATATTGCTTCTTTTTTTAGCAAAAGCCTTCTTTTTCTTGTGTCATGCTGCTGCGACGCCTATTTTTATTTAATGTTATCAAAACTTTTGAACAATCGAAGGTAAATGAGAAACAATGATGCCATAATAATCGTGATTATATGGAAATTGGGCTCGTGTAGCAGAGCATCAACCAGGCCGTGTATTTGTAGGCCTGGCAATTTTTTTTAATGCTAATACCATTACGAGGATAGAATAGAAACATGTAATTAATGTTGAGAATGAAGAAAAACAGTTTAATTAATTTAATATGACTAGATTAAGCATTTACTTAGCGAAGTTTTCCTACAAAAAAAAAGAAAACATCGGATTTGCATCCGATTTTTGTGTACTGCAAAAACTGAGTCGATTTATATATGTTTCGAATAATTCTGAGAAAAAAAATTTTGTTTTTGAAAAAATCCCTGTACTCCCCCTCAAGGATGGTCTGGTCAATAATGAGAACTTTTTCGATAACTCAGCCATTTCTTGACAGATTGCTTTCATCTTCGAACTCGACTGAGATATTGACGAGATCACTCTGTGTACAAAATTTCATGATAATTGGACGAGGCTTTCAAAAGTTATCGTGTTAACGGCCGGACACACTGACCGAATCTAGGGTGTATTCATGTTTTTTGAGTACACAAAAAGAATACATCAGAGACAGCATGGTATGGCATTAAGAAAAAAAGTTTTGTTTTTGTTCAAGAATGCTTTGAATGGATCTCACAAAGAGAATATCATTTAAAAATCGAGGATCCTAAGAAGAACGACGTTCTGTTACAGTTAGTCCAGCAGATAAATGAAAGCACAACAAGCGAATGGAGACAGAAAACGAACTATGAAATTTGAACTGAACATTAGTCATTATTTGGATCAATCACAAATGAACACAGAACATTATTATTCTATACTTCATCTGATTATTAGCGCCACATTCAATTAAAAAATTTTTATGTCAAAAATAAAATTATAAATATAAAGAATAGAGACAGGCCAGGCGGCCTGGTGCTCTTAAGCTGACTGTCTGTGACAGTCCAGGCCTCATGATCATGGTCTGTGCCTGTCACAGGCAGGCCTAGTGGCCTGGTTGATGCTCTGTTGTGTAGTGTCTTTTTCACAGTAGTTCTTTAACAACGATTGATAAGATTCACTTGGATTGGTATTATCAGTTTCTTTAAAAGCGCTTCTTCGTGTATGATAATAAAGTAGCGGTGAAAATTCTTCACCATTAGATGATTAGGAATAATCATGAATTTTTCTACTATCATTTATGCGTCACCGTTTTAATCCTAATCGATGAACTAATGATGATAATGATTGAAGACTAGTATTTTTGTTAAAAAATTATTAATATATGATGGTGATAGCTTAAAATATTGGTCATCTGCTAAAATGATAAACAATTCCACATCAGTATGTGTACAATCCCGAGTGATATCCCAGAACGATCATTCCGACCGTCTGAATTGAGTTCTTAAAATGTCTGAAACGGTTATAAAACGGCGTAATACGGCACTAATTTTCACGTTATCTCGTCGTCAGCCCGTTTTTGCAGGCCGTTATTAACATTATTTTCACCCTTTTCAACATTTTTTATCGTTCTTACGTCAATTTCGAGCCGTTTTCTTGGAGTTTACTTGTTGTTTCATTGTTAAATACCATTTGATTGATTGCAATTAAAACTTTATCTTCAAGTCTTGTTGTTGTAGCATATTGCTTGATTTTTAACTGGATCAAGATCCGATGGATCTGCTGTTGCATTCGGATGAACCATAGCGATAACTATTTTTGTTGCAATAAATTCTTGTAACGTAGATAATGTGATAGTTGATGTATTTAAAAGTAATTGGAAAATTTGTGATAATGATGAATATACTCGAATTTTTTCATACCCAGATTGATCAAAACGGACTCGTTTACTGTCTGTTTATCGACAGTAAACGATTGCCAAAACGGTATATTTACGGCAATAAATAGGCCGTATTTTCCCGTAATACGGCACCGTAAACGGGACTGAATTTTCATGGTTTACGGCTGTTTGTGCTCCGTACTCTCATGATCATACGGTCCGTACTACTGTGCCAGATATTACGGCAAACTTTCGCCCGTAAAATAGTCGTAAAGTAACCGTAAACGACAGTATCCGGCCCGTACTGTTAGACCTGGATAAGCATCAGTAATAATATTTGCCCATACCCAGGTCGAACATACACGGTTGTATACGACGGTAAATCGCCGTATTTGGCCGTATTACATGGCTCCGTATTACGATCGTAAATCTCCGTGCCGTATACGGCGAAATACGGCGCTTTACGGTCGTTTTTGATCGTATTTCACCGTATTACGACACGGAGATTTACGATCGTAATACGGAGCCATGTAATACGGCCAAATACGGCGATTTACCGTCGTATACGGCAGAAAACGGCCGTATACGGCCCGTATTTCACCGTATACGGACGTCGTAAAGCTCGTCCTGGGTAGTTGGATACACCGAGGATCAGTTGAAATGACATTTCTCAAAAATTGTTTTGCTTCATTAACACGTTCATATGTAGATCTTTTCTGTTTTTTCGAAGACCAGAAACGATCGTATACACAGCCGAAAACGCTAACGTATACTATCGCTTCTTGCCGTTTCTGACTGTAAAGCGCCTTAAGTTGAATTTGGGCATACACTGTACTCTGGCAGTATTTGCTGTAGCGCAAACGCTTAATGACGGTCATAATGCGGTCGGACAATTGAATATCTGACCGGTTAAGACTATGTTTCCTTCGCCTGGGCACGTAACGAGTACAGCCGAACCGACTAGTATGTTGACCATTTAAGCTTTCATAATATTCAATATGCTTTGTACAAGCTACGAATAAAAGCAAAATAACATATACAAAGCGAAAAAGATATTATTTTATGGGCGAACATACTATAATATCAGATGCAGTCATGCATCTCTTTCATCATTGAATGCCCACTTGGTCTGTTCGAAAAAAGTTTCACTTTCACAAGTCATGCCCCAGGTCGATCAACTTGTGTCGTACACGGTCGTTTGACCATAATTTACGGCCGTTTGGTATGCACCGTATTAGGGTCGTTTTGTATCGTGCCATAAACGATCGTATACGGTCGGATACCGAAATATCCGACCACATTACGGTCGTTAGTAACCTTTTACGACACGATTAATTACGGCCGTAATACGGTGCATACCAAAACGTCAAGTTACGGTCATTTACGGTGAGAAACGGCAGGAAACGGCAGTATACGTTAACGTTTACGGCTGTATACAACCGTTTCTGGTAGCAGTAATGCTCGACCTGGGTATCGACAAAAAAGAAGTTTATTGAGCTATTTTTTGAATGCATTCACCTGAAAAGCTTCACCTCAATGAGTCTTTTCTTTTTTTCTAAGAATAGCAACTACTAGGCATAATATCTAACACGCAACCAGAGATGGACGAGTCCGAGTCGACTCGAGTCATCATTTTCCCAAGGAAGCAGACTCGACTTAACTTGAAATTCTTATTAAATGACTTGGACTCGATTGGACTTGAGAAAAAGTCTGGCTCGCCCATCCTTGATTGAATCAATCGAAAACATATGCATTTATATGACGCTACGATAAAGCGTGATATAATTTGAGTGTGATCATCTAGTACGATCGTCAAGAAAAACAAAAGCTCGTGTACTGATGTAACTGTGCTAAATTACACCAAACTGCCGTAGTATTGTACAATTACTGAATAAAATAAATTATGATTTTTCTTTAGAGAACTGATAGAGTATAATACTCAGAATACTTCTTATACGTATGTGCACTTTGTTTCGCCATTGTGGAACATCTTGTAAGTAAAATCTTGATTAAGATACTAGATATAGAGAAATGAAGCGATCTTGAAGATTTGTGCTTGGGTGTGGGTTTATGACCATAAGAGTCTGCTCTACACAAGAACAACCCACACCCATCTGGAGACGATCGGCGGATGTAAATATGAAGCGAACAATGCTCTCCGTCGCTGTTATGCGACCATGGCATATTTGTCAATAGATGACTCAGACAAACTTTGATGTTTGTATTTAATCAGAAATCGAAACAAATAGTACAGAAGGGCAGCGGACATGTGCGATGGAAGATTTAAAAATTTGATAAAATCAGACAAAAATCTTAAAGGTTGAGAAAAATTCATAACAAGCTCAATATAAATATTCAATATCATGATCATGATTGAAGATAATGACGAATCTATACGATCTCTTAGTCTCGTTAGATAACTATAAATCTTCAAACATATCGTTTACCGGAAGATTTTCAGGAGAGAACATTTTTGTATAGGTTATATTTGTATTGTGAGAGATAAGTTCTTGTTATAATAAAATATTCTACTAGTATTATTACGCTTTTATTTCGTCAAATTTGCTCATTTTGAAAAGCTTACACGAGCAAAACTTAAATAAAGGATGTGAGTTTGTTTGCGTGGTAGAAATGCCAACGTACTACCCTTAATCAGTTTCAACAGCTTAATAATTAAATACAAGTCAATCATAATATGCTAGTTTTTATTCTCAAAACAAGAGAACATTATAACAAAAGACAACAAAATTTTAGAACATCTATTTTCGTTTGCTTTTTTTATTGTGGATATCAAATATATTTGCTTTGTTGACGTCTCGTTTTTTATTTGAACGTTTATCATTATCATGAAATGTTGCTAATTGTTTTTCAAGTTTATCCACAGAACGTTGACTGAGTAATCCTTTTGATATCAACTGTTTAATTAAATCTTCAGTTTCATCAAATTCATGTCCGCGGGTTTCGGCTTGAGTTTTCAATGCATTTAAATATGAATGTAAAACTTTATGTGTATTCATTGTCAATGATGTTGAAAGTTTTTCGTCTTTTTGTTGTTTTTCAATTTTATTATCTTGACTCGGGATTGCTGTAGAGTCATTTGTCTGAATATCTAACTCTTCTTCTAATCCGATAATTGAACGTATTGATGATACATTAGTTAAAGGTTTATCTATGAATTGAATGTCTTCACTTACAACTGCAACAGCTTCAGCTGTTTTTTCTGTATTTGATGTTGTTACAGCAACATCTTTTGCATCTTCAATACGATTCATTCGATATATAAGTTTAACAATATTTTGTACACCAGCATGAATGATTTGATCAAGTTCAGCTTGAATTCCACGAACTAATTCTTTATCCGGAAACATATCAGGAAAACGAAAACTAAAAGAATTAAAAATTTCAAGCTAATCTGCAACGATTATTATAAATAAATGTTTACCTAAGCCATAAATAAAGATCTAGACAATCAAAAACTTCTTCCAAATGTACTAAATCCATGATAGTATTTGGTACTTCAAATGGCCAATCTATTTGTTTTGCAAGCCAATCAAATGTTGTCGGTTCACTACGGCTAAATTGACGTGCATACTTCAAAAGAAAATAAGATAAAAGATGTCAATGAGCAAGACAAATTATTTTACTTTCAAAAACATTGTACAAACAAAAGGCATCTTTTTATTGATCGGTGCACATGAAAATGTGTAACGTGCGCGAAGTGGTAATGGTACATGTTCAATAATATCAGCAAGAAATTTAATATCTTCAACGTTACACATAAAAAAAAGACTATCATCCAATTGTGATAAAACTACAAATATATCCTGAACAAGAAATAAATGATTTGTTGAGTTAATTTCTTTTTAAAATAACATACTATTAAACTTGAAAGTGAATGTTTAGGTAAATGATAGGCGAACATTTCAATTTGTTCAGCAGTAGGATGAAGTCCAGCACGCTAGAATAGAAAGAAAATTTAAACATTTGCTTTTATATGAAGAAAAAAAATGTATACTTTGATTGTTTCCACATGTCGACTAACAATGTCTTTTAATAATGGTAGATCATCACGTCGAAATGTTGTTACTTCACCATCGGGAAAAGCACTTGCAAATCTAAAAGAAAATTTAGATTTTATAATTTTCATAATTTCATAGAAATCATTTAACCGTCCAGCACGACCAGCAATTTGTAAAGCTTGTGACGTAGTTACAGTATCTTTTTCTTTTTCTCCTTGTTCATTTAATTGCGGTTTTAGTAGACTGTAGAATATAATACGTTTAATACTCCTATACGAAGAAAAAGAAGATAAAAATATTCTAATTCTCAGAGCAAAACTAATGAAAACATACAGATTCAAACCCATGCCAATTGCATCTGTAGCAACCATTATTTTACATGTATCATTAGGATCGTTAAAACGTTGAGCTTGTAATAGTTTCGTACCTTTTTTTAAATTTGAAGTAGTGCCATAAAAATAAAATAAAATAAAAAATTACCTGGTGGTAGTGATCCATAAATAACAGCTACTTGATGACCACGCCTTTCTAATTCACGTGTTATATGAAATATATCATTTTTACTGAAGCATACAAAACAATCGCCTGTTTTGACATTATCGAATGTTTCTAAAGTATTGCTAAAAAGCGTAAGTTAGTCAGTTCGTTCTATTTTATATTATAAGGTGACGATACAGAATCTCCAAAAAACGGTATGAATCATTGAAAAATCCGCAATAGTTTCAGATTTACTTGAGAACTAAGCGTAATATTCAGAATCGGTGTATAAATCTGCAACTAATATTCTCACTTTCATTACTAACATCATACACCTTTCTAGAGAGCAAAGCGAATCGAAAATTTTCAAATAAGTTCAATTTGAAAATAGATGCTATCTAATCAATAATATTGTACTATTATTTACAGGAGAAACTATATAATTTTAACTGATAATGTTTGTTTTATATGATGCAACGTGAAATATAGTTTTGTATTTTTTTTTCGATCTAGAATTTTGTTATATAGCGCAACAGTCAAAAATATTTCTGAAAAAAATCTTTGATACTCAAGTAACATAAGATAGTATTTAACACTTAATTATCATTGCTCGATTATGAACATCTTATAGTAGATATTTTTTCTTGTCGTGAAATCATTCATATGTGAAAATAAAAACTAGAAAATGTTTATTACCTAATGCTCGATCTTGATAATTTAATTTCGTTAATCGTTGATATTCTCTAACTTCAATGTTATCACCTGTCGTTACCATTAAATCTTGTACAAGTCGTATAGTAGATTTTTCACCACATAAATGAATTTCTTTGGCTTGTAGACCTAATTGTATATGAATTTAAAAATTCTAAAAGAAGAAAAACCTTTTTGATCTTACCCAGTAGAGCTCGTGTCCATGCCCAGCCACGTTGCGGATCACGCATCATTTGAATTTCATCAACAACAGCTACCTCATCTGGAAAACAAACAACAAAATTATTCAATAAAAGATTTCACTTTTACTTACAAACAGTAGTTACATTCGTCATTTCGACTGTGCACGCAACATGATTAGCTGGTTTTCCTTCTGGATCAGCAAATCGACGTTCTTCACCTGTAACTAAATCACATTTTGTACCCTAAAAAAGGTTTCATTTCATCGATACAATTAGAAAATCGAATGAAAATCTCTACCGCAGCGTTCGTTTTATAAAAAACTTCAGAAGCTAGCAATTTCAATGGTCCACAATAAACTCCACTTTCACTATTCATATAACGTTGAAGTGCATGATATGTCTATAATTAAAGAAAATATTCCATTTAGTCTATGCTTCTTCGGATCGGACAATCATACTTTTCCACTATTCGTTGGACCAGCATGAAATATTATTTTTCTTTGTATAGCTCGTGCATCTGGATACCTAAAATATTATTTATTTCATTAAAAAACAATATATACATATATATATTGATTCAATATGTACCAATTAGCAGGATCTCTGAGATCACTAATCTGTTTTAAATCTTCCATACAAGTTAAATGTGGAAACATTTCTCGTGCATGACGTAAAAAATAAGGAAATATATCAGTAACATGACCTTTTGAAAAGAAAAAATGGAAATTAATAGAAAAGAAAGATATAAGAAGAATATCTAATACCAGATCCCAATATGATATCATTGAACACAATATGTAAATCGACGGGCAAAACTGTTGACTGAATACAAAATTTTCGAAAACTAACATAAGCATCTTGATAGAGACGAATATCAAGACCTTGATCAGTAGCTAATTGTTTGATTTCTTCACGACGATAAAAATCTGTGATGATACGAAGAAGTGCATCTGAAAAAAACGAAAATTGTTTTCTTTTTAAAATAACTTTTGAATTTATGTTTTTCATACTTCTGTCAAGTGTTTTACCACCGGTTAATTCTTGACCAATATTTGTATTTGAATCTTTTGATGATTTTGCATCAAGTTTATCATTTGAAGTCACTGGTTTAATATCAATGGGCTGAAATAGTCGACGTAAAGTATTCGTTTGATTAGCAGTTTTATTAGGATTCGTTCGGTGAGAATGATGAGGATGATGGTGATGATAAAGTGTAGATGATGATGATGTTCGATGTCGTTTATTGTTATTACGATTTGATACTGAAGAAAGTTTAATAGAGTATCCGTTGCAAAAAGATGAACACGGAAACAAACGTTGGTAGAAAACAGTTAGAAACATTCTTTTATTTATAGATAACATTTTTAATTATCTAGAATACAATAATTAATTAACAATCTGTTTAAGTAATAATTTAATACGAGATAGAACAATTTCATTTGTTCCTGAAATATTCTCAGGTGTATATGGGGCATTTATTTGAACAATTCCATTTTGTATTATTAGTGTTATAGAATTATTTTCTTCGAGTTTTTCTTGAAATGGTATCCGTTTTGATGAAAGAAATTTGCGAATATTTCCTAAACGATCACGAATAGATTCATCGTGGTTAGTTGCTGTTGTTGTTGTTATTGCATTTGAAGGTAGAAATGGATCCCTATGCGATTGTTGAGATTGATTTCGATCAAGAATTATCAGTTGAATAATATCAGGTCGTAGAACAATATGAACACGATTGGATGAATCATCAATTAGGACAATGCTAGAAGAAAAGTTATAAATTTTTGCATTTTCATAAAGATTGTTGTAAGTTAATTTGACTAAGAATAATCTATAGGGAGCAAAAACTAGAGAATTTCGATTGTTTATTTCATTTGAAAAGGATTAGTAAAATAAAGAAAATATTGAATTAATCATTTCAAGTAAATTTAGATCCCTGAAAGGCGAATGCAACGTTTTATTTATTTCAGTTAAAAGAAAATAATATAAAAATAATTATATTTAGAACCTTTGCGTTAATGGATCGATTGTATAAACTCTTCCTGAATAATTTCGTTGATCAGCGCATTCAATTTTAACTCGATTATCAATCAAAGTTGCATACGAGTCAACATCGAAACGAAATGCTTCATTTGATAGATTGTCCATAGAAATATTATTTCTAGAAAAAAAAACTTATAATTTTCTTATTTTATTTGTTTATCATTATTAAATTTAGTTCAGTACCACGTTTCTTTTTTACCAACCAGGAAACAGCAGAAAAATTAATTTTCATTAGAAAAAACGAAAAAAAGATGAAAAAACTAGTTATTGGACAATAATTTTGCATTAGAAATTTGTGAAAAGTTATTTCTCTTTTCCTATTTTGTTCCCTATGACATGATTAAGTACGTCTGCAACAAGTTCAATGTCTTCAGCAGTCGCCATGTTCGAAAATAGATTTCTATTGAATAATAAATGAAAATATAAGTTTAATTTTGATCAATTCATTCTTGACACTTCCTTGACAAAGATATGGTTCAACAGGATCATGTTTAATGTATTAAATAGCATTCATACGTGAAATCTTTTCAGCTCCAGATATAAAAATATACATGCTTATTTCTACTGTAATCAATCAATGATATATTTTCATTATTGTAATGTTGTAGGTACATAAACGGTTGCTCTATTTATTTCGCTAAGCATCATATGAGTTGAATTTGACGGAGTTGAATCTTATTATAGATATAATGCTTGCTTGTTTGTTAAAATATTTGTTCGCACCAATGAATGTATCCTCACATCGAACAGCGACTTCAACAAGAACACATTGTCAATTTTATGATGTGACCTTCGAATTTATAGCAACAAAATCTCTATTTATGGTTTCAACTTGAACTGTTTACGATGACAATATATTCGATAGAGAGAAATCTGTTAAAGAAAATCTAGAAAAGTAAAGCGACCAAAATATATTATTTCAATCTATTCGAATCTATCAAAAACTTGATGCACAAAAAAATTGTGCTGTAAATTTTATAGTCCGAACACGAAAATGATTGACGATTGAAGCAGAGCAGATCTCTTCAGTTTTCCATTTTAAAGTTTAATAATAACTAGATGTAGATTTGATTTTATATCCATATATAATTTGTGAAATTCTAATATAAAATTGCAGAATATCTGATTAGTTTCCGTATGAACCAATGAAAATCGATACCGATGCTAAGATGAAAATTTAGCAGATATTTCATTTGAAACTACTGACATCAATCATTGACAGAAAATAATATGATCATATGATGTAAAAGAAGATTATTCATTTGTATAGTTTCGAATTTTTCTCTGATAATTCGTTGGAATAAATGATAATGTTTCGTTTAATAAAATAATGTAAATGTATTGAGAAATTAAATACATTTCACAGATTATGAATACTAAAAGCGTGTTATCACAATCACGTCAGCATTCATACTATTTTCAGAGGATCTTCATGTTATTTCACTATTCATAGAAAAAAAGATAATCATATCAAACAAAACCATTAATGTTGGATACCAAAAATACGTATCATTGATTAGTTATTTTAATACACTGTTGTCTTGTATTGTTTTTCTTTTCAATTAAGCAAGCATTAAGTTCGTCTCAAGTCTATTTTCCGTCTTACATATAGAAATGATAGACGTTTGAAAACAAGAAAATATATCGTCTACAATATGACTTTATCAGCATGTGAAACTATTTAAATCATCGTTTAATTTTCGATGCTTGACCCCTAACTAAAACAAGTCGATATCGAGAACAAGCATTCTCCTTACTAACATAGAAGAAACGATCTACACATTGGAAATGGTAAAAATTTATATTTTCCAACGCCGATGTAGCATGCTAACTTAAAGTATTAGAATTATATTCATCAATGTTGCAGTTATTTATTTAAATTTTCACAGAAACAATTTAAAAAAACTCAATCTTTATTTATTATCAAATTTTCCCGAATGTTCGTAGATCATTGGTTTTTTTTCGTAATTCATTCTATCTTTCTTAATATTCGCGTTGTTACATGTGGAGAAAATGAGCTGACCGTTTGTGATATCACTTGGTATCAAACATACCATATCATGACATATTTTCAGATCAGCTATTCTTACGTTGCATACTAAATAAAATCATGAGTTTTCAACTAATAGAAATTCCGAGCATAGTGTATATCCACGGTTTACCTATACATTTTAAACGTTTTTCGACGTTTTCTCAGCAAACAGCAAAATGCATTTCGAAGACATCACGTGTATGAAACACCTACTGTTGAGCCACTGGTTTTCTTAAGCAGTACACTGAGTGAATAGATCCAATCCATGCGTTATTCACGAATTAGTGACATCTATATTTATTTACCTAAAGACGAAATTTCCCCGTCATATACACTGATTTTTCTACGAAAAATATGCAAAACAAATTATTTTGAAACAATTCATTAAGATTTTTCCTCAACAGTAAACATCGTGATCCCATAGTGAAAGCATAAATACTCGTGTGAGATAGTATTGAGATTAAAAAGTAAATAGAGTGTGACTTTTATTATTGAATAAATCATCTCTTTCTTTTTTGTTTTACAAATCGGATGAACTAATAATAGTTTTATATCGTTTTAGAATAATACTCAATCTTAATTACCCGCTTGCGCGTATAGCGCGTGAGCACATCTTCTGAAGACACAAAACCAATGTAATTTAACTCATCAAAAACGATCAAAATGTTGAATTTAAGCAAGCATTCAATACAGCTAAACATAGTCTAAAAATTGTTCATGAGGAGGTACGCTAGAATACAAATAAAAAAATTAATTCTAACTTATTTCTATTGATTTCAGTTATTTTCCACTATCATTATTTTTCTATATTTTCAATGGCTACAATACGTTCATTATTCAAACGTAATGTTGCCCAAAATTCATCAAACAATAATGAATTAAATGTTAGACCTACAAATAATACATCCAGCGACATACTATCGACAAACACATCGGAACGTTTAAATAATCGACTAACTGACGGTTACATAAGTGCTTCCACATTGGGTGGTTCACCAGATAATAATGTCGATTCACTACGACATCCTTTATTTAATATTTCTTCAGCAAAACCTCACCGACGATTCCTTTCATGTTTAATCAAAAATTCAACAACAATGTATAAACAAGACGACGAACAGGTCAATGATGAAAATATATGTATACTTGATACAAAACTACCGAAAGAACTCATTTTCAGGTAAGCAACATAAATAAAAACAAATCGATTGAACTCAGTTTATATTTTTACTCTGTAATTAATTCTATTGTGATATAAGTAAAACACTTCTACAAGGTTTTCATCGTTCCAGAATACTACACTTCAACTTTTCCTATTGATATTTTATAGAAGAATCATCTCACTTGAAGATGATATCTGAAGAAAATAGTTTGCAATCTTATCGTTTATTAATGATGATAGTCATTGTCATTTATGTTGTAACAGTTCAAACTATTTCGTAGACGTCTAATTTTATGCAGATTTTTAGGAAGTAATTATTTTGTATTCAGAATTAATAAATATTGTTTCACATAATGCGAAAGTTTGAAATCATATCCTCCTACACTCTACAATACGAAAACTACAATACTATCGAACGAAATAAAATTTATTATGATAATACCTGCATAGTATGATACATGAACCCTTAAATAGAGAATGTTTTTCTTTGTTTACTTCAATGTATTTGGTTGTGACGTCGAATATTATTATGTTATTCATAACTGCTTTTTCTAATGATATAATTCTTTTCTTATCTATTTATCAGTAATGAGAATCAATAGATCTGAATATGAGGCAGCATTTGATAGATGTCATCATTTTTATTTCTTTACATACAATTAATAGAAACAAATTTTTTTGCTAAATTTTGGAAATAAAAAGAGTTCTTCTCTATTACAGTATACATATTTATTTATCGCTATTTTAATACTAAAACAGAATTTGTAGAGTCCATAGTCACTTCGAATTCAACCAGAATTGGATTTGTTCGAGTTCATACCGTAACTAGAATTTTGATAGATATCCTTGAATAAAAATGAAATACATAACAAATTAGAATAATCATCTTTAAATGTGAATACATAAATATTTATATTATTTTAGAATCTTTTCATTTTTGGATTATCAATCACTTTGTCGATGTGCACAAGTATCAAAGGTACAAGCAACGATGAAATATATCTTTCTTAAATATCTATCTATGATTCATTTTTCTCTTGTTTTAGTATTGGAATACACTTGCATTAGATGGTTCAAATTGGCAAAGTATTAATTTGAAAAATTTTCAACGTGATATTAATGTAAGATGGAAACTTCGAGTCATATATTAATTGAATTTCTTTTTTTTACGCTTAATTGAAGGGAACGGTCCTTGAAAATTTAAGTATACGATGTGGAAAATTTTTGAAAAGGCTAAATATTGAAAATTGTAAATGTATTACTGATCATAATATGGGGTAAACATAATTCTTATATTTAAAAATATAAATTATTTTATTTTTAATAATTAGTATTGTTGCAAGTCATTGTCAAAATTTGGAACGATTAACTGTTAAACATTGTGGCAAACTAACCAATACGTAAAATAAAACTGATTAAATATGTTCGTTGAATCAAAGAAATTGTTTCTATTTAGTACTCTCTTTTATTTGAGTAAAAATTGTGCTTACTTAAAACATATTAATATTTCATCATGCCATCATATCGATGATCAAGGAGTTAAGACGATTAGGTAAAACAGCCTTTATGAAAGAAAAATGATTCTTCTGATAAATTATTTTTATTTAGTACCAGCTGTTCTCATTTGGAATCGTGGGATATATCATGGTGTATGCATATAACAGAGAATGGTGTTCGAATTTTGGGCGAATCCTGTCCAAAATTAACGACGTTTAAAGCTGAAGGATGTACTTATGTAGGAGAAAGAAAATTTAAAAAAGAAATATTTTTGAAAATATTGATTGTTTAGATGACAAATTATGCAGCTATTCAGCTAGGAAAACATTGTTCAAAATTATTATTTCTTGATTTGAATCGATGTTCGGTAAAAATAATGGAAATGTTGATTTATTCTTGAAATAATTTATTTCGTTTTAATCTAGTCTTTAACAGATGATGGTCTTATAGGTTTAACTCAATATTGTCTATTACTTGAAACATTAATTATTGCTAACTGTACGAGCTTAACAGATAATACATTAATAGCACTTGGGAAACATTGTCATCAGTTGAAGTAAAATGAAAACGAACATTGCATTTTTCAATGTCTCGACTTTCTTTCTTTTTGCTAGAAAACTTGATGCAACATTATGTTCACAATTTAGTGATGTAGGATTTTTAGCACTAGCTCAAGTAAGATTGATATTTATTATCAAGCTGTTTCACTGAAAAATGATTATTTGTAGGGTTGTCATTTATTACAGCGAATTGATTTGGAAGATTGTACAACTGTAAGTAAATGGATTTTCTCCTCGTCAATGATAAAGTGATAATAGTGAATCCGTAGATTATCCTCGAATAGTTTTAGTTTTATACAAAGACGAACAGCAAAAAAACAAAAAATCATGTTTCAAAAGAAATGGAGGGGTTCCAAGCAAAATTGAAATAGTTCTGTATTTTAGTTTTTCCTCTGTTTCTCTAAGAATGAAATTTTCGACTGAAATAAGCCACACTGACATTTCAGATTTTTGACAATGGAATTTGATCATGATAATCAAACTTGGGTTAGAATAAAAGTTTACGTTAATATATGTGCTATAGTATTTCAAGATACAAGTATTTGACTTCTAAAAATATTTATCTTATTGTGAATGCCATACATTTCTATTGAAATCAGTCATGAAGACATGAATTTATTTCATTGAATCAGCTGTGTCGATTCGTGCTGATTATTATTCTCGAAATATTTGATTTTGTATGAAAAGGATTCTTATTATTTCTCTCTCTCTCAAGGTAACCGATGAAACAATGAGACATTTGGCTGACAATTGTCCAAACATTCAAAATCTCGTATGTGAAATATTTTCTTAACAATAAGTAAAAATATTTTCCTATAGACTCTTTCTCGATGTGAACAAATAACAGATGATGGCGTTCGTTATATTGGTTCAAGTGTGAATGCTCAAGATAATCTTCGAGTAATTGAATTAGACAATTGTCCATCACTAACAGATATATCCATCAATCATTTACTTGCTTGCCAAAATTTGCAACGTTTAGATATATTTGATTGTCAACAAATAACAAGAAATGCCGTTAAAAGAATTCAGGTATTGTATTTTGATACTCGACCAACAAATAAATATAATGAAATTACGCTGCTTTTTTTATAGATACGTTTTCCGAATTTAAAAATTCATGCTTATTTTTCTCCTCGAACACCAACACCTACACCTCATGCAACAACATCATGTTCAGCTTGCATACCTTCTTGTTGTTCAATCGCCTGAATTTATATACATATGCATATATTTATATTGTTCTGTTTGCCTTTATTTATTCGATCTATAAGATTCTTTTCTTCTTTCTTGTTTTTGGTAAATCAAATTTTTTGTCACAGCAACTCAGCAATTTTATTCTTTGTATATAGTTCTTTATATGAACACATACTTGAATTCGTTCTTTCAACAATCAGTTTTCTTTTTGTCTGTTATTATTATTATTATTCTAACCTATTATTATTCTAAACCGTATTTTCTCATCTATCGATGTCAGCTCTCATGTACTTGTTGCATACATCCAGTCATCTCTTGTTTTCTGCTTTCAGTTTCGCTTTTTCAGATATGAGAAGACAAAATAAAAGGATTTCTACTGATCTTTGGAGATACTATCGGTACAATGAATATAATTCATGGCGAAAGTTCACTATATTGAATACTATTTGTCAGTGACATTTTATGTTTGTACTATCTACTTTTTCTAGTGAATTTAGAAAAGTTCCTAATGATCATCGTAAGGAAAAAATCTAATTATTTTTATTCAAAAAACGAATTGTCAAATTTAATAAAACGAAATAACAGGAAAACAATACTAAATAGTATTTCTTTTGAAAAGTATATCTAGGGAGGGGATGGATTGCTGATTCTCCGATACTAAGAACAATATATTGCAAGAAAATACTTGATAGAGTATCTAATCTCTTTGAAAATGAAATTTAATAATTTTTCCAATCGAGAACAAACTTTTTCAATGTGCTTCTCTAAGACAAAATTGTCCAAACATTTCCAGTAAAATTAACTTGCATTTCAGAGTCGTAAAACTATATCAGATGAATGTGACGAAGCTCTTTTGCCGTTGCAAGTAAAGTTCAACAATGCATTTATTACTTCAGTATTGAATTCTTCTTCGAATATGCATAAGACTCCTATGATATATTTCATTGAATTGTTTCTTTACATTACTAACGTAGTACTAAAATGAACATGAAAACTACGCACAATTTAAACAAAAGTAGGAAATGATAACTACAAGACATTTTAATGGTTGTAATCACACCAACAAAACCTTTTGTTTACTGGTATCAGTTATTGCTCAAATTCAGTTTATCAGCACCATGTGTGAATTTTTCAGAAGGCCTTCATTAATGGTTACCAATATTGATGGTATTATCTACGACTATTGCGTTTAAATACCGTTCATAAAGGTGAGTCATCTCAAATATTGATAACGAGTAAAGACAGACCCGAGATGCTTCCCACAATGTAGCTACGCAAGATAACTAGTATTTATGATCGAATCAAAATAGAGCTTCTAATGAAGTGTTTAATGAATCAACATTAATCATCATTGTTTTCCGTAGTTCTGTATTCCAAAGGAAGAGATAGAATTATAGTCATTTTTTCAATAAATTATTGTCATCGTACACTATCGAACAAAGTGCACGATGTTGCAAAAGGATCATGGATCAATTTAGGGTGCGTACGACATGGTGTGAGTAAAAGGGTCAATTCTAGTTCATTCATCAACCGACACATTTTTCTACCTGCATTCTCAGCCATCAAGATCTGTATCTACCCTCATACTTATTCAATTCGTAGCCACGACAGCCTAAAAATTTGGCAATCCTTTTGTTTTCATGAAAATCTTCTGCATGGTTGCAGATATATTCACCTCATGTTTACTCACGAAACCTTGCAATACTCTACAGAACACATATAAAATATAGCGAAGAGGCGACACGGCTCAAAATGAATTCTAATAAAAGAACTCATCACATCGGTCATCTAACTCATTGAGTGTTATTTCAGTGAGATTAGTTCTGGTTGCAAGAGTAGAGGACCATGTAGATTTTTGAATAGTGGATAATTCATTAGAAAATGTGTGTTGAAGGCTAGACAGTTTTAGGCAGTATTCATGGTTGAAAAAAAAATAAAGTTATAATATTTGAGAAATAACTTGTGAAGCTTTGCAAGCATGCCTTTTATTAAGATATATGACGAACTTTAATGTAAATTATATAAATATTATTAGTTCTGATAATAACTGTTTTAGCTTCTACTTTCTTAGGTTATTAGACGATAGCAGCTAGTGTTGAAGTACTGCTTGGTGGAGTACCAACTGAAGTAGAACCCTTCGTTCGAGGACCACGTTCGTGGCTATCATCTGGCAGAGTACCAGTTACTGTTGAACGTGGTGGGTGAGAGGAGCTGCCATTTGGTGATGATGGTGGTGATGGTGGAGGTGCTGGTGGACGTTTGCTGGGTTTCTCAGCCTTCTTGTTATCTGTTTTGATTGGTACTGATATCACAACTACGATTAGAGCCAACTGAATGAATAAAAATAGCACGGTCGTTACAGTAAAACAGCAACAAGAAAAAAAAGTAGTTCTTACTAGAATAATGATGATAGAAGATCGCATTATTGTTTTTTAACGTTTGTATTTTGATTGTTGAGGTTACTTCGATTGCAATGAAAGAAACTCACCTTTTTATAGTTTATTCTTCAGTCGATAAAGAATTTTTTTGTGCATGGTTTCCCCCCTCCTCTCCCCTCCCCGCCCCCAATTTATCAAATAACTTACATGTGCCCTCTTTTGTGAATGGCAACGCTAGGTTATTAAAAGAGGTGATTCACTTTTAAGTCGATTTCAAAAAACGTTGTTATGGTTTCACGAAATATAAAAATAGATCAGTCATGACAAAAGAAATATTTTTTTCTCTTCCGTCAACAATTGTTTTTTACGAACTGAATTGCGAGTAAGTAAACAAAAAGTATAGATTAAAGATGAATTGTAATAGCATTAATGGCACCGGGAAAAAAATCTTTGTTCTATTAGCGGAGGTGTTTTTGGTAACCCTTGAAAGTGCTGTCTATAGTCATGTCTGTCTCCTCAACAATTGTTGACTGCAACTAAACATTCGCTGTATTACAGTATATTGTCATGAAATTAAATCTTCTTTCCTTAAAATAACTAGATGGTATTCAAGTTTCACTCGAATACGAAATGCGATGCGAAGCAGGAATATGATCGAGGAAAAATCTTCAATTCAGAGAAATCTTGAATACTTTTTATGTCGACATGATGAAATTCATCACTGAGAAAACTCTATTCTTACGTAGCGATACATTCTTAAGGATCGATTTCGATTGATCGATTAATTATCTCCATGATTCATTATCATAGATCAGCTGTAAATGAATAGACTATAGTTGCTAACATATGTTGATGACGTCACTTTAATTATCTTGCAACAAATTTCTTTCATTTTTGCCATTTTGGTACCACATTTGTGAGTGAACGGAATATCAGATTAAAGAATAGAAAACATATGGTAGAAGTTCGATCTCGATACTTCCATCTCCCGTTTCAATGAGTTTTCTATGATTTTCTGTTCACGAGATCATACTAACACAAAATGACGATTCGCGATGCGTACGTCGAGAAAGTAAAAGAAAAAAAAAACTCGCGACGAACTACATAAATGCTATGCTTCGCATCGCATTAAAAATGCAGCGGTGGTACGAAGTAGTCAACATTGAGAATAATGTAGCTTTGTTTTATAGAACGGAAAACAAAACTTTTCACTGATTGGTATGTGTTACATATCTTGTGCCCCGATTGCATTCGATCACTATTGTAGTAATCTAATAGTTACTCCTCAATATAACAGGAATCAATGCAATCGAAATATTCTTCAACGCTAATGTTAGATTAAGCAGGGAAATTTATCAACATAAGAAATTGTGACATGTCCATGTATTCTCATACATTTACACAATTTATTGACTAGAAAAATAGTTTCAATAACTGAATTACTATTTAGTGTCAACAGTTGAGATTTTTTCCTTTTGTAATTGTCCATTTGTTACTTTGAGAATATCGGCAATTGTTAATGATTCACCTATTCATTGAAAACATATTTCTGAGAATTATTAAAAGAACAGAAAAAAAGAAAACATTACCTTTTGGAATATCATATGCAACTTCAAGACCTAATGGATTACTTGGTGTCTTACAATCCATATATGGTTCTTTTCTTAAACATTGATCAACATCAACTGAACTGAAAAAAGCAACTGACTAAAACATAAATTACACAACAATAGAGTATCATCTAAATATTTAAAAATGAGCTTACAGCTGGCAAATCGTTCATATTTAAACAACTTGCAAACATCGCACGAGTTAATAAATTAGTAATTTGTAATGCAAGACAAGCTCGATATCTAACATAATGTTTGAAAAATCTATTTTGAAACTGAATTGAAAATTTGCTTTTTATCTTTACCGATCATCCACATGACATATGTAGCGAACTTCATCATGAATACCTTACAGATAAATAAAATTATAAAACAAAGAACGTAAAATATTCCATTTACTTAAAACAAATCGACATCGTATATCATATGTATCAATAAGCCATTTCATACAAACAAGCATCAAATGAAGATAATCAACAGCTGAACTTTGTACAACCCAATTAATACGACTTGTCATGTACTTGAAAAAAAATATATATGCATAATTAAATAGAAGCAGATTTAATTAAAATTGATGTATTCTTACGCCATCACTGACATTGTCTGGCTCAAGTGCTCGACTAATACGACAGTTGAGTATAGGTGTTTTGGGTGATCGATTACGAGCAATTATTTCAAGACTATTGAACATTTCAGATTCTGAGCCGCCTTCCCATAAGTCACTTTTTCGATCTCTAGAAAAATGCAATTATTTTTACCAATAGAAGTGAAACTTCTCAATACTTAATTCCTTTTGTTTGCGAATACATCAAATTTGCTTTTGTTTTTGCTTCCGATGCTGATAGTTGATGATTAAATTGCATTAATAATTTCTCTGCAAATGTTTTTCCTGCTCCATACATTCGTCCATAGTTAAATACCTTAAAAAAACCAGCCATCAATAAACTCTTGTTCATGAATTGAATTAACTCACTTTTGCTTGATCTCGACTAATACCAACTAAATTAGCTACTTTACTATGAAGATCCGTTCCATCTTTCTTTTTCCCTTGTAAATTCATCCAACCAAATGCTGTTGAACCTATAAAACGAAACGAATACTTTTCACAATTTTAATATATGTACACATTTGTTTCGTAAACGTACCGTGCATTCCAGCAAATTGTGCATCAGCAAGAATTGAAGCTATCCATAATTCTTGACTATCAACATCTGCACCAACAAAACAAAAGCCTGACGGTGCTTGAACCATTGCTTTCAATTCACTTCCAATACGATCTGTCTAAAATGGAAGAAAAGAAAAGAAAAACAACAACTCAATTAATTATTAACCAAAGACATTGTGAGCTTTTTTTACTCGAGCATTCGATGCAGTTAACCAAGTTGGTTCAACAGCTCGTCTTGTAACAGTACCTGCAACAACAACTCGAGGTAAAATAATAGATGTACCATCATCTTTGATTTTTACAGCCATTTGAGATCTGATTGAAGAAAACTTAATAGTGTTATCTGTTTTTGTTTTTATTTTCATAAAATTTTACTTGATTCTTTTTTCATTATTTTCCCAATAGCTTAACATTTTACTCCATTCAAGAAGCCATTTAGCAGCTGTTGATTCATGTGCACGTAGCGTTCCATCAGCAATTTTTGCAGCAAATGATTTTGCTAGAGGATTGCCAACATTTTTTTCATTTCCATCCTAAAGAATCAAATTTTCTAGTGATGATAAATCTAAAACATTCTTTCCACTTACTTTATGTGGTATTTTAAAAAACCAACAACCAGGCACATTCGATACTGGATAAGGTCCATTGCCTTGATGAATATGACAAAATTTACCGGATGGAACAAGTTTTTTTCGCTATAGAAAAGTATATGAAAACGAAAAAAATAAATATACTGTTGACATACTTGCTCAATTAATTTTTCCTGTTGTTGTAAAAGATTTTCCATAAATAGATGAGCTTCATTTTTACCTTCAAGTTCTTCAATATCTTTTGCTAATTCATTTAAATTATCATCAATTACTTGAAGTTCCATATTTGTTTGACTACGTTCAAATGGTTTTGTTTTGATACATACTTGTTTGATTGCACTAAAGAAACAATAAAATAAAATATTTCTTTACTCAAATTTCATTCATAAACTTACTCATAAGGAAAATCACCTTTTTCTTCTAAGTCTTCTTCTTCTTCTTCATTGATTTCTAAGCCTGGTACTAAATATCCCCAGCCATATTTTTCATCATAATGCAAAGGATAACCAAGCCAAGTTAAACGTAATAGTTTCGGTACAATACGCATTTTAGTAGATATCAATTGTGGGCCTGGTTTCCAAGATGATTCTTCATTGGTAATATCGCCTTTTGATTGTTTCATACATAAATCTCGATACCAACTATACAAAAATAAATATCGAATCCAAAATACGTGTTTTTTCTCTGTATTAAACATGAATATTAATTTACAACCTTGGATAGCCTGGCATATGCGGTTGAATTTTACCTAAAGTAGAATATGTATCGAGAATTTTTTTAATTTCTTGACTTGGAGCTATTTTTGAATCATTATCATTATCGTCATCTATCATTGTTTTAGTTGGCCAAATGTTTCCAGCAATTTTAAAAATTGGATTGTCTGTTGTTTCCTCAACTTTTGCTATCGATGGTTTAGCTTTTGATGATTTCAGAAAACGCATAGATTGAGTAGTCCAATCAAGATCCCATAGCCAAGGATCATTTTTATATCTAAGTGAAATAAATTTGAATATTAGGAAAAAAAAGTTTTCATTTATTTTTCGTACTTTTGATCAATAGCTTGATGACATGCTTCATTAGCAATTTGCATCAGTACATGTTGAATATCTGAATTAATACTCTCATATGTTCGATCAGCCTCACTAATAAATCTTGTCCAATTATTATTTATTGGTAAAATCATTCGACTCATTTCAAGCATGCCGCTTAATGTTATAGGATGAGGAAATCTATATCGATAATATTACGATTAGAAAAAAAGCATGATTCAATAATTGCTTTTAATTAATTACCTTGCTTCAAACATGGGATAGACTTTTTGCGTTATTTCAAATGTTGCTTTGACATCATTTGCACAATAAGTCATTAATTCCTTTGAAGAAAACCAAACATTCATAACATTAAAATAAAAATTTGGTCTTACTAGAAAATTTTTACGTATGTCATAAATATTTCCATTGATAAATACTTGTTGCGCTTCTTTACTTAACGGTACTTCTGGTTTACAATAAAGTTTATGTACAGATACAAGATTATTTAAACTGCTTTCAAATTTCCATTTAAGATTCTTAATATGATAAAAAAAAAAGAAAATAATCAATGATTGTTTCGATCTTGTGTTTTTTCTTTTCGTATAAACAAATATTAAATCTCGTCGCTGAGTATACCAATTAACTGGGAAATACACAGCTATTTCAAAATTGTAATAGTTGTGTCGTATTTGCTGTACTTCACAAGTTCACTGTTTTCCTTTAGTGTGTACAATCACTTGGACTCAGAGGAATACTTTATTCACTCATTATTCCATCTGAAATTTTGTTTTTATTTCTTATAGATCAATAATACATTTTCGTGTCAAAAATAAAATCATATGGTTGTGAGTATATGTGTAGTTTTAGGTTTGTTCGTTGTTCGTATCGATAGGAAAATTCTATTCGTTTTCAATATTAACATACTTGTGTGTTACGCAGTTTTGCATATGCTTTTGCATCTTTATCTTTTTCACTTGCTAATAATATAGATAAATATTGTTCATCGAAATCTTCTTCTCCAGATAGATGGTCTTTTTCATCTGATTTTGCTAATGCACTTTTTTCAAATGCTTGATATTGTAATCGTTGTGCATGTGTAAAACCCGAACACATTATATGTAAACTCATTGTATCGAGAAAGCGCATTGCTGTACTCTAAAACATACAGTTTCAATATTCTATTCGATTGATTAGTTGTTTTTTTTTCTGTTAAATTTTACTTCGAGTTGATACTGTTCTTTAATATATGTACGATCAAATGCAACATTATGACCAATAACAATTGATGGTACCGATGGATTTGATTCCATTGGTATCATATCATTTAGTTTAACATTACTTTTTAAACGAAATTCTTCATCGGTTAAGCGTGAACTACACCAAGTGTACCTGAAAAATGTTTTCAATCAAAAGCATATATCCACCTAGTTTACTATCCAAATAACAAACCAATGGTTAGGCGAGAGTGCAACAGCCAAAACAGGAAAATTTCCTTCACAAACTAAAGTTTCAACATCAAAAACCATCACTTGTTCATGTGGATAATCAATAGATGTTGCTGTTTGACCATCTGTTGAATATCTATTAACAAAAAACAGACAACGGTGATCATGTTTTTAGATCAATATAAGAAAGCAAACTTTGTCCATCCTTTTGCATATTTCCATTCAGTTGGTTGTGATGGTATCTTAGCTTTAATTAATTGATGGATAAGATCAATATAGGGTTTCGATTGTTTTTGTGCAATGATTGCAAAATGTTCAGCTAGATTATTATTTTCTAATGGTGGCAAATCAAATTCAATATCTTCAAGTTTTTCACTTTCATTTGTGCCAAGATCAAATTGACGAAGATGGTATTTCGATTTTTCGATATTCTGTTTTGAATATTGCGGTTCACCAACTGACGAAAATAATTGTTTATGTAATTTCGAACTAAGCATTTGAATCCCTAATGGATTTGTACGACGTGTAGACATAAAACGATAATGATATGGACAAAAACGAAATGTTTGATGAAAACGATGTGATAGACATCGTCTTAAAAGCATCTGAAATATGATCTTCTTCTCTTTTATTCCAACTTATTCGAGCTTTTACTAGATAGAATTGTAGTTTGTATATGGAAGAACTCGAGTAACATATGTTGTATGCTGTCTTTTATATATATATATATGTACCGGATCATATGCAAAACAGATTTCCCAATAAAAACACAATAGTTTAAATAAGAAATGAACTAACAAATAAAATGATAATTATCACAATTTAGCTTATGATCGTCCTCAAAACACAGAAAAATAAAAACACTTCAAGAGTCGAATTAAGCGATCGACGATGATTATTATCCATAGCCTTTCCATGGGCGTCGATTTGATGTGACATAGATGGTCGTTTGACCATGTTGACATTGTACAACGCCAAGATAAGCTGTTCGAGGCACATCGCTCTAAAAAAAACACGTATGTAAAATTATTATAAATCTTAGTTTGCCTTGTTTCCAGGTGAATTCTAACTGATTAAAGAATTTCATAATTATTTTTGAATTAGAATTCTATGCAATGTAGAGTTCTTAGTGATGTGTGAATATTTTAAACAAAAGATCTGGAGATTAGAATATTTCTACAGAGATCATGTATTTTTAAGTTAATGCAGTAGTGTCACTGCCAAGAGCATCGTTAAAAAAACAGTTTTTTTTGTTATTTCACAGAGATAGGAGTAAAAAAAATGAATTTATTGTGAAAACTTTTGAATTTTTCTAGTCATTTAGAGCCCCATAAGAAAGGGCGTGCACGAGTACCATACACAGAAATCTGTTCATGTGAAATTTTGTTCAGGTAATAATCAGAATATAGGATTCATATACAGCTGCTATAACTTATGTATTGATAAAAACTATCCTAAAATAACTTGTTCTATTATTTTATCAGAGATATAATTTTTGCAGAAGAAAAACTGTTTCAGCTGTATTCTAACTGATAAAGATCAATATGTAATATTACTCGTTTGTGCTAAGTAAATCGATTTTGCTTCCTTGGAATATGCTAGTAAAACAATAATATATACTTCTTAGTTACCTATGAGGAAATTATATCTTAAGTATTGCTCATCAACAGTGGCAGATACAGTGTTTGTATTTTGAAAACAGAAAAAAATCATAGAACTTGAAATTTCTGCAATTAACTTTTCCAGTGTTTAAATTTCTTTGTAGAAACTTTCAAATTAAAATTCGAAAATTCGGGATAGTATTTTTGTCGCCGAAAACAAAGTAAAGAATCCAATTCTTTTAAAGATATTTAAAACTGATTAAAATCTAAACGATAAAAATAATCTCAATTCAAATTAAATTAAACATTTAGTAGATTTTCTCTTTAGTACTGATATATTTTTTAACTAACTGTGGCGAGATGTAGTACATCTCGTTTCATATGATTATGATATCCTCATATGTATGAATATTGTATAGCCGTGAAGAAGCGATACTTTCGATTTCTTCTTAATTAACTTATGAAAGTCAAACTTACAAAGAGTAACAGAAGTTTTATTTATATTACATTTAAACTAATATTACCTTTAAATCATTCATAATTTCGAGTGTATTAGCTATGATAACAAATTCTTTTTGATTACTATAACGTAGTTGAGCACATTTTATGTCACTTTTTAAATGATCTAAATCAGATAAAGTAATAGTTGGACAAGCATCAATACGTGCTTGAAATGCGGGATCATATTGATTCTTTAAAAAGATAGGCGCATGTTAGTTTTTTTTTTAAATAAATAAATAAATAATTTCTCATACTTTAAGAAGATAACTAATATCAATTGATTTCCAATCAACAGGATCATTGTTTTTAATAATTTTTCTTAAATATCTATCATAGTGTTGACCTCTGGAAATTGATAATGGATTAAAATATCGAAACATTTAATTAAATCAACTTACTGACTGACTCCTTTCTTGCCATCTGGTGACATAGCTGTACGTGAAATTTCCGGACGAATACATGCACGATCATGTCGTTGTTCTGGTAATCGCATCCAATCATCCCAAAAGCTACGTTGTTAAACATCGATTATCGTACCTTTTACAAATGTTTAGCCTACCCTGCCGGCCAATTAGCCTTTATTTCGTTCCAAATCGTTTTCTTCAATAGCCAACCAAGACCAGGAAAAAAATCAGTACGATGAAGAAGAGCTTCGAAAGAAAAAAAGTCGATATCAACGATTCGTTTTCTTTTTTTGTCCTATATTACTTGAATCTCGAACAATTTTTTTATCAATACCATTATCATTCCACGCTGATATACACCATAGAGTTTTATCATATACTAACAATGGATAGAGTGCTTGAAAATAATCAAGAAAATCTGGTGACAATTCCAAATCATCTATGCATTATAAATATGAAGATTTCTGTTTTAGTTCTAACTATCTATAAATAATAGAAAACAGGCAAACCTTCTGTGATAATAACTGCTTCATAATTAAGTCTATTAAGAACATAATTGATAGAATAATTGTAATGGCGTGATATTTTATAATATCCAGCCATATGACTAAACTTTTCAGGGACATGGATTGGACCAAGATCGGGCAGCTAAAAAGATTCGAGTAGTAACGAGTGATCGAAAATACACTTTATGTACGACTGAATATCCCTTTGAAAACCGATTTACTCCTGATAAGTTTCTAACTAGTTTAGTGAGTATTGTGGTAGAAGATATCTTGTTAATGAAAGTAATTTTCTTGATTGATATGTGATACAAACTCGTACAATGAGCTTGATTGTTACCAGATGATAGTTCTCAAGCTCCTCATTTTCTGTTACCTTCTAAATAATGACTGTATCATTAGGGTGATGCAAAAGAAAACGCCAGCTGCCTACTGTTAAACTTAAGTTTTCTGTCTTTAAGTGATAAGCTTATGAGTTCTAAAATGAAGTTCATGCAAGAAAATGTTGAATTTCTATCTGGAAAGGAAGCAAAATTCTGATTCTAAGAAAATGTTGACCCGCTGATACAATACGTATAGGTAAAGATGAAACTACTAATAGCACGAATTTTTTAGTCTGTATTATGAACCGTCGAAATTCATATAATATAAACTTGAATGAATACTATTAGTTGGATAATTTTCTTTTATAGATAAAAAAAAAGAAAGAAACATATGTACTTCGATGATTGCTTTAATTTTGTCACCGAAATCTTTAGCAACTTGTATAGTTGATTCATCCTGACAATCTAAACTTGCTATGATTGGATGTAATTCAGGATCTTTACGAATTCTAAATAGTTTTAAATTGATATTTGTCAAATTAGGAATACTAGTTTGTTTTGTAATACATACCGAAGAAGAGTTTCAATGTGTGTTTGAAGAGCGTGTGGTCGATTACAACCAAAAACAACAACAGGAATAACAACATCAGCTTTCTAAATAAATAAAAGAAGATATATAACCTTAATTTTCATTCAGAATACTCAATAATTTACCGGTAATACAGATAAAGTAAGATGTGATATTGCAGAAGTAACCAATGGTCGCAATTTAGGATTAATCTGGTTATCTATAGGTGCTTTCTAAAACAGAAACATGTCGATTAATAAATAAAGAAATAAAAAGGATATGAATAAACAAACCGGTTCATGTTTACCATTTGGTGGATGAAAACCTTTCAGACTTAATAATAGAAGGATATTGATAAGGAAGAAGATACCGGTTGTAATAAAAATTTTTTTTAGAATAGAACGCATGTTTATGTATTCTATAATTGTACATCATTCTTTTCGATAAGCCATAATCTAAAATTAAATTTATGTTTCAATTATTTCAGAATTTACTTAGAATAGGATTCTCTGTATTTTTAAGTTTTAGAAAGCTAATAACATTTTTTCAAAGCATTTCTATACGATTTTAATCTGCGAAAAACCTAAAATCAATCACGTAATTTGAAACTTTCCGACGTAGATCACCATTTAAATATCATGATGAAGCATTTTATTGATTAATAAAATATCAGTTACCTAAGCGTGATTAAACGTAAAGATATGTACAACATAATTTTCGATCTCGTAGCATTTGTAAGCACATAAACCCAAACCCAAATGTAAACGTGAGATTGGTAGCAGATGTCGATCGGTTGCCAAAATCACCAATCTGAAGGTTGATTAACATGTAGTCGCATCAGTTGATAAGATATTATTTTATCGACAGTTAGCGACATCATTTTGACTTTGGGATATGGTATATTTTTCAAAAATACATGTGACAAACGATTTCGTTCCACTCAAGATCTTCATATTTATATAAATAAAATTTGAATTCAAAGCAAATATTTCAGACTGTGTTTAAAATCTTCTCTGTCATATAGGTTAAAAATTTGACACCGTCTTGTCCTGCGTGTATAATACTAGTGAGTACACAGAATATCAGTCAATTATTCTGGAGAGTTTATTCCAATGATTCAATACAGTTTATCTTTTTTTTAATATTTAGATGGTTGCAACGATTCGAAAATGATTCTGGTGAGCTTCATTTCAAGAATTCGATATAATTTATCTACCTTTTTCTGTATTTAGATGGTTGTAATGATATTCACTTCAATCAGCAATAGGTAATTGCTCGTGTGAATTATTCTCATTTATTAATACGGTTATGATTGCAGTAAGGCCTAGTTTGGTGCTGAAATGTGTAAGTGCGTTAGTATGGCTATTGAGTTAATAAGGATCTGCTCTAAGTGGTGTAAGCATCAAAATGTTTGAATGGCAATTCATTTCTGCCTCTGTTTTGAAAATTTGGGTGAGTATGGAATGAAACGCTTGTTTCATGCTCGATAAAAAGAGGACTTATTATTCTTTTCTCGTAATTCCAGGTTGAGAACTTTGACAAAGGAATATCGTACACGTTGCTGTACGTTAACGAAGTCGGTTTCGTATGATAATTGTTATTGGTGTTGTCGGGTTTCCGATGGTAGTCGTTGTTTGCGATTTTGAGTTTCCGAAGCTTCGGAGACCGTTGCTCGGAAACGGTTTTAGGGTTTCCGAGTTTGTTACTATCAGAAACCTATTCTGAGTTTCCTAGGATACCATTTTTTTAGAGAGTAGTTATTAATGTGTTCACACGTTCATCAACTATTAGAACACCCAAAGATATTTTTATATCTTCAGCAACTAATGCAAAAGATTCAACAACGTGTTTAGTTGCTCCTGAAACACATCTGAGTACATCACCATCAATCGTGAAAACTACATCTCGTGTTGATGTTAGACAAGCACTTACAGAATATTTTTTACAAAATCCATTGTAAATACTTTGTCTACTAACCTTTTTCTCTAAAAAATTATTGATACAATCAGTTTCTTATTTTTGAATAATATTTTTTCCAAAATTTCATAATATTTCTTGAGAAAATAATTTGATGATATGTTTTTTTTAAGAAGATCATATCCCATTTCTCTAAACACTAATTAACTAGTTTATTTAATTTAGTAATCGTTTTCGCAAAAATTTTGATAATAATCATTCCAAATAGTAGCGACACCCAGGGACGGCGCGAACGGGGGTTATGGGGGGTTGGGGCGGGGGGGGGGGGGGGGGGGGGGGGGGGGGGGGGGTGGGGGGGTGGGGGGGGGGGGGGGGGGGGGGGGTGGGGGGGGGGGGGGGGGGGGGGGGGGGGGGGGGG